GCTAGGCCGGAGGCTCGCGAGCGACCGACTTTTGATTCTTTGAACTAGTTTGCAGTCATCGCTAGTCATCCCAATCCTAGTTGTTCACTTCCCGTCAGGCGCAATGCACAAATTCGTTGGGCCCAGTGCATGCATGAGCAGGCAAGACTTGAAGGCACTTACGTTCAGACTTCCACCACCAAATCCATGGCGATGGTAGCTCTAGCCTCCAGCTAGCTCAGGAGGCAGGTCCTTGAGGATCCATCACTGGCATCAGGGTAACCTTTTCCCTCTTTGGCAGCCCAATGTGATCTCCGCAGTGTGCTTCCATTGCGAATTGATGGAATGCAGGGGCGTGCATTGACATACCTAGTTGCCAAAACAGGACATTAAGTGCTGTGGTCAGTGCATTCCGAGACAGCATGGGCCCAAAGAAGAAGGGAGCTGGCAGGGCCTCTGGTGGCAGCGCACCCACCGATGAGCAGGACAATGCACCCCGCCCCCCTGCCCCACCTCGGAGAGTAGTGGTAGGCCCTTATGCCCCACCATTGTCCCAAAGCAATTCGTCGGCCTCCATTCGCAGCATTCCCTCACGCGCGCCTCGGGCTTACACCCCTCCTCTGCTTGGGCCTCAGCAAGGAGCACCCCCCGCAGACGCTGGCACTGTAACGCCCCCCCCGGGGTTCAATGGCGCACCGCCACAGGTTCAGCAGCCGGTGGGGGCCAGGCCAGCAGGCTCCCCCGGGCCTGCAATGCTCCCTCGCCCGGCCTACAACCCGCTAGGCCCCAGGCCACCTGTTCAGGCAGCGACCCCTGCCACAGGTGCGCCAGTAGGGCCTAGGCCCCCACAGCAGCCTAGCGCCCCCAGTCTGCGGGTGATGCTGCCAGCGGAAGTGACTGCGGCGCAAGGCATTGGGAAGCTTCAGTTGAAGGAGCAATCCGGGGCTGGCAGTGCGGCTGAGAGCTCGGGGACACCTCGCACGACTATGCAGCCGACGACGGGGAAGGATATCGAACCGGCGCTTCGACCGGGCTTTGGGACGCTTGGAAGGCGGGTCGACTTGAAGGTGCGTCAATCGATCTTCTCAGGATATGTCGGTTGTGCTTGACCACTATCATGTCAGAGCACGCATGTAAAGGAGATGAAGAGCAAAATTCATTGCTGAAAGCGTACCCCCCCCTTTTCAACAGCACTTCTGTCAGGTGACTCATGCAGCATCTGAGTCGCTCTTGGGCAACTCTGATTGCTGTGCAGGCTAACTTCTTCAAGGCCGCCTGCTCCAAAGAGACGTTCTTCCATTATGATGTAAGTGAACAATCTCCCACTTCCTCTGGCTGGCTGCCCCAACCAAAGGACTCCTCAAATGTTAACAGCAACTACATTCTAAAATGTTTGCTGTAGCTTCCTATCTTTGAGCAACTTCTGTGCTTGATTTGTTCCTTTGAAAAACCACAGTTTCATTTTGGCCATTGATAGAGTGCAACTGCTCAGATCAACCTGCAGATATCTCAGACTGTTCAAGGGACATTGAGAATATCCCTGGCTTTGTCTGTCAGGTTGTCATCAGTCCCGACACGGACAAGACAGCCATCCGCCGCGCTGTGATCAGAGAGCTTGTTCGGACGCACAGGAGCACTACCCTGGCAAACGCACTCCCCACCTTCGACGGAAGCAAGAGCCTGTACACAGCAAGTGAGGAGTTCGCAAGCTTGAAGTGTTTTCTTATTTAGGGTTTTTATATTTAGGGTTTTCATTTCTCTCACTTGTCAGTAGGGATTTCTAGCCAATCGACATGCTTTTGTGCCTTCAAGATCTGCTGGAGAGTCTTTCAGGTTGCACATCCATTCTCTATTGCTTGTGTCTCAAAGTGAACTTTGATCATTTTATGAGTGTACGAAGCACTGTATGGTTGACTATCTCACTCGCAGGGCCCCTGCCGTTCCATTCCCGGGAGTTCACTGACATCACTCCCCCCGATGAGGTGCCATTGCCCCCTCCGCCGCCTGGGCAGCCTGCAAGGTATATCTTCGTACTTTACCAACTCTGATCTGATATTCTCTTCCATCAATCAAAAAGAAGTCACGTCCTCTTTCCTGATTACAAGCCTCAGTAGGGGGAACGTTTCATTTCTAAAAGTTTCTCAAATCAAAGTTTGATTGCAGGGAGCTCAGAAGATTCAAGGTCACGCTGTCGATAGTAGCCAACATCAACATGGAGTCCTTTAAGGTAGGTGACACCATCTGCGTTTCAGTCTCCTTGCTACCGGTATATGCAGGCAGGGCATGTTGACATGTTTTCTGTCTGTACCAGTGCAGAAACAGATGCAAGCATAATCTTCTATTTTGATCTATCATAATCTCAACCTGTTTGACCTCGTCTCCCTCGCTGCAGCGCTTCCTTGAAGCAAGGTCGTTGGAGCTTCCTCAGACGTCCATCCAAGTGCTCGACATTGTGATGCGGGAAATGGCGCTGCTTTCGTAAGCCCTCTCAACTTGCCAAATCTTTCAGACAATACGCGCTTAGTTGTGACAGTTCGAGGATCATAAGCACGTCAGTACTGGATAAGTCTCACTTGCACTTTTTGCTCGCTTGACGGTGCTCCGACGTTCGCTTGAAGTGTTGCCAAGGAAGTCGCATGAGGTGATTCGTTGCGAGAATCAAGCATCATGCAGAAATGCGTACAGGTGTCTCCTGTTATTGGCTTCACTGTGGCTCTCCTTGGCCTTTCGGGCAAAGTCGTCTTACTTCGATGGGACGATCTTTCAGGATAGTCCCGAGGCTGTTAAGCGGACTGTGTCCTTGCAGGAATGTACTGGTGGGGCGCTCCTTCTTCAACGAGAACGTGGACCGCCCTGTGAACCTCTCTGGAGGCTTGGTTGCGTGGCGGGGCTACTATCAGAGCATGCGGCCTACTCAAGGCGGGCTCATGCTGAACCTGGGTAAGAAAGATCGCAGCACTTTGTAGAACCACTCAGCTTATCCTGAGTAGTCCTTTCCTGAGGAAGAGAAAAGCAGGAGGCAGACAGGCTTCCTTGAAAATTCCGTCCAGAATATGAGTAACTGGAGCACCAAGTAACTTCCGGAACAAGCAGAGTGTTTGTCCATCCATTTATGGCTCGCTGACAGTCGGCGTGCTGCTTTTGAAGCGACCTGAAGCCTTGTTTGCAGACATGTCGGCCAGCGCGTTCCACAAGCCGATCAACGTCATTGACTACATCCCGGAGGTCGTGCCCAGGTGGAGCGGTTCCACCCTAGGAGACGCAGACAGGGTCAAGGTGGGGCAAAATTCACTTTCCTTCACCATCCTCGAAGATGCTGCAAAGGCGCCTTTGACTTTGCAGGGGTGGGCTACGAACCTGGGTGAAGCAGCTAGCTTGTCTCTGCGTGTTAGGATCGCTGCAAGCCAATACTTTGGGACCTGGTGAAACAGGACCGTTAGTGGAATGCTCAAGTCTGGTGCTGCTGAACCTGCCAACCCCAACAATCTGAGCCGGGCTGTCAATCGTGGTTGACGTTTTGTCTTTGTTACTCACCTACTCTTATGATTGCTTGGTGTCCCTTTCAGTTGGGGAAGGCCCTGGTTGGCGTGCGCTTCGAGGTGACCCACCGCGGGGAGATGCGCCGCCGGCACCGCATCATGGGGATCACCCGCAAGGCGGCGAGGGACCTCAAGTGAGGCCACGACGGTCAAGCGTTTGTCGACCTTGTCTTGGAGGCTAATGATGATATAGATAGAGGCTCACTAAGCGCGTGTGAAGAGTAGTTTGACGTGTGACCCAGCTGCTCAAATTGCTCTTCTGTATGAGAATCGCCTCCGGCTTCTACTCTTCGACTGGAGCCTCGAGAGACATGTTTGAACCACCTATTTGTCGGGATCATCAATTCTCACTTCTCTATCAACCAACCCACATTATGCTCAAGACCATGACAAAACTAGACTCCAAGCAATCAGCAGCCGACCAGAAAGCAACTTGACGCTGCTCGCTGTTTCAGGTTCTTGTACAATGGCGAGGAGATCTCCGTGGAGGGGTACTTCCTGCAGGCTTACAACTACAGGCTCAGGCACCCCGGCCTGCAGTGCTTCGAGGTGGGGGCCAAGAAGGATGTCCTCATCCCCATGGAGGTAAGCAACTGCGAAACTCAGTCCTTTTGCACTTGTTGGAAGGTTTATTTACCGGTTGGATTGAAGTTTCTGCTCGATCGCTTGTCTTGGAATGAATGGGTGCAGCGAGTCTTCTGCAAACTCCTCTTCTACTTCCTTTAAGGAAGAGAATGGTGCATAAGTTACGCCTCTGCGGGGCCAATGGCGCGCTTTGGATTTCTTGATTAAGATCCGATTGCTCCCTCATCAAGTCGACGAGAGTTGAGGGCGATCGGCTCGGCCAGTGGCCGCAGTCGCCTCCGATTGCAGATTTGATAAGTGCGTAGACTACCAGTCAAAATAAGGCCTTGAGAGGAAGCGAAGTGTGCTTGCCTTCAGTTAGTAGAGTCAATTCGCAACATGCCAGGCCGTCTATTTCTTTCAGGTGTGCCGCATCGTGGGCGGTCAGCGGTACCCGCGCAAGCTGAGCGACAGCCAGGTCTTGGAGCTGCTCAGGATTGTCCAACAGAAGCCCGCAGAGCGGAAGCGCCTCACCGAGAGCGTGAGTCACGTACCGAATATCAGCTCCATTTTTGTCGACTTCTCCCCACAGGACAGAGTATGTCATGAGCAGGCCTGGTGACTGTGTTCTGGTTGGTTCAAGCTTTTGTTTTTATGTGCCCCAAAGTCGAAGTCAACGGACTGGTCAGCAAAGTCTTGCATCTAAAAGGGTGTCAGATTGACATCCAACCTGTGCGCTTGCAAAAGTCCTTCATACCAAGTTGGTGGTCTTTGCCATTTCAAGCGTCAACGCTCTTGCTTTTTCAGAGGTGCACGTGCGTGCTTTCTTCGCGCCAATGCTTTCGCTTCTGCTCCTTTTGCAGATGGTGGCCAGGAACGACTACGGCCGTGACGAGTATGCTCGCGAGTTCGGGCTAACGATCAGCAAGGACATGAGCGATGTGCCGGGCCGGGTGCTCAATCCTCCCACGGTGAGGAATAAAAGGAATAAGCTTCGTTTGTGCAAGCTCGTCAGCATCTTCTCTGAAGTCTTGCGAGTGGTCCGGACGAATGCATCTCTGTGTTGCGTGATTCAGTGTGTTTTTCTTAGCAAGCTCCACTTTGCTCCACTATGTCTCCTAGCAAGCTCCACTTTCGTGGGTTTCACGGCTCTCATTTTGCTCTTGAAGACTAGGTCCAAAACATATACGTCTTCATATGAATGTGTTAGGGTCAGAGTGATTTTGAAAAACTTCTGTCTTTTGCTTCGTAACCCCTTACAAATTTTTCAGAAGGAATCGTCGAACTTGGTGTGTGTCTTCGCAACAGCCCTCTCCAAGGTGCGAGCTCTGACTTCTGTGCTGTGCTTCTCTTCGCAGGTGGTTTACAAGGAGATGAACCAGAAGGACAAGCTGTATCAGCCGAGAGACGGCGCCTGGAACCTCAGGAGCACAGTAAGCGGGCCCGCACCAATTGGCTCCAATGATGTCGTCTAATTCGCTCTAGGACGCGGCAGGAGCGGCTTTCGACACGCGTATTTTTTGAGTTACTGAACCGTAGGCCCTGCCAGACGGGCGGCTTCTCTCGAGCGCTCTTTCGAAACCCGCTTCATGACTTGGCTTTTGGATTGAGATGTGAACGTCGGTGACTGGTTTTCCTGCAAATACGAGGCTGGGCTGGACCCGTACTCCCTGCTGACGTCATGCCGTTTTGCCCTGGCGGCAGTGCTTGTACTCGGGGGTGAACATCGACCGATGGGCCGTGCTGTCGTTCGTGTCCCGGAGGATGCAAAGCGCGGTCGCCAACTTCGCATCCAGGCTCGCCAGCAAGTGCAACGAGATGGGCATGGTGAGGACCGTAATCAATGTTTAAGTACCTGATACTCACTTGATACTTCCGTCTTTGACGAGCGCCAAAGATTTTGGCGGCTAGAACGTTGGCCTTCCTGCGTATCTGCTCCCTGAACTTGTTTTCTGACTGGCAGACTTCTCGAAGAACGACTCAGACCCCCTTGTTGGCATCCCCTCGCTCACCCTAAACCCTATGGGCTCACACTAAAACCTATGGGCTCACCCTAAAACCCATGGTCACGAGAGTAAACTGTCCAACAAGCGAACCAACCAAGTCCTTCCCGTACAGGAATTTCGGATGATAGTCTGCCGACGTATTGGTTGCAACACGGAGCACGGGTGTCAAATCACGAAGCAAACCTTACTCGAGGAAAATCTCCTTACAAATGATCGCACGAACCCACACGAATTTGTCGTCCTCTAGAACATGAACCCCGCGACGCTGCTGCCGGTGGAGGACTGGCTGGTGGGCGACAACGCCTTCTCCAGCCCGCGCGAAATGACGGCTGCGCTCAAGGCCGTCACGAGCCAGGCGCACCGCACGGACCCCCAGGGCCTCCAGCTGCTCATTTGCGTCTTTCCCAGCAAGGAGGCGCAGCCGTACGGTGAGAACGACCGTCTATTTCGTGTAGTTTCGATTTACCCTCAATACTCGATCTGTTGGTCGATTCACCTTCTCTCAAGTTTCTGCCTGGAGGATGTTGATCCAGATATCATACCATACCCACCAATCAGTGCCACATTGTCGCGGGTAAAGGTCGGTCCTTAGGCGTTCGCGTGAAGGATCCGTTACAACAAACCCGAGCATAACCTTCTGCATGAAATCGAAGCTTGGGCCATCGATTTCTCAACGAGGTGTCGCAATTGTGACCCTGCACTGCCCCGGCCGTCTTGTCTCGATGTCGCTTCTGTTCTGCTCGTGCCTGATTCATCAGCTGGCCCCGTACTTTCCGTTGGGTTTGGGGGCTTAACAGACCCAAGGTCGAGGAAAAAACGGTGACATCTGTACCTTCGGTTGCTGCTGTGCGTGCAGGCACGTTGAAGCGCGTGTGTGAGACGGAAATTGGCGTGGTCACGCAGTGCTGCCTCGCGAGGCACGTCCAGAAGAGCGACCCGCAGTACCTGGCAAACGTGGTGCTCAAGATCAACGTCAAGGTGCGCAAACAGCTCGGTGTGGACGTCCGCGTCCAGAACACGCCCCACTTCGATTTTCTTAGAGCGTGCTTTGTGATGCAGGAGAAGGACGCGTCCGGTCAACGTGCCTGTCTGTTTTCCCCACGAACTGGTGAAGTATTCACGGTTTGTAGTTCGTGGCAACTGAAAGCTTGTTTCGAGTTGCATGAGCAGGGACTACTCCCCTCCGCACATCTTGGCAGGCTAGAATGGCAAGGACTGATATTGCTATAAATCGGCCGGTCAATGATCCGCCGTGCCGCGAGTTGAGAAATCGAATGAAAAAGATTCTTTAAATGCGCCGATTCTCGAAGTAAGAAACAAAGGATTGCACCTTAAGAGCCCCATGATGATTCTTATGCTCAATATATCGAACGTTGCCACCATCAGCTTTGGGCTGCCGGAGAACTGAATCTAGATTTTTGTTGTAGTGTTTAAGTTGTCGTTGACTGGCGAATGGATGCGAGTGTCTTCATTTTGTTTGGCTCGAGAATTGAACGGGGTGCCCGGAGCTGGAGGCAGAGTGGTCATACCCAGTTTATTACCGTATCAACGTGTTCAAAACTCAAAGCTGGGAAGATGTAGCTGGGGAAAATTACATTCAATTGCACACTTGACCTATGATGAAAGAAGTGTAGATTGTTACAGACTGGACAGGTGCGGTACATATTTGTGACTGCGCAGGTGAAGGCCGGGGACGGCGAGGCGCCCGCGATCAACAATTTGCTGTCCAAGGAGCTGCAAGGGAAGCTGCCCTTCATCAACGAGGACAACGTGCCCACCATCATCTTCGGGGCTGACGTCACGGTGCGTCAGCCGCAGATCGCTGTGGTTTGCCTCAGGAGTCGGTTTGCTATTTGCCTTCGTCCAAGAACTGTGGTGGAGGCTGGCGGCCTGACTCGCAGCGGTTCCTTTCGGTCGCTTTGGGATATCGCCCAGGGAGCGAAATGTATGTACATGTTTACGACGGAGTTTTTCACTGACCCAAGAACAACTCTTCGACGGTGTCTTACGCGCAATGATACCTTCTGTCTGCAGCACCCACAGCCTGGCGAGAGGGACGAGGGCACCTCCGTTGCGGCGGTGAGCGCTTCTTTGACCTTCTCATTGAATTTTCCCGTGCCCCCTGACCTTTCCCTTGATCTTTCTCGCTCCTGCAGCCGTAGGATATGCACTGGTCCGCTCACGTTCCAGTCGGCGACGCTTTGGCAGCCATCCGAGCACTCGCCGCTTGAAACGCCAACATGCTCTTTGAGTTGCCTCTTTATCCAATCTAACCTGCTCTTGCTAAATTTCATTGTCCTTAAGTTCTAAGCACGTTCATTTCTGCTCGATAAAGGCTGGTTTTTCTGCTTCTTGTTCCCTTCGCTTTGCCCTTGCGGTCAGAGTTCCATCTCGATTTATTTTGTCTCTTGAGATCTCCGGGGCAAACCGTGTTTCCCTGCTTCTATTACTGCAGATCGTGGCGAGCCAGGACTGGCCGTATGTGAACCGCTACGAAGCACTCGTGAGCGCGCAGCCAGGCACAGAGGAGATCATCCAGAACGCCGAGGGCATGTTCAGGTAAGCAGGGGCTTATATTCCTAGCAGACCGTGCCCCTTACTCCGCAGATGTGCTAACCAGAATCCCATCCAACGGTCGAGCAAGTCCGGTACCGGAATGTTGACTTGTTGTCCCTTCTGCAGGGCGGTTGAATCTGCCCTGACCCTAAAAACAATCTGGACCCAGAAAGCTAGCTCCTCAAGCAAGAGCTGCTGCTTGCACAGCCTCCAAAGCGGCGAGGACCTGCAAACCTTGCAAACCATGTTTGCTGAGACCCGCGCTTCAGAAATGTTCGCCATACCATGCGGAGCTTCCGTCATAGAGTGACGTTTTTAGGGAGTGACGTTTCTCGTGCCGCAGGGATCACCTGATAGCCTTCTACCGGAAGACGGGCCAAAAGCCCCAGAGGATCATCATGTACCGGTAAGATGAGCCTATTCGGTCACCCTTGTTCTGATCTGGAGCCTCAATCGTTTGGACGTTGCTGGTTCCGATTCATCGAGGCTTTGGGGACAAAGCTTTCGCAATTGGGGGCTGTTGTTCGAACATCGCTTGGTCTCATACGTCCGGGTGCTGCAGTCCACTAAGGTTCGATCTGTCTAAGGAGCGCGGCGAATAAGGAAGTGCTCAGGATCCAATGCTACTTGAGTCTAAGACACGCTCAGGGCAATGAGTGCATGCTCAGTGCGTGCCAACAGGTGGTGCTCTGTGGTTCCTAACCGCTTCCTAACGGATCAGTTCGAGCTTCTTCCACCCCCATAACGGGCCAGCTTCTGCACCTCAGAAAGAGCCTCTTCGAGCCGCGAGTTTTTGCTTTGCAGAGACGGGGTCAGCGAGGGCCAGTTTTACCAGGTGCTGTTGCACGAGCTCAGAGCGCTGTGGAAGGTAAGTGCCTCCCGGTCGTTGCTCCTGTTTCTTTTGACCGTCGGCGCCTTATTCCTCCTGGCATCTTGGCGGCAACGTTTACTCAGAAAAAGAATCCCTCAGAAGGCCATTGACGGAGGCGGCCGAGCCAATTCTCCCCTTTGCACGATTATGTCGTTTGCGCGATAGCAGAACTCATTGCTCGTACTAGCGCCGTTTTGCAGCCAGTCTTTGTATCCCGGGGGTCTTTGAATTGAGAGAACTGTGTCTTTAGGCCCAAGTCTTGCAATCTTCAGGAAGTGTCAAGTTGAAGGGCATAGCCTCCTGAGTGCTTATCGCGTTTGCATACATTATTCTACTGTATTGCCATGTCTCTCACTTGTTGCCCGCCGACCCCGGATCTTAGATGCCTTGACACCACCCCCTGCTCAATGCGCCTTCCATTGTTTGCTTCTTTCGGAGAAGAAGCATTGCAATCTGTCCGGGAACAGAGGGTTTTCTGTCTGCAGACGTGTGCGAAGCTGGAGCCCGGCTACAAGCCCAATGTGACGTGGATTGTATGCCAGAAGCGCCACAAAACGCGGCTGTACTGCGCCGACGAGCGCCAGGCGGACAGATCGGGAAACATTCCCGCTGGTAAGAGTTCACAAAAATTACCGCCCATTTTTTGGCTGGAGCAGTCCGGGTTGAAGCTTCGTGCCAAGTTCGACCGACTTTCCACAGCGGTGACGATCGTGAGAGACACTGGCAGCGGAGCAAGTCCCTGGCAGGTCGGAAGAAAAGAGTGCTGTGCATTCGGGGGCTTTTCCCCAGCAAGCAGGTTATCCTACACTAGACGCAAAGCTGTCCAGAACATGGGAGTGCCACACTCGTCGCTCGAGCAAAGTCCCTGCATAGAAGCTGTGTTTGCAGGTCTAGAAGTTTAACTGCGCTCGCCTCTCTTGCGTGTATAGGCACTGTGGTGGACCGGGTGATCACTCATCCCAGCCAGTTCGACTTCTATCTCAACAGCCACACCGGCTTGAAGGTGAGAACAACGGAGATAAGTCACGGGCTTCCTGATGACCTCGACGGGAAGCCCAGTGACCTTGACGGTAGGCTTGCATCCACTGGCGCAGTGGCTTTGACATTTCGTCATCGCCAGTTCTTTGATGAGTCTTCCTAAGCGTTGCTCGAGGGCCCCCTCCCTTCTTGAGGCGCACTTACTTCTTCGCCTCTCGCCCCACTCTTGCATCAACGTGCCATACCAGGCTTGCTTCGCTTGTTTAGGTGGCGTTGTCTTGGTTCCGTGTCATTCCGTTCCGGTTTGTCCGTCCAGGGGACGTCGCGGCCGTGCCACTACCACGTGCTGTACGACCAGAACAAGTTCACCGCTGACGCCATCCAGGACCTGACCAACAGCCTCTGCTACACGTTCGCGCGCTGCACGCGCTCCGTTTCCCTAGGTGAGAAGCACTTCGCACCTAGGGAAACCTCTGGAAATGTAATATCTGCAACAATCACAACATCACCGGTTGAGGCGCACAGATGGGGCGCGTCTTGTAGGGGTGATTGGACAGACTAAGCCTTTCAGAGGGTGCATTGAAGCTGGAATGAAAGGGGAGTTGTTTGAGGAAAGAATAAGAGCGTTGAAGGACTGGTTCTAGGAGACAGAAAGGAGGCAGGTTTGACTGGGGCTACTGCGTCTCGTCCACCAAACGAGGCGTCGAGTTTCTCGCCCTGTAAGGGATAGACTCCATTAGTCGGATGCACAATAGAGCGTTTGTACGTCCAATTCGTTTCGAGTTCTAAAAGCAAAGCGCAAGCATCATGGTTTTGAATACAGTCTCTTACTTACCTCTCGGACATTTTCGCAGCCCCGCCAGCATACTACGCGCACTTGGCGGCATTCCGGGCTCGGTTCTACATGGACTCAGCGGAGAACGACCGGGGGAGCGTCTCGAGCGGCAGCTCGGGTCGCCGGGAGGCCGGGCGGGCCGCATACCGCTTGCCAGCGATCAAGGAAGCTTTACAGGAAACCATGTTCTTCTGTTAGCGAGGATTTCGAAGCGTTGGGCCTCATCAGACGGCTAGAAAGTCTCCGCAGCTGGCCGGTGCAGCGCCCACCATTGTTGATCCCGTTTGGCATCCTGCTGGCTGTCTAATGCAGGATGGGTTCGTTTTGAGAAGCTGGACATGAATCGTGCAATGGGTGCTTGCGGCGGTACCACTCAACGTAAAGTCACGACGGTGTGCCTCTTACGAGGCAACAATGCCAAACTACCAATTGACTGCATTAGACTTGCAGGCCCCTTACAATGTGCTGAACGGCCGGTGAAGTTGTGCAGCAGTTCGCCGTCAGGTCGCGAGGATTGTTGAGCAAACTCACTGATTCAAAGCTGGCATATGACTTTACGGATCGCCCAAAACTGGAGATGGAAAAGGACCATGATTTCTTTTGAAGTGTGTGAGGGCTACACTCAATGATCGTGATCGAACGGAGTCGTCGTTATCTAGCTCAATCAATGCGGGAGCTCGAAAGGCTCGGCTGCAGATCATTGTGCGGAATTCGTCTTGATTTGAAGTGCATACTATACAAGTGACTTGAATGCATCACATGCACAGACTTGGCACCCAGCTGAGCTCGAGCTACGCGCCCAAGGACACTCAGTTAATTCAGCATCATTGGCCATCCGCATGCCACTGGCTCCGAAATCCTTGGTTGCACTGAGTTATACTAGATCGCTCCGACTCGATCACTCGTGCTCATGCGCATGCCATGCAGACCAGCGTTGATTAACTAGTCACCATGAGAATCTCAGTATATACATGCAATGACATGATCGATGCAATCAATCGTCTGGCAGTACACGTGCATCCACATACGCGAGCGGGAAAATTTCAATAGCTCGAGTCGGCGCATATAACAATACTGCACCTTCCTTTAAGGGTGTGCCGGGCGGCTTGTTTGTAATGCCAAACAGTCAGTGCAGTTTGCCACCAGCTACTTCATCGGCTTTCCATTGTCGGAATGATGTCAGAAATACAGATACTTGTAAAAGTTCCTCGCACATCTTGCAGTGGCCGGGTGGCCGGGTCAAATCCGTTTGAGGCGAGTAAGACGCCCATTGGGCTTGAAAGACGGGCGGCGGACGCTCTCGGAACAAGATGTTTCCGCACCGACATTCTCATGGTACTTGTACACCGTGACACGGGTTTGCACCACATCCCACCAACCTGCCCGTTTAGACGGGTGTGCTGTAGCCTCGAAATGACCTTCACACCTGGTTACACCTGAACTTGAATCCCCGCAAGCCTTTTTAAGTTCTTCCGCTGCTTTCACTGCTCTCAATCCCGATACTCATCCATGAACCCCGCGTGGAATTTGGCAAGCCGCTCCGCGACCCTTTCGATCTGGTCGAGCGGCGGGAGGATTGTACACCGAAAGTGCAGCGTTCCAGGCGCCTGGTGAAAGCCCGTCCCCGGAACGACCACAATACCGGTTTTCTCGAGCAGCTGTCGGCAGTAGAAGCTGTCCCCGGGGACCCCCGCCTTTTCTGCCGCCTCGAGCGCTCGCCGCGGCAGCTCGAGCTTTGGGAATACGTACATGGCACCCTCGGTCGGGTTGCATGACACGCCCTCGAGCTGGTTCATGGCGTCGCCCAGGATCTGGAAGCGGATGTAGGGACGCCGTAAGGCAAAAGTGGCTACTTCCTTCCAATAGACTCACTTTTCCCCTGGAAACCTTATCTATACCTGAGAAGCTGCGGGGTTCCTCCACAAAAGGCTGAGAAAATGTCACGATTGCCAGCTAGGAACGTTTTTTCGACGCCAACATGGGATCCACAGCCCTGGATGTTGGAAAACGACCCCGCTCATCCTTTCCCAAACTTTTTCTCTCGTGCTTCGAAATCCCCCTTCGTCAAGGTGGCCAGCACGGCGTTGCTCACCTTCGCGCGCTTTTTGAGCGAGTCCAGGATGGCGCCCCGCTCCTTTACGAAGAGGGGATAGGACTCATCCCCCTCCTGCGCACACACAGCAGGTTACGGTGTCAGTGGATTGGACCCGTCTCTGACTGTAGTGGACTACTATGTGGGCAAGTCGAAGCCAGGGGCACCAAATTACACCTTTGCGGGAGACTCTCGCCGTCTTTGAAACGGTACCACCTCTGCTCCTTCACTGCCCGGTGGGCGGTTGGAACGTCTTTCGATTGTTGGTTCGGTCCTTCGGCTTGACAGGATAATCAGCGGAAAGTAGGTGGGAACGAGTACTTTGAAAAATGCGAGAAAGACACCCAAGAGCGAGATCCAAAACAAATTCAGCCCAGGACCTTCTACAAGCCCTGTCACTCCCAACAGTGGACAAAGTAGCACTTCAGGAGTAAGACAAGCAACAGCTCCACAGTTGCAACCTGGGTTGACGCCAGTTTGACAAAGCAATTGATTCCGATCCATCCGACAGAAGCGACAGCTTGCCTTGGGGGGATTTAGAATGAGGCCCATGAGCGCCTGGCCCGCGATGTTGCTGCACAGGTTGACGCTGGCCACCTTATACAGCTGCTCCACCACTTCGGGGGGGATCCCCGTCACCTCCATGTAACCCCCTCGCCGCCCGCACTCTCCATAGTACCTGCCACGTCAGCGATCAGCATGAGATAAGCGAATGAACGAACCCAACGGACGCGGAAAAAACCAAAGGCTTAATGTGGTTGGCTTGGTGCGAAAAGGAGTCTGAGCACGGATCGATGTGATGTGTAAAGACGTTCCTGAAGACCCTCCTCTGGAGACCCTACTCGGTGCCTGGCTAGACCGAGAATCCGGCTTACAACATGGAGAAGAACACCAAGTTCAAAAGCTAGGGAGGTATGGAGCGAGTTCTGCGGACCTCAGTGCGAAACAATTGCTTCTTCAGAAGCTACCAAAAGGAGCTAGCAGAGAACCTTGAATTGAGTTTGCTGCTGGGACATTGTCAAACGAGAGAAAGAGCAGAAAGACGAGGACAGGAGAAAAAGGACTCAGGCAAGGAGCGCACCCTTTTGATGCGCTGTGGAAGGAGATGAGGGCGAGGTCCTTGGGGCCGAACCCGAGCTCTCGCGCCACCTTTTTGAAGGAGACAAACTGCTTGCCCTCGGCGTACACGTTTTCTTGGTACACCTGCACGGTCGCACGCAATCCGTTCACTCAGCGCAGATTACCAGGACAGATTTTTGGCGCCGTGAGAACGAGACATCTAGACGTAGGAGAGAGAAGGCAGGGCGGTGATTTCGGGTAAAGCGGCGCAGACAGACTAACCAAGCTGCCGCTTTGGGTGGTAGAGGCTGAAATTTTGAAGATCAACGTATAAGGAAGGCAAGTGCGCACATGTCCATTCCAGATACAAACAACCATGATCTGAAATGCGAACCGTACACGAAACCTTCTGTCCAGTCGAAGCTTGAAGGCAGATAATAACCAGTTATCCCCAGCATACAACAGCAAGATGCAATCACATGCCAACTCTAACACGAGAACCGGGAAGTAGGGACCAATCTCGCCCAAGCAGATTTCGAGACGGAATCTTCCTCGCCGTACCTCGTCCGCCAGGAGAACGAGGCCCTCACGAGCGCAGAAGCGCACGACCTCCTCCTGGTTCTGCCGCGACAGCACCTGCCCGGTAGGGTTTCCCGGGTTGATCACCACCAGCGCGCGCACCCCCGTGCCCCGCCCCCGCGCCTCCGCCAGCTGGCGCTCCAGCTCGGACATCGAGAGGCCCCAGTCCGCCGTCTCGTCCAAATAATACGGCACCTGCGCGACAGCGGGGCTTCAAAAAGAGTTCGTTGTGAGGACATTATCTCAAGAAACGGTTCTAAACAGAAGCCTCGGGTGAAGAGGCGGAGCTTCGATAGGCGTTTGTTAAACACGACAATATCTTTTCAAAGGAAGACTTTTGAACAGGAGCTAAAGCTGAAGAGGCGGATTTGGTTTTGAAAGATTTGGACCGCTGAATTGTGGCCCCTGGCCATGGAAAGAAGAACGGATTGTATTGGAGGTGAAGTGCTGCAAGAGAGGCGATTACAGCTTCTCAAAGGTATTTTGAAAGTCTTAAAAGACCGGCAACCAGACCATGCGATGATCAGACGGAACGGCTCGAATAAAAGGACGTGGACAAGTAGTGCCCGCTGCTATCTCGCAATGGTACCACCAACCACCAGCTCCCGGTCTTGACAGCCCTCGAAATCATCGAGACGCAAGACTGTACGTTTAAGAACAAGTTAGAGGTCCATGTTGGCTTGCCTTTTCGTTTACATACAGTAGACGACATCTTATCATGTTTGTCCCTCATCGAAACTGTACGACGTCGCACGAATGTCCACTCCGAGGCCTTTGCCGTGTCCGATGCGGAAGGCGTACAGTCAAAGCCGTCCAAGCATATGATAAGCTGGGGTTTTGCTTCTCGACTGGCCCGCAGAGCGGCGCAGTTATAGTGTTACGCCTTGAACCCGGCCGCGAGAAACCCGTCGCGGCTGGTGTACTCCAGTAACGCTTCTAGTACTTGGACGGCTGAGATACTACCACGTAGCACGCCAATCTCCATCGCTTGCACCAATGCTTGGTGCCGTATCTTAACAGGGGAGTGTATCGTCACAAGCTATGGATGGTGTCTTCGCATATATATGCTTTGTCTCGAAAACTCCGCCGTTGAAAGTTCTGGAATCCTCCGCTCACAAACCCCCTTAAGAGGCAAGCCCGGGCGGTAGAATATGTTTGAAAGCCCTTCTTCAAACATGATTAGGGTAGTTTCAAGCGGGCTTATCGCCTCTCTACCATTTAAAGACAGAAAGCAAAGGGACGGTTGCTTACGAGCGTGCCCCCATGCAGGCAGACCGAGGCAGAGTAGAGCGGGTACTGGGGGATGGGCACCAGAACGCCGTCTGCTTCCGAGCGCAGCAGCAGGTTCATCATCATGTGCACCTGCGTCAGCCGGAACGTCTCTTTTCCCAGTCTAGTGAATACTCATCCCAATCAGACGAGTAAGCGTTTGTTTTAGGTACATTCCTGAAACCTATCGTTTTTGTGCCCTGCACCTGAATCCACCCAAACCCCCTAAGTAACCTCTCCCGCCCCAATTGCTGTTCACTAAGCTCACACTTCGCCCAACTAATTTAAGTGCACAACTTTTATTTTAAATCTAGACACAGAGGCCTAAGACGTGAACATCTTGTGGAACGCTTCTGCTTTACAGATGGATCTGAGAGGGCGTTCGTTCGAGTCGAGCCGGCAGGCTTTTTACCGTGACAGAAATCGCTTTCTGCCCAATATTTCTTGTCCGTTCATAAGGCCTGCTCTACGAAGTTCGACGTTATTGACCGTACCAATACAAACAAGCACAAGGACTGTAAGGTCTCAGTCGAAGTCAGTAGTACGGTGGTCAGACAGTGTCGAAGCAGCCAAAACGCTCGCTCCCATACAATGAGGTTCTTCGGAAAAAAGCTGGGATAAACGGAAAGAAAGCTCACTGCTGGACTGGCCCCGTCGGTGCAAAAGATGTCGGCTGCAGAGGCGGGGTGGCCGTCCCTAGCGGCAATCCCATCAGCAATTTCTTGACGAAGGGAGGGCACGCCCTGTAGATGATAATAGTCATTCAGTGGAGCTAAATGCACGAGGTTCAGTTACCAGGTGGCGGTGAGACTTTGACCGAGCCAAGTCGATTCCCACTGGTCTGAAAGCCTTATTGAATTCCCTATTCTTGGGGCGCCAAGATATTGTTCGCTGAGGGTCAGCATGGCCAGGAAGAACCACCGATCCCAACATAGACATGCACACATCAAGCAAGAAAACCTACTCCGAGTGGAATCGGTCCCCTTCTCATTTGAGGATTCCAATCACGGCCAAGACTACTGTTTGAAACCGTTCATACTCACCTGGGAGTGAGAATAGGCCCCGATGCTGTGATGAGGGATGGCCTTAAGAAGGCGGCCTGCCCGCTGGAGTGCATCAGAGCTGAAAGCAGCAGGCGCAGCGCGTAAGACAAGGATGAGGCGGCCAGCTGATGTCAGCCCGAACCAGACGATGGCCCGAAACGGAAATGGATCCCCAGCCATTAAGACTGGAGGGCATGCGTTCAAAATTCAAATTGCACAGTTATACAACAAAAGTTGGTGAAAGTTCAGCTGTCTAGCAACTCAGGCTCACACAAAGACTCTTTACGATTGACTGGACTGGTTAATCAAGGGCATCAAAAGCCTGGTGTTCGGTAATCTGACCAAACAATTATACAAAATATCCTCCAAATCCTACCTGAAGAGCTGCTGCGCAGAAGGGTTGTCGAGGAGGGATGGGTGGTCAAGCAACGCCAGCACCTCTCTGAAGAAGGTCACCGCGTGCTGGCCCAGCGACTGAGGATTGCCGATGTTGCAGTATACGACCTGCCAATAAGGGGGATGAGACAACGATCATCTCTAATCTGGTCGACCCTCGAATCTGGAGCATAGGAGTGTTCGCGAAGCAGCCCTGCTTCTGGCCACTGGAATGCAGTGAATTTTTGGGGTATGGCCAGCCAGACAAAAGTCCTCAACCTCTGACAACATTTATTTCGAAACCTAAAGCTTGTTCAATGAGTTCACCCATTCAGGAACTTTGGGAAAAACCACTGACCTCGTCGAACGCTACCGAGCTGGGGTCTTTCTTGAGCTGCTTGTCTAGTTCCTGCAATTGGAGAAGACTTAATATTAAAGCAAGTGGAGACCTTTGAAACCGAACCTTCTTTTGCGCCGCTCCAATAGAACAAGTGAGCTCAAGCTGGTCCATTCCAGCTTTCTGAGGAAGGAGCTGAGCTTTTTCCAAACCGCAGGACACACGGGTGTTCTCAAAAATTCTGGTGCTTACCAGTAAGAGAGTCAGCTGCGACCACTCACCTCCGCTCGTGTCACCAGAGGCCCTCGAACGGCGTAATCACAATCAACGACCTGCAGGCAAACCCTGTCCGATTCAACTACAATCGACAGGGCGCCATATACCAATGTGAGGGCACATGATACCACCAGGTGAAAAACCCTTATGGCGCAACTGGTTAAGCGGTGCAAACCGGCACGAGGGAGAAAAGAGTCTCCACTCAACATCGGTGGAAAACTTCAATCCTGACATTCAGGTATTGCCACAAAACAAGAGCCCCAATATAAGCACGCTGTCAAAGGGACGGGTTGAGGATTCTCACCTTGGGGTTTATTGTGCCCACATTCAAGGGCGAGCTTGCAACAGAAGAATGTGCCATGCGGCCATTGCTCATTTTCGGTGGCGCCGCTCGTTCCTCTGTGCTAGAAGGATGCATCCTGTCTCCAGAATCAACCCTAGAATGGAGCCCTCTTGCCAGGCTCCACTGCTGTTCATCTGCTGTCAATGCGTTGGCAATCAAAGGGTCCCCATTGGCAAGTGCTTGAGCAGCCTGAAACCAGCGCCAAGCTGGCCTGCGAAGTGCTGGAACCAGCCGATACATGCTGACATGCAAGCGGTCTTCACGCTCCAAAGACGGGCCAAAGGACTCTGAGGCAGCACCTCCGAGGCGCCACACGCATCCTTGTGTGATGACGAGGATTGGACAAATGTCAAGTCAAGCAGTGGGCGGAAGGCTGCAGCTAGCCAACTTCGCACGGTCAAAAGTTAAAACCCTAAATTCTGGAATTAGTCAATTACCTACAGAAAATCCACCTAGATGCACTTTGCCTCGCATTTGCCTCAGGTATATACGATGGTCTCTTTTCGTAACGCCGTAGCCAGTGCGGCCATAGCTAGACTTCTTGAAGATCTGAAGATGTCTGCTTCTAGCTATCAACTCACGATCAGGCGGCTGTTCGCCGGCCAGCTGCACCGGATGATATACCTATGTACCTATCTGCTGTTCATTGTAATTCATGCACAAGACGTATCAGACTTACAGCTTCATAGTATTCCCTTTCATGTATAGGTATAAAGTGATGTCGAGCCTGCATGCCGCGGCCATATCATTGCACACGGCACGGTGGCGATCTCTAACTTCGTTCTCGCCATAGCCAAATAGGCCTGATAAAGTAAGCCTTCCCATGGCATGCACATGTGCTATTGCAGGCTGGACGGTGAATCCGGATGTATTAATGCACATATAGGTGCGTCAGCAGCGCGCGCGTATGCACAACATGCATGAGGGCGATGTCACTCTGCTGGCACCGTTTGTGATCGTGTTCGACTGACGGAGTGACCTTTCAAAGAAGAAGATGCAACACGTCATTTGGGTGGACCAATTTACATGAGCGTGCCGTCGCATGACCTCATCAGTAACCAGGGCGCGTTAGACCTATCAACATACGAAGGTGTACACTTCGCAGCCCGCTTCTGCTCAGTGCTGATGGAATTGCACTACCGAGGCCGCCCTTGAACGCCCTTGCTAGCGTTTGCACCCGCTATTGTGCAAACGTCAGAGATCTTGCGAGGTGGATCCGAAATTTTAAGTCCTGAACTTGGAACCTACTGGATCTGACGGTCCCCCGCAAGGTAGCCCGTCAGGTCGTATCGAAACGTGCGTAAAAGTGCAGCTTACATCCTTAAAGCGGCTGATTCTGCCATGCCGATTAGGAGCCAGGGAGATTGTGTGTTACTTATCCTGCTTCGTCCGTCCCCGGCGCCTCAGACCCCCAAGCAGAGGACCAAGTAAACTCGACCCCTGACCGTCTTCATCCTCATTTCCTTCTCCATCCTCTGCTTCCCTATTGCCTTGTTGCGTACCATTCTGGGGGATGTCAGAACCCCCTTCCGTCCCTACACGTGGCACCTCCAACCAATCGTTGTCCTCGACTGCCTCCTGCATGGAAGCATCCGAGACCGTGGGCGTAAGTGTGTCCACAGCATCCTGGAACTCCTCGCCTTTCCCAGCCTCGTTCGGAGAACTTCCCTTAGCACCCCCATTTACGTCGCCCTGTGTGTGCTTATTTACACCCTGCTTTTCAGGAGTCTTCTCTGAGAGGGAGCCGCTGCTGCCGCTGCGCGGAAACCCCCGTGTCAAGAATCTCGAGTAGACCCCAGTGTTCGGGCTCTCCCCCCCGGAACGAGACCCACTTCCCCCGGGCGACTCCCCCCTGTTCGCATCATCCGCGTTGCCTCCTCCCCCTGTCGAAGCCGCCCCTGACCCGCTGGCCTCATCCGGCCTGTTCACACCGTTCGACGACGATGCTTTTACATTGTCCAGACTCTGGCTGCGCCTGGGAGCGGAGTCCGCACTCTCTGACGTCAGCCCGGACTGTGCGTGTTTGTCATCGGACGAGCTCGAGCGCCCAAGCTCCACCGCACTTCCCGTCGCGCCCCCGTTTTCAGGCGGTAGCGTAAGAGCTTCTGGTCGCGAACCCTTCTCCTCTGTGCGCTGCTTCCGATCCCCCCCGACTGACTCTACGTTCCCGTTGTCCCCCAGCAAGTCATTCAGCTTGCTGGACCCCCCCCCAGCCTGCAGAAGCGCTCCCTCGTTTTCCGCCTGGGACGCATCTCCCGGCTCCCCTTCGGCTTCTTCCAACCCCGTCTCTCTTTCCCCTCCGCCCCAAGTCGCTTCGCCCTGCTGGGCCCCATCCTCGAGGACTGGCATGTCGTCATCCCCCTCCGCCGTGACGTCATCCCCCTCCCCCATGACGTCAGCATCCTCGCGCAAAAGATCATCCACCTTTCCCGACAGGTCGTCGTCCTCTCCTGCAATGTCGTCCTCCCCCAAGACGTCATCCTCAGCCATGACGTCATCTTCTGAGAGCTCCTCGCTCGCCTCGCTGGCCTCGGGGCTCACTCGCGCCTCCAAAATGTCTTCCAGCGCTTGCTCCATGCTGTCGTCCCACTTCCCGTCCAAAAGCACTGGCACCGTCACTCGCTCCCGCGATCCCGCGCGCTCAGGCCGCTGCCCGCGCGACCCGCTGGACCTCCTCCGGGAAGGGCCAATTTCCACCCCCAGTCCAATGCTGACGCGCCTGCCTCCCACTAGAGTGTAGTCGCTCTCGGAGGTAGTGCTATCTCCGTTCATGGAGACACTTGCGTCGGCAGACACTTCGGCTGCGCCCGATTGGTCCTGCAAACAAACGAACTTGCAGGATTATAAAGAGCTGCGGGTCATAGAAACATGTCCAGATTGAGTTTGTCAAGCAGTAGAAGTGTTTCGAGTGGATGTTCAGACATTGCTCGTTCCTACCGTTCGACCGTCTCCAGACTGGCTGCCTCCGCCCTCTCTTGCCGGAGCGGCAAGCATAATAAAACGCAAAGAGAGAGTAGCCTCTTATGTGAAGCACGCAGACCGTCCCTGACGCACGAAAAGTTCCCGAAGGGAACAGAGCCACACACAAGAGCGATCCCACTTGGACGTCAAGCTCCTTTTACCTTCGGGATCTCGTCAATTCCAAGGCTCTCCAAGTCCTCCAAATCGCCCACGACTGCAGCCCCCGTTCGTAGCATGTCTTTTCCGGCCGGGGATACCGGAGGGCGCACCAGGGGGGCTACCGGGGGCCTCGCCGGGGTTGGCGCCGTCTTACGGAGGAAGCCCGGGAGGACGAGCCCCGGGCAGCATAGGACAGCGACCGCCAGCTCCCACATGAAGATGACAAAGGGGCCCCAGACGAAGCTGGTGAACCTGGGGGGCAAATAAAGAGGGTGCGTCATTGTAGAATTGACGATGCGCTCAAGGAGCGTCTGCCAACATGGCGACGTGGTAGCATAGATATTACGGTGGGAGTAGGGAAGCATGAGGAATCAAACGCTAAGGAGGTAGAGAGAAGGGGGAGCCTAGACACTGGAAGTAAAAGGAAAGGGGAATCTAGTCGTCAAGAAGGACAAATGAAGGAGGATCCCCAGGCTGAAATTTGAGGCTTCAAGAGGCATTGACGGGGCTCGGAGATCAGGCCTAGCGATATTCTGCCTTGATTTGCACCCTTACCTCCAGTTGTAGAGCAGCGCAGCCAGCCCCGTAAGACGCGTCCTGACCTCTGCTTCTGCAGAATAGATCTGTGGGAGGCCGAGCTCGGGGGGCCGCCCCGCAGAGGGTTCGATGAGCACGCGCACTGCGATGACGGGAAGGGGGCCCTCCTGGTAGCCCTTGAGCATGGTCAGAGTGAGGACTTGGCGCTCCTGTAAGAGGGGAATACATCAGAAGAAATTGACCGAACTTCTTCGTACAATGCTGCGACCTAGCTTATGACACTGCAAGAAGGAGGAGATCGTCACAAGGAATCGACCGAACTACTTCTTGCGGTGCTGTGACCTAGCTTATGACTCGACGACCTCCACAGGAGCGAACATATAGTCGCCCCAATGATTTTGGGCAGGTGCAAAACCGCTCATCTGCAAACGGGCCACAGAATCACGGTAGCCTGAAAATACTAGAATGTACATCCAATAACAGGACAACATGACCTGAGACTTGAAACTTTCAAACTTCATGAGCAAGATCTTCGAGCTCGTATTCTCTGGCATCCAGGAGCGGGATCGAGCACCCAAGCAGCTGGCTTCAAATTGTCCCAGATGGTTAGAGACCAGACGAGCTCTGACGAGTAGAATGCGACCAGACTTGCTATGGATTCTTCTCAAACTCCACGATTGCTGACAACCGGCGTCAGCACACACCTCAACGAAGTTGAAGACGATTGGGATGGCCATTGCAAGGAGGCGCGCAAGCTTGACCAGCGGGCTGCGGTAGTGCAGCATGGCCGGCTGCGTCGTGGTCGCCACCACGTCGTCGCGTACTGACAGCAGCTGCACCGTCACCTGGGGGGGAAGCAAGAGAGAAGCAAGTTTGAGGACTATATTGTTTAGCATAAGACGGAGGCCGTCGTGCTGGAGGTGCTTTAAGCCGGCCAAAGTTGCTGCAGTGTCACCTTAGAGCAAGAGCAGGGGGAAAGCAGATCTAAGGAGGCGGGTTAGCATGATAAGGAGGCCGGTTGAGCTAGCTGATTAAAGAGGGGTAAAAGTACTTCAAGGTGTCGGAAAGATGCGCCAGACGAAACAGCTGGAAAGGCAGGCTGTTGATGCTGGCTACTATTTTAGAAAGGCAAAGGAAACAGGATAGCATTTCGAGTGGCAGGCTCGGGCTTGACAATCTGGAGACTGCTAAAAACGGAGCTTAGATGTTTCCGGAAGATCTGAACAAAAGGCTCAGTCCTATTCTTTTGGTGGAGACGACAAAGAACAAATGCATGGTCTGGAGGTCCTGGGGGTCAAAAGCTCTCATGCATTGTCAAAGAGATTGCACAGCACATGCCTTGCACATGGTGCGCTTTGATCCGCACATGCGCATGTAGAGGTGCGATCCAACCATGCAGTGGTTGATTTGACAGGACATGCACATCTCTCTAAATAGGAAAACCACACTCTTTCATAGGAATTGATCAACGCTCTATCACAGGAATTGATCATACCCCAGATTCGTGTGATATTCACCATTCTGATTACTGCTGACAACCATTAGATCCTACAAGAAGGCCCCATTTTTACCACTGATACCGTAAGTACCCTCTGCCTAAATCCCTTCTGCATTTACGAACACCACATGCCTGCAGCATTGCTAGATTCACACCGGCCCCACCACATGCCGCGCTTTGTTCCAGTGATCAGATCACCAGACATTCGTCACCAGCATCTCTTACCTGAAAGATACCAACTTGCACATTCTGCTCCGAGTCTGGCAGCTCCAAGCGCACCGTCACATCGTACAGCTGCCCCGGTTGGAATACCCTGGGGAACTTCTTCACGGGCTTATCCTCCGCTGCGTACGCATACGCCTTGGTGCGCAGCTCAGGAGGCAGCAGCGGCATCGTCGCGGCCGGCTGCGGCAGCCGGTAGTCAAAGAACAGGGGCTCTTTGACATCAGTAACTTTAGGCAGGGTGGCCCTCAGGAGGGTGAGGTATATAGGCACCGCTGTTAGGAACAGCCCCAAAAGAACGACCGCAGTCATGGCGCTGGCGGCCAGGCCCCGGCCCACCTTGCTGATGGTGGTGTGAACAGGCCCGGGGGGATCCATGAGTGGGGGCGTAAAGGTGGCTGGTATAGGAGGCACCCTCGTTTGGGCGGTATCAGCTTGCATCCTGCCGTCGGGTTGCTTCGCGCACCAGCTTGGCCTGCACTGGCCCCTCAAAGCCTGCATGCAGGAGCTCCAGATTCAACACTGCTGAAAGTGAGATCACACTGTAACGTATCAAATGGCATTTCCGTCTTTAGGGAATGAAAGCATCTGACCGAATTCAAGCGACCCTTGAGTAGGCCAGAATGAATGGAGCCAGATCCTTTGTGTCACAAGGATGTTGACTTCCACCTGCTGCCGCAAAAATGAGTGCTTGCCCTCAAAACCACACTGACGATTATGAAACAGTTGCAGGGGCCTCTAACGAGCAATAGAGGGAAAGGCATGCCAGTACTTAGTGAGAAACTTGACGTCCAAAAAGTTTCTCACTAATTGGTGAACATCAGCGTCTTGTTTACGCAGCAAATGAGCATACTTGCACAGGCCAGCGCGAGGAGAGCATGCAACTAAGTTGCACAAAGCTCTTGCTCACAAAATGCTGCGCATGAACGTTGACCAACTGCAATTTACATGAGCCCAACGAGGCAAGTGTCTCAAACATGCCAGTAGATGTATCAAGGCCGCAACTTTCTTCTCAAGATTCGAAAGATGACCGTGGGCCAATCAAAGCTTACCTGGACGCGTGGATCAATTGTCTCTGCATTCTGCCAATCTTAAAGCTGCACCCCTCCGATGCCCGCTGCCGCCAACCAGCTCTTCCCAGCCCCAGCATTGTCATTTATATACTTCCTGCAGAATCCCTGCAGCATTCTCCACAGCTGCCCTGCTGCCTGAAGAAACGGGACCCCTTTCCTTGTGGCAGGGACTTTCTGTTGGCCCTTGCCTGCCACTGATAATACAAAAGAATGAGAAGGGCCTCCAATGCCATGCTCATGCGACCATGCTGCGCAGGCGCGCAGCGTTCGTCAAGCTCTGCTGATTTGGCATGCCAGATCAGCACACACATGAACATACTCGTATGGCGGCAGATTTGATTCGCCACACTAGTTTTACAGCTTGTCGAATGCAGACCCGGAGTCTTGATGGACATGTAATAGGCCGGACGTATCCATTACCGGTTTCGATACGACCATGATCGTCAAGCTCGACGAGGCTGAAACCAGGCAAAGGATCCTCCTGCACAGGCTGCAGCCAGGTGAGCTTGTGATGCGAGGCTTTGCGAGCTCACACGGTGCATTCGCTGGCCTTCCGCTTCCAGGAATTGAGTTTTAGACTCAGAGGAGCAAGCACCTTCTTTGCAGGCGGGCAAACCCGGCTTGAAGAGCTGCAATTGGATGCTGTAGGAGGAGGATCATTTGCAATGAAACTAACACTCTTAGGGAAGCAGGAGAATGCGCACGAGGATGGGGTGTGGTCTGCAGCCTGGGCGCCAAGCTCAGCGGACGCGCCTGGCGGGGTTGTGGTGACCGGCTCAGTCGATGAGACTGTGAAGCTCTGGCAGGTCAGTGCGCGCTATCAAACCACTGCCGAGACACCGCTTGAGCAGATGCAGCCAGCTGGTGCAATGTAGGCAGGACTGCATCAGGAAACTTGCAGCTTGTTGCTGATTGGACTCTTGCAGGCTTGGTCTAATTCCGCACATGATTCCATTTGCTGGTTTGAAAGTGGCATCGTTTGAAACGGGGCGCTAATTGCTGGCATCGCACTCAGTAAAGCGTTCATCACTTGTTTGCCTGTTCTCCACATTATGATTTAGTTATGGAGCTCGTCAATCTGGCTGTCCTGACGTTTGGCTTTCAAGGACATTCTCATGATTTCATTGGGTGCCATTCCTCCCCCGTTCAAAACTTGCATGCTTGTGCAGTACCACCATCCTAGAACTTTTGACACGAAGTGTTGCGGAAGTCCAAGATTATTGTGTATACTGACTGCAATTGACGCACCAAAGATAAGGATTCTCAAATGGAAACTTTCTGCCAGGTCGGGGACAGTGGCCTCCAACCCGACCGCACGAACGCCGGCCACTCCCTCGGCGTCGTCTCGGTTGCTGTCGACCCCTCTGGCACTCTTGCCGCCTCTAGTTCCCTTGACAGCATCGTCCGTGTGTTCGAAGTAAGCACCAATGAGCAGAAAGCCGCGCTGGAAAGCCCGCCGGCAGAGACGTGGGGTGTCGCGTTTTCACCCTCGGGGAAGCAGCTTGCGGTGGCGGGAGGGGGCAGCGGGACTGTAAAGCTCTGGTCGATGGAGACGTTCCAGCAGGAGGGGAACTTGGAGATCCCGCTGCCGGCGGAAGCGGGGTCGAAGCGGTCGCAGGGGCGGTTTGTGCTGGCGGTGGCGTACAACATGGACGGCAGGAGAATAGGTGGGTGGTGTGTGCAGGGGTATCTCCTTTTCGTACCTTGAAACAAGCAAGATCCCGAGTATTTGACTGATTTATGTGCGCAAGTGTCCAAACCTGTTGTATAGTGGTGTGGGAATGAACGTTAGAGTCAGCGATATTATCCCTCAAGTGCTCCGATGGTTAACCTTCGGATCAGAAGGGATCGATGTCGACTGTTCCAAACTTGCGAACCTCTCCAAGCCATGGTGTACCAGATAAGGGGCTAAAAGCGTTCAAAAACGGTCTCAGATTCCCGGAAGAGGCGGGGAAGAAGCCTGTGACGCATTTGGAAACAGTGCTGGTCAGTCGTATTCCCTTTTTTGAACTGAATTCACAGTAAGTGTCCTCTGAACTTAGTAAGCAGTCAAGCCAACTCGGATTCCTCGAAAAGTATTGCTTACCTCCTTTAGCTCCAAGAAACGAGATAAACAGCCTACTGTCACTGCTCTGATCGTACAGCCGCCAGCACAATGGACGGAACGATTGCCATCTTCGACGTCGCCACCCTCAAGTTCATGCACACCCTCGACGGCCACCACATGCCCGTGCGCTCCCTCGCGTGGTCGCCCACTGAGCCCCGAATTCTCTACACTGCCTCCGATGACTGCCACAGCCACATATACGACGCCGAGGGCAAGGGCCTGATCGCAGCCCTATCGGGCCACGGTTCGTGGGTCCTTTCAGTGAGCGTTAGTCCCGATGGCACTGCTCTTGTGACGGGGTCGAGTGATAGGACGGTTCGCTTATGGGACCTTAGCTTACGCTCGTGCGCACAAGTAATGTCAGATCATGGGGATCAAGTCTGGGGGGTGGCGTTCCGGCCGACGGCGCCTGGGGAGGAGCCAAGTCAACGAGGGGGCAGCAGGCTCGTGACAGTCTCGGACGACAGAAGCATTGCTCTGTACGACTTTTCATGAGCACGTGTCATTGCACCGTTTCCTTGATCTTGTTGCCGCACGCTGGCACTGCATGGGATCGGCTGGAGCACGAGGCAATTGTTCTGGGTATGCGCCCAAGTATAAGCCCTCGACTTTTACACGTGAAGTCGCATAGACGGATCTGGCACGCCACCATTTTCCCTGCTTCAATCAATGCGAGTGGTTCTCTGTTGTTGCGGTCAGATCGAGATCATTGTATAGAGCGTTGGGACACCCATACGGTCACATGGTGGCTCTTGCCGATTACAGCTTTAGCCAGAGGCATGGCGTGGCCCGGGCATTAAGCACAAGATGACTTCAAATGGGCCGTGCCCACACTCACATTTCTAACTTATCTAGCTCGACGGTAAGCCTGTGAGTCACACCATATGCATTGCCGCGGGCATGTGCAAATGCGTCACTGCAAGCAACTTTGACTCGATCAGCGATTTGTAAGTATAGGGCATTAGGACTCCATGACAGTGAGTGCCCGAATCCGGCATGAGGCGTTATGCAATGCATATATATATCAATGCTTGAAGAGTATATCAAAAGATACAAACCCGTTTCCAATGTGGCCGGCGCGATCGGCAATCTTCGAATGCGCGTTTGGGTGGCGGCCAGACTAGCTTCAAAAGGCACAGATATCCGACATGGCATGCCAATTTCAATGGTCGACTTATATCACTCTTAAGGATCGATGTCTGATATGGGCATTGGACCGAATGACAGGCTGCCAGTTCATGTGGTGTTTTGCCACGGTACCTGCTTCAGTGGGTGATCAGCGCAGCCGGCCTCAACCCAAATAACATCTGTACACCTATGCAGCAGGGTGGTGTCTTGCAAGCAAAACGTCAAAAGGTTGATAAATTATCAATTGAATTCTTTGGCATGACAACCATTGATGAGCCCGCGGGCTCATGTACATACGATGGTCCTTTGTAATATTGGCATATGTTACAGGGCGGTGAAACAATGCAATACAAGGTGAGGAAACAAGTAATCAATTTTCAAGCAACAGGAGTGGGCAGCTCCTTCCCACTGAAGTGGGCTGTCAAGTTTCGCACTACAAGATCTGCCATGTCTTCCCTCGTCTCAAATGTAGCGCTGCCAATGTGTGGTTGGAGGACAACATTGTCCATCTTTCTCAGCTCCTCCGGAACGCGCGGCTCATCCTCAAAGACATCAAGACCGGCTGAGCCCAGCCTGCCCTCTGCCAATGCTTTCACTAACTCTGACTCAACGACCACTGACCCCCTAGCTATGTTCACAAGGCATCCTTTAGGCCCAAGCGCCTCCAAAACTTCTTTATTGACTAAGTGGCGGGTCGAGGCCCCCCCAGGACAGGCGATCACAAGAAAGTCACAAGCCTTGGCAAGGTCCACAAGACTTGAGTGATACTCGTAGGGCACTCCAGATTTCTCGTGCCGGCCGTGGTAAGCCACTTTCATGTGGAACGCAGATGCTCGAGAAGCAATTGCCTGGCCTATTCTTCCTAGCCCCAGGATGCCCACCTTCTTTCCAGAAACCTTGCGCTGAATTGGAAAGTTACCTTCTTCCCACTTGCCCTCACGTACATACCTGTCCGCCAAAGTTAGTCTTCTGGAAACGTCTAGCATTAAAGCTAGAGCAAGATCAGCGACATCATCTGACAGCACATCTGGAGTGTTTGTAACTCTGATGCCCCTATCTTTGGCAGCGTTGACATCGATGGCATCATACCCAACGCCAAAGTTTGCAATGATCTCAAGGTTTGGGAGGCGGTCCATCATCTCGCCATTAACTCCTTCATGGCCCGGAACGACCGCTTTAATCTGGTCCCCGTCATTTGCAAAGAAAGTGTCTGCGTCGGCTTGCTCCCAGAGTTTATGTACAGTGAAGCCCGCATCTGCAATGCAGTGATGTTACTCGGATCAGCAGATGTCTTTTTGGCGGTCTGTCTCTCATCTTTCTATCTTTTAGTTGATTGCTTTGAGAGACCGTGCCTGCTGGAAGCAACATCAGGTCGAACCCAGAAACCTTCCGAGGTAAGACTCTTAGACTTTTCAAAACATCTATTTCAGCACGACTTGTCTGGGCTTTGCATGCAGAAAGAAGACACTGTCTACAAGTTGATGACCACCATACCTGCTAGCTTCTCTACCAGTCTGCCCCATGCTGGCCCCACCGCACTGGGGGACGCAGTCAGGACGTGCACAGGGCCATCCTTTTCAGCCTTTCCTTCCCCGCTTCCAGCTTGTTCCATGCTACCGAGTATCAACCCAGAAAGCCGTCTAGAGTCGATGGGCCGGCTGGGCGACTTTTCCAAATGGTGGTGCAAAGTGCACGGAAGCCCCGTGCTCTGACTCCTCCTCCGCTTTGAAACTGCAAGATAGTTGTGTGCAACGAAGCAGTGACGTACAACAAACGCCCTTGAAGAAGGGCCGGACAAACTTCCTGGAATAAGGCTGTCTGGAAATTGAACAGTTGTCTGTGGTCGAGAAAGGAAGCAATCGAGGGACGGGGCGCTTGCTAAAACCTTTGAATAACTGGCCATTGGCATTGGCATCGTCTTTCTTTGGCCTGGATGTGAGCTGGACTTGGGAGGAATGCAGGGGCAAGCATTGATGCCCAGGCCCAGGAAGAACATGCAACTTGCAATTGCAATATTCACGTGCATAACCGGCTCCGCCCATGCGCGTATCAAGGCTATTCCATCCTCGTATGGATCATAAAATCATCATTTAATAAATACTGCGTAATAACATTAAACTGTGAGCTGTCCAAACCATCCAAACAGTGAAAACCTTTGAGAGAATTTGAAAGAACCTTCTGGCATTGAGCAACGACTTCAAATTCTGCCCCTCGTATGAATATTCAAGATACTTATTGCGCCACATGCAACTTCCAATTATGCTGGCACCACGAGGATCAATTTCTGAGCTTGCTGCACCCAAACTTGGATCATGGGGGCACTAGTGGTGGCGGACTCCACTAAAATCATGACCAGCAAAGAAGCCTGGAAGGAAACACTGCCAGGCTTCCCAAGAAACGATTCTGAAAGTTGTGGAAGTGGGAAACACTGAGATGATGCATTTGGGCGCGAGCTGCATTGAAGTTGACGGTGGCGGTGTCCATTGCTCCCATTCACAAATCTGTAGATCAATGGCTCTGAGTTGCCCTTCAGCCGCTAAGCTGTAGCTTGTACGGTGCTGCGTTGAACAAAAGATCATTCTTAAAGATCATTCTTGTTCCCTTTTTTGACTCTTCTCAGAAACGGGGGAGCAATAGGCATACAGGACCAGGATCGCAGCTTTGCAGAGGGTTAAATTGAGAAGCTGGAACGATGGATGTTCAAGAACTTGACCCCGACTTAGTCGACCCGTGCCCTGATATACACGCTCTCTTCTGCCACTACAACGATTTGTACTTTCAGGTAAGCGTAATCAGTTCTTCTATCCCAAGGCTTTGCCAGAAGCTGAAGCAGGATTTCTGGATGTATTGCAGTCATTGGTTTTTCCATATATTCAAATGATGAGAACAGGTGTCTTTCATTGTTTGTTTGCCCCTGGGGTGGAGATGATCAACTGGGGCAACATTCTTCCACAAATGCTGTAGCTGAGATCTTCTTAATGTTCGCTGTTCGTGGAAATATGTTCCCCTTCTTCCATGCCTATGCCGCATCTCATGCTGACTTGACCATAAAAAGGTGGTGCATATTCTCGAAGCATCACCAGCCCCTCTTCTTCACTGCAGGGCTCTCTTGGGGCCTGCAGTGTCCAATGGAGCTCCAAGAGGATGACACTCTGCGCAGGAACCTGCTCCTACCAGGTGAAAAGCAGAATCATGCGCTTGTTGAGGTCTCAAAAGTGGCCAAAGTGACCCATGCCTTGATTGGATTAAGAGAGTAGAGATCTGGTCATTATCCTATTGTCAGGATGCCGCACTTCTTGATCAGCCGGCAATTGATCATTCTCAGATCAAAATAGTGCCCCAGGAGAAGCCTATGGTCTATCTGATCAAAGCTTTTTTGACTGAGTTCATCATCAAACATCGTCTGATTGATGTAGTCAGCCTGAAGAAATGCAGCCACTTCGTTCCTCTGCTCCATTTGTCGGCAACTTCCAAACCCTGTAGCTGCCCGCACATATATCTTGCTTCAAGTCATGAGGCTGAACGATGTTTTCTCAAATTTGATGCTTCTTCAGAATGGTGGTGGCTGCGTCATCAAGTTGTCTGAGCCGCTGCTCAAGTTCCGGCCCCCAAAAGACCTGAAGGAGACGTTGCTGCACGAGATGATACACGCCAAAATCTTCCTTACGAGTACGATCAGAGACCATGAAGATCACGGGCCTCAGTTCCAGGTAAGGCTTGGAAGTCAACAATTGTTCAATATTGCAGCATAGGATGTCATTCCAGACATCCTTTTTGGAAGATGTCAGTGGCGCAGCACATTTCCTGCTTCGGTGATCACGACACATATCTTTGCTTGTGGACAAGGATGACTAGACGCTGCAATTTCTAAATCGGAAAAGTCGAAAAGGGTACACACATTCAGCTTGGCCGTTTAGAGATGCCTGCGAGAGGCTTCGAGAATCGACTGTGCTCGAAGCTTTAACAAGGAGTACGCATGTTTTGATTGCATGCCAATCCGGCGGATTTTCGGGGCACCCATGCTTCTGTACCTGACTTTAGTAAGAAACGTGTGACTACCTCTGCAGTCAATCATGAAGGGCATCAATCAGAGCCCAATCGACGACCACCAGCGTCCCTTTGGCGGATACGACATCGGAATCTACCACACATTCCGGGACGAAGTGCAACACCACCGCCGGCATGCCTGGACGTGTCAGTCCTGCGGACGGGAGGTGCGCCGCGCCATGAATCGGACACCCTCTCCGTCCGACTGCCGCTCGCGACCGCCCCCCGGAACGGAGTGCACGGATTCGCGCTGCTTGTGGCATACGCATGAGAAGACGTGCGGGGGGGCATTTGTGAAGACAGAGGAGCCTGAGGGGTATGGGGAGAAAGGAAAAGGGAAGAAGAGGAAAGGGGAGGAGGGGGCAGAGAAGAAGGCGGGCGAGGGGGCGGGGCGCAAGGGGGCTCTGGATGCATGGGTGAAGAAAGGTGAGCTGCACAAGACTCCGCTTGGCATTATGTTGCAATCGTTGGTCTTTTTCTCCAATTCCAGAAGAGGCGAGACGTACCGAAAAGACGGTCGGAAGTCGGAAGTCGGAAGTCTGGTGTTGACGAATTGTACCTGGATTGACGAGCTCGATATGGAAGAACGGCCCCTTACGTCCTTCTATAACTCCATTTCAAGACGTCCTTTTTCACACCCTTGAAGCTTTGCCGAACTTGGAAGCAGTTGCTGCCGCTCAAGATTGTCTGTAAGTCCTCGCCTATTGCCAGAATGGGCGGATGTACGCTTGCTTTTCTGGGGGGAGAACCTTTTTAGATGACTCACACACTTCCAACATCTTGCCAGGGAGCAAGGAACCTGCAACAAGCGCCCGCGACGCAGCAGCGCAGGCGGCCGAGAAACGGTGGCAGGAAAACAACGCTGCAGACGAGAAGCCGGTTGACGAAGGGGAGGGGAAGAAGCGGCAGCGGCGCGGCAACGGCTGGGTGGCACCGAAGAACGGGGTCGCTGGTGACCCGACGTTTGTGGATCTGGATGCCTCACCAGGCAAAGAAGTTTCGAAGGACCTGGAGCCCGGTTCTAAAGCCGTGCCGCCTCGGCAGTCGGGGGATGGAAAGCCGGCGAGAGCGAAACGGGAGGAAGTAAACCTGGTGGAGTCGACTCCTATTACCAAGTTCTTCCGGAAGAGGGAGGGGCCGGCGGAAGAGAGGGAGCGTAAGGTGCCAAGGCTTGATTTGTCGACCCCGGAAAGTAAGGGAGGTAGCGGGAGCAGGGGCTTAGCAGAGTTTCAAAACAAGGGGAAGGACGTGGCGCCAGTCGTTGATGGGGACGGCTGGGAAGTCTTTCCCTTGGAAGAGGACGTTGGGACGGCGGTAGTGGAAAATACGAGCGGTGAGCAAAGACTTGCAGGCGAAGAGTTAGTGCGAGCCCCTTCTGAAGATGGTCCGGCGTTCAGAAGAAAGGGCTGTTTGGTCGGGCGTGCTGACGGGGAGGCGGGCCTCGACACCACAACACGTGCGCAGGCGGTCGCTCCTCCGGAGGAAAACGGCGTCAATGGACGCGCGAACGGTGGGGCGGGCACTGAGAGGGGCTCGGAGGGCTCAGACCAAGATGGTGACGTCAGCGAGGAGGAGAGCGATCCTGAATGGACGGAGGGAATGCGAAACAAGCGGACGCGATGGGAACGGAAAACTCGAGGCAGGCGGCGCAAGAAGAGCGGGAAGAAGGTGGTTCGAGAAGAGAGCGACTCGGAAGATTTGCTCGAGTTAGACCCTAGGCCCAGTAAGCAAGTCGGGAGCGGAGCGAAACGAGAACGATGTTCTGGGGGGGAGGAGATGGAGTGGGAGAAAGAGGAGGGGGTCAAGAGCGAGCCGGAAAAGAAAGACGGCATCCGGAAGTACTTTCTGAGGAAGGGTGCAGCGCAGGGGGGAATAGCAGGGGATAGAGCTCCTGGGTCTGGGGGGGCAACGATAGACTTGGACGAGGACGCTGATGCGGAGCAAGGGGTGGGGTCGTTGCAGGACACGCGCAGAGGGAAAAAGCGGAAGCGATCCTCGGGGAAGGAGATAGGGTTAGAGAAGCCGGTCGCTTTCGAGGATCCCGACTGGCGAGGGGTTGAGCGGTACGGTGTCCTGCGGAAGCAAGGGATCGGCGTTGCTGACGTGGGCAATTTTGAGGTTAATTGGCAACGGCGTGTGCAGTGGATGAAGGAGACTGTGGAGGAAGGCGATTGGGAGGGGAGGTTGGAATCCAAGCGGCAGCGGAGGGTGGGCCCCGAAATGGGAGGAGGCGATGGGAGCAGCGAGCCAACGCAGGGGGGCCAGGTCAGCGGGGAAATGAGGGGGGGGGAAAGCATGGAGTTGCCTGGGGGCAGTGGCTTGCAAAGAGAGAGGAGCGACGTGTCTGAGGAGATGGGGGCGATGCGCCTGGACAGTTCTGGCCCGGTGGAGCAAGAGCAGGCCGGATCAGGGGGCGCTATCCGCATGCGGAAAGCTTCGGTCGTGTCGCGGGGCGACGGATTAGGTGGGGCCGAGAAGGTCGCTCCGGAGATCGACGCGAAACAATCGGACAGTGGAAATGAAGAGTCGCAAGCTGAGGCCAAGCTGGAAAGCGGAGACAGGCTCAGAGGTTGGGAAGAGGCTCGGACTAGAGGGGCGAAGCTGACGGAAGAAGAGCTTCAGGCTGCATTACGTTCTGGTCTGGACGAAGAGCCTGCCGAACTGGATGTTTTGCCAGCCGCCGAAACGAAAAGCCAGGGTTACGGTTCCGGGGGCCACAATCGCTCGCGGAGAGTGCTCGCCCTATCTTCTCAAGATAGTTATCAAAGCGGTGACGCCGGGGATCGGGTGCAAAAAGCTGGTTTATCACCTGAGAATCCGGAAGGACAAGAAGAGCCCTCCGAGGAGGCAGTAGTCTGTCCACTTTGCCAAAAGCGGTTCCCTGCTGGCACCAACGAGGAAGCTGTGAACGCTCACGCCAACCAGTGCCTGGATCAGGGCACAGTTTAGGTCGCATGGTAATGAGTGACACAAGGCTCTTCGACAGGCAACATTGACAAGCAAGGCCGTGAAGTTCCGCGGCCGCCTTACTTGAATCCAACCTCGATCACAGTTTCCATGGGGCTAGCATGTGTTCACAGATTGCAATTATTCCGGTTGTGGTCGGACACGTTCTAGCCATGTATACTGTGAAACGTTGCTTGCCTGTTGTGTCGGTCCCCGAGGAGCTTTGGACGGAGCTTTGAGTTATGTATGTATCGATGTCCACACAGACAATCCGGTTCGCTGTTCAGATGCGGTTATGCACTGCTAACCTACCCATGCTCATCAAGCGCTGCGCGGATTTCAGTCGTGCAGCGCAGATCGGTCATGCACTGCATGCAGCTAAATCTCCAACACATGCACATACAGCTAATCCGTTACATATATCCCATGCATGGGTCGGGCTCAGCTATCATGCATCTACTGTAGCTGCTAAGTTAACTTATATCGATCCACCGCCATGTTCATATGCCATATCCAGGCACAACTCATCATTGCAATTAGTGCATGTGGACAAATGAAGCACACATGCAATTGAGGCGCTTGCACCTACAGGCATCCCCAATGACGACCATGACCAATGCTCTGCCAGTGCACATGCCGAGCGCTACTCTGGCAATGGATGAAACATATACACTGCAGATGGTGCAGATTGATTGATCCGTAACTTTTGCAATCGTGCAGTATTGATAGGAACTTTGCAAGGCTCGCCCACGTCTAGCTAGGCAGTGAACTACACCTGGTGGAGAACAACAAGCGAATAAGTAGCCAACACGCTGGTATAAATGTCCATGAATCCAGGATTCTAACTTCAAAGATAGCAGTCTGCAGTTTAGTAGACCCTTGGGCTACTCGGTCTTCCCCTCCTCTACGTCATCGTCTTCAAGGCTGAACACGTCAGTCTTGACAGCTGACTTGGACGGCTTTCCGGCTGCTGCCTTTGAATCCGTTGCTGCTTCCTTGTCCTTGGATTGAGCCTGCGTCACTTTCGTCAACGCAACCTCTTCCTCGTCCATATCGTCCACGCTGTCATCGCCGTATGCGAACCTGCGCGGCACGCAAAATCCTCCGACTATTTGCGACAGGACAATTGTATACTGACTTGTGTCGACGCTACTGTTCTGGTTGACAGCTGATCCAATGTTGCTTTTACAGTGTCACGTGCGGTCATAAGAAAAGTAAGAAGGCCACCCGCCAAAAGCTGTACACTTTTGCTTGGGCAAGTCTGTAAGTGGAACTTTCATGAAGCTCAAGCCTTCATCTTCTTAGATTCAACAGACTCCCTTCAGGAAACAAGCGATAAGGCAGGTGCGGCAAACAAGGGAGAGTCCATACAACCACAGGATTTCGTGTCCCGAGGTGCACGCAACGTCCACATCGCTACCATGCATCGTCACCATCCGTACACGAAGACACTCACTCGTCCATACTTGTGGGAACAGAAACTCCAAAGTAGGCAGATGTTTGGCGAAACATAGGCGTGCAGGGCAGGGGCTCTGATTGAACGTGAACCACTGACCTGGTTGCATTGTGGGTGGGCGCCCACAGATAGCAGATGACTGCCAGGATCCCGCCATTCAACACCTGCCAGAACGCCTGGAGGATCCAATCGCTCTGCCAGCGCTCGTTCAGTTGGTCCGTCACCTTGAACCACATCTGCACCCACCAGACACGTGGCACGAAATGAGCCGTCCGCGATAGTCGCTGACAGCCTTGCAGAACAACAGGACAAACTTTGAGAGCTCAGCAGCTCCCAAAGCAGAAGCCATTTGACACAAGCTCACGTCGAGTACGTAGGATGCAAACATGGAATTGTCGCTTGGCATGCTCGGACAGAACAATCACCCAAGTTGCATTGAAAAGCCTGCACGTTGCCTGACGAGGAAAGCTGAACAAAGCAGACGCAATCTTAAAGGAGCAAACAATTTAAAAGCTGGCAGGACTGCTTACCTCGTAGGCAATCCAGGCGATGGAGATGAGTACAGAGACGGCCAGAGCGTTGGTGAATTTTCTGTAAAGGTCCAACTTGGCTCCTTGTCTCCGGTTCTGCAGGAAGAGGGAATGCACATTGAGATGCGTAAAAGCCCGCAAATGTTCAACGAGGTCAAATAAAAAGCTAGCAACGACGAGATTCGCGCGCCAGCATCAACGATTGACCCTAGCAATCGAGCGACGGATTGCGACGAGGTTACCAGTGCGGCATCACTCCTCGATAAAACCCACTGACTACGCGGCCTGACTGCATGTCTAGGTGTCCTGCGTTCACCGCTTCGGAACAGGCCAAGGCAAATCGTGACAGACCTGAAATCGCCCAAGCAAGGAGGCTAGGAAAGACCAAAGTTATACCAATCATCTTCATTAGTCGAGTAGGACAAAAGGATAAACACAATAAGCCCCAGGATTGAATGGTTGCGCCAAACCATACCTGCAGCTGCGCCAGCGTCTTGGAGAGCGAGGTGAAGATCCACAGGATGAAGATCGCGTCGAGCACCGCCACCGGGAGCACCAGGAAGATGCGCGCGCTGCTCGTGAGGTCATCGATCGTCCCCACGTTTTGCATCACGTCCAGGCTGCACGTCGCGACGAAATACGCCGCCCCCAGCATGAGCACCTTCGAGGTGATCCCCCCCAGCGTGGGCCGCACCACGCCGTACCCCATTGACACCACGAGGATGAGCATCCGAGAAATGGTCTTGCGCACGGAGCCCAGTGTCACGGCCCAGACGGTGGTGGCGTACGGGCGGACCCCGTACGTGTTGAAGTTGACGAAGTCGAAGTACCACGTGGCCATCTCGAGCATGCACAGCGCAATGACAGCCGTGATGCAGTTCTGCGACGGAAATTGGTTCCCATTGAGTTGGCATGCTGGCACATTCTTATTGTCGAACCGGAAGGTCGATTGTTGGCAAGCATCCAAGAAAGGAAAGAGCCAAGGCGCCAATCGATATGTAGAACATGAATAGGGGTCTGCGTTTTGACGGCTCCAGTCAAACGGAGTCGGAGTGGCTATGCTGGACCTTAAGCATAACCCTGATTCTTCAACCCAAAACTTTCGAAGACCTTCCATGAAAGGTCCACTCGTCTGAGCTTCAAAGTGCATGGGGCAAGGAAGCGGGCTACTTCTTGTCCGTTTCATCAATCAAAAAGCCACAAAGTCAAATCGATACCTATGGAAATCAGAGCGAAATGTGTTGAAACTCTGATGGCTAAACAGTGCAGTCTGGCGACAGTGCTCTGTGCTTTCGAATAGGAAAAGTAAGTAAAGAACTAACAGGATGACACAATAACAAAGAAAGAAGCAGAAAATTTGCCGGGTAGGTTGACAAACGGAATGAGCTCTTCCAAACGCTTCAATCAATCGGTATTTACCTGCAGCGCAAGAATGTCCTTCCAGAAGCGCAGATACTGCATGAACCAGACCGCCCCAAGGGCCAGGTAGCCCAGCGCCATGAACCCATAGAACGTCTCAAACGGTGCCATCATCCCTGGGAGGTAGCCAAACGGGTTCTTCCACACCGTCATGCCCGTGACATTCACCCCCACGAGGCTGCGGTCGCAGATCACGTACCACAGGTAGTACATCCCGGTTTTGGTGATGGGAACGTCGATAGCGGGGTTAGCTATGAGTGTGGTGTCATTGCCCTGGAAGCGGAAGTCGATAACCTGCAAACCACCAGATATACCATCCTGAGGAAGAAAAGCTGTGGTACCAAGTTTTGGTGAACCCTCTTTCTTGGCAAGCCGACCATGTGGCCAGGAAAAGAGATTCCAAGATGGGACATAGACCGGCTGACACAACTAGAGTGGCAAGAAACACTTGCTCTTTGACCAGTTTTCCATGTGCCGGTGAAGCAAGATCTGAAACGCACGATCGCCAGGCCTCACCTGAGGCCAGCCAACATCGACGTAACCCTCGCTCTCCACGTGCGGCTTCACTATCACATGGCCGGGCTCGCATCCTGTCGCTTGGACGAGGTCCTCCGAGCAGCACAATGCACGGCCCTGGGGGGTCTCGTAACCAACACGGTCCCGGTCGCCAAGCTCAAAGATGAGGGCCTCCACCAGGCCGGTGTCAGAGTCCTGGGGGGAGTGCTCTGCGGCCAGGTAGTCAGGCCGGGTAAAGACCAAGTGCTGGAACCTGGCAGGGGAGAAACGGAGGTTCCAGTTTTAAGGAAGATACGAGCAACGTCATGGGACATTTCGTGACATATGTGCTGAGAAGTTCAATTTTATGGGAGTACTCAAGGACATCCTGGAAGACCTTTGGAGGAAAAGTCGTATGGGTTGAAGGGAACCATCTGCAGACTGTCGCCAAGCTCAACAAGTGCTGTCGTTCACGTAGCCGTCGAAAGATTACCACGCTTTGAAATCCTGACTACCAGCTGCCCACCCTGCGAACAGTAATAGAAAACTACTGTTCCTACTCTGAACCCCACAGTCAATCCAAGCCGCTATCCAGTGATTACTGTCTTCCCAAGATTGGCAGTATCAACAATGGCTCTACTTCTGCTGTTCATAGCTTTGATGCATAGTCAGTTTGTCACAGCTATGGATCAAAAGCTTCGCTTGGACCAAATTCTCTAAGATGACCAGCTTATCAACCAGAGGTTGCAACCAACACTAATCACTTTTGCACCATTTGGCTTTGCTGCGATGGAACTTTCAGAATCAGAAGTGCACACAATCCATACGATCAGGCGCAAAACAAGCTGGCATTGCAGTCTGTTCGCAATGAGGTACCACTACACAGCCCGATTGCCTCTTCCAACGCCTCCCAGATTGTGTCTCCACCAAAACAGATCTCATCACTGAAAGCTGGGCAAAACAGCTCATCGTGTTGCCCCGAATCACAAGGTGCTAGTGCAGGCAACTAACTTTCAACCTTGATTTGCAGGTTGCTACAAATGCTGTCAAAGCTGCTTCTTAAAGATAAGGCACGCTGCGATTGCAAGAGCGCTGACCCCAATGGAGTTGGACAGATGCAGCCTGAGAAGAATGTACGAGGGTTCCCTCACTCACAGAATGCTAGATGCAAGTGTTGAATACATCGCCAGTGCATTTTGCCGTCAAGAAGATCAAGTACGCCATTCCAGCGAAATTATTATCTGACAGGTGACATTGCCTGCTCGCCGTAAGCTCAGCAGCTGTGGTTTCAAAACACAGACACCGCAGCTAGTAAGAGAGCAGAAACCGCAGCTAGTACGAGTCCTGAGCTGGCACGTGTTCTTGTGGATCAGTCCTAGATCTGTCATGTGCATTATTGACTTGACCAATCGGAAGATGTTCAGATTAGAACTCACTTGATGTATGCCTTTCCATTGTTCAGACCCTTCCCAAGGGAATTCCATTTCAAGAGCGCATTATATGAGGAGTGGAACAGGCCCTCCCGCCCTCCCTGGTACCTGCGACAGGCACAAGGAACACTTCTTCTCCTGGTTTCAGTTGGCAAGGCAGAGCCAATCAAAATGCCCAAAGCTTGTCGACAAGCCTACTGCGCTTGCAACAGAATTGCAAAACTTACAAAAGCACAAACAATCAGCAGAGAAGCCTAGGAAGCATGCCCGCACGATGCCTTACAAGTACGCGTCGCCGCTTGCTCTGAAGAGGTCCCCCGTGTACTGATGCACAGCAGCTTGTGACCCAGCAGGGATCAGAATAAGGACCAAGATCCAACAGATCGAAGAGAGGTGTCCCATGGCTGATGTAGCAGCGATGTCTTGCAAGCAAGGAGCCTCACGAATCTCCTTTCAGGGACAGGCTTACAGAATTAGGAACATGGCTCATTAGGGGTTTGATCGCGTGCTTGAGAGGAGCTCCAATCAAAGCTGGTCTACGTAGCCGGCTCTTCTCCAGATCCTCCACCCTGAATGCAACAAGCGACGAGTGGTCAAGAGGACGCGGCCTCCACCATTGGCATTGGCAGGCGCCCGTCTCAAGCTCAATCAGCTTATCAAAGCTGCGTCCAATCTGCTTGTCCAATCCTCTCTCCGTCTTTTTCGCCTGTGCGAAGTATTCGCAAGTTCCATCATGGAACATCGTTATAAGCGGACCGTCCACTTCAGAATATGCGTGCCGCTGCATTTTTCTCACATTGACGAAGCTAATTGCCGACGGTTTAATTCTGGCTTTCTTGATTGAGTGGATATTCCAGGTTTCAGTGAACACTTATAGGCTACTACATTTGGGATCCCGATTTACCAGATAAACTGCAAGTGACCAGTCTGCACATGGCTTGGCGATGATCGCAGCCGATCATCCAACGGTCGAGACAGTCTCGCAGGCATTAAACTCAGCAGGCTAGGTGCACTTTTTAGGGACGGTTTGCAACTTGTTTAATTTGTTACTTGCAACTTGCACTGGCTTTGTGGCTTGCAGCTTGTTGAACTTCCAATCAGGTGTCAAGAGACTGCACCTCTTGCTATTGTTATTTGTTATTGTTAGTGCTTCATGTGAGCCGCCTCCCGAGTTCACAGCTGTCACTGTAATGAAGCTATTGAAGAGGTGTTGAAGGGTTTAACAGTTATTCATTGTGTATCCTGCAAAGAAAGCACGCAGTAAAGGGGCAGTAAAGGCTTGCGCTACGATCACTTTGCCTGAGGCTGGACAGCTTCACGATTGGCATGCAATTGATAGGCTAGCCAATGATGTTGCCAAAACACATTTGTCCCATGCGCTTGCCATCACGGAGTGGAGGCTATAGTACGTTCACATGGGGTTCACATATACTCCATTGAAGCTGTCAGATTGAAGTCTCGGTGCGCAGTGTTGTTGGCATGCTTGCCAAATCTAAGATGCCAATGTTTATAGCGACCGATTTAGCATCGTAGGTTATTGCGCAATTCTCTTGGCAAGTTCATGATCTTGATCCAGCCTTGTACATACGTCCCATTTCGCCAGCTTCGCAGCAAATTACATGTATAGCGACCTCAGTCACCAAGCGTCCAGCATTGCGCCTATAACGATAATGTCAAGAATCCTGCATTGCAGAATGCATCCAATCAATCTCTCAAGAGATGACCGTGCGCACTTTCTTGGACTGAATGAACAGGCCGATCGGCAATATTCAAGATTCAGCTTCACCTCATCTTCACCTTCAGAATGCGAGATTATCAGCTTTGTCACTCAAGCTCTTGTACTCTTGCAAGAGTGCGGGCAGATCATCGAGTCTGACGTCTCTCATAGATGCAACGTGATAGAAGCGATGTGACTTTGTTCGTTGGATAGCCGCTTCCGATTGCGACTCCCCGCTCATCTTTTCAGACCTATTTTGAACTAATGCACGAGCCTCGACTGCCACTTCCCGCTTGTAGTCGTTGAGTAATGCTCGAAGATCGGCTATCTGTAATGATGGCGCGGTGCAACTCCTGCAGATGACCAGCGCGGTACTGTTTTCCAAATGCAACTTGCCACACCGTTATCATTCGGGGGCCAACCGACGACCTTGAACAACAGCCCACTGACCGGAAACCAACAGATTTTAACTTGAGGTCTTGATTGCGCTCGTGAGTGTGAGCAGGAGAGTGCGACCAGAATAGACCCAAACAGATTATCATCATGAGATTCAAAAGTGCTTTGTTCCTAATCGAAGCACTTCAGCACAGCCGTTTCCAAAGTGGCAAAAGACCGTCGGCTATTCTTGGCACTTCCTCATCTTATATTGATCCCCACTAAGCAGGCGAGGTCAGCCTCGTCGTCCGGCTGGAAAGAGAAACGAGGACAGCAACGGCACCAGCATGCATCGTGCGGTGGCAGCGAAACCCCGCCATGAGCGACAGACGTGGTGCCCTGTCAACGTCATAATCTAATCGGCAAACGTACACAAGAAGGCTACTCGCCTGGCTCCTCAAACTTCAACCATCAATTTTCATAGAAGCACCTTCGAAACCTCAGGACACCAGCATATACGAACGGCTCACTTTCAATACAAATATACTACTTTTACTGTACCAAAAAGCGACATAAGCAACTAATCGCACGAAGCTTCGAATTAGCATAGTAAAGGTTTAGCAAAAGTAAGGCACCAGCCTGGGACGGGTGGGGTTAGTCTGGGGGTTTAGGGTGGGTACGGGTGCGAATCAGGTGAACTTTTGGGTTAGGTTGTAGTGTTCGTGGTGGAGCGCAGTTTTGCTAGAGCTTACTTTTGCTAAATTGAAGAGACATAGTTATGGTCCACATTCGTGCAACGACGCAAAGGCCGCAAGAGGCAGGAGCGGTTGGGCTCGGGGGGGCGGCAGCCCCCCCGATTGACACTGTAAAAGAAAGGGCGAAGATTTGAAACCGAGCAAAAAGTCGCCCTCCCCCGCTCACCTAAGGTACTCCCGCGCCGCGCTGGCCGCCTCTTCCGGGCTCCGCTCGAGCGCCGCGTCAGGCGCGCCCCCACCCCGCTCGCGCAGCACCCGGTACCCCAGCGTCAGCAGCTCCGAGTCGAACTGCTGCGCGCGCTTGCTGGCGGAGTGCTCCAGTGAAGGGGCGACACGTGGCAGGCCCAGCTGCTGCCGGAGGAGGGCGAGCGAAGACGCCTTGGAAGGTTGCGGCGTGTGGGAGGGTTCGTGGCTCGCGGAAGGGGGGCTGCTCGGGGCGGAGGAAAGGGGGGCGGCGCTTGACCGGGGAGAGGGCTCTGCGAGATCGAAACGAAATGCGATGAACATCGAGACTAGCCGAACCTTAATAAAGATCAAATCGGGGAAGCCTTTGCAAGTTTTTGCTGCGCTGCACCCCTCATTCCTTGGGGAAGAGCATCGTACCCAACAACGAACGGGCTGTACGGTTCGGATAAAATATGGTGTCTGCAACCCGTCAGATTTTCGCCTTGGCTAATCTTATGCTGCGCACAGACAAAAAGGACGGATACTTCAAGGCAAAAGAAGCCCATGGGCGAAAACGAGACCAAAACCTTGCATTTTGAAGTCTCCTGGCACTCTTGCACCACTGCTTTGGCCATATGACAGCATGTATTATCGGATGCGACAGCAGCGTATATAGATTTAACGGAAAAGAGACGGGCCGGAAAGGTGGCTCAGTGAAAAAGTCCAGCTCCTTGAGCGTAGACCTCTGTAAACAAAACCGGCACAACACTATGTCTGGCATACAAACAGCACCATAGAATCGAGATTGGCAATACCAAGGGCATACGATGCGTGGAATACGGATAGAAAACGGAGAGCCCGAATGACGTCACAAGTGACGCGGGCGCGAAAACATCCAAATGACATCAGGGGGAAGCCGCGACTTCATTACAAATTTACGCCCGAAATACACGAGGGGCGACAGTGCCAGAACGAAACTGGGCGCACATACCATCTTGCGTTAGCATCCAGACGTCCCCTAGCGACGCCTTCCCGTCGTACCCGCCTACGAGCAAGAACCGCCCCCCACCAACGTGCGTCAGCGTGTGGTACGCCCGGGGGGAGGGGCTGACGTCAGCGGCGAGCGAAGGGCGAGACCACTGCACGGACTTGCGGTCCAGCACGATGACGTCATTGTGGTACACGTCGTACTTGGTGAGCCAGCCCGCCTGGCCGTGGCCGCCGAAAAAGACGACCTGAGAGGAGAGGGACGGGGCTGTTGTCTACTAAAAAAGCTCATGCACCGTCCACAGATTATTCTTCTCATGGACCTCGACGCATCAGAAACACCAATGAACTTGGGCAACCTGTTACATGCATCTTCGAGAAACTTTGCAACAGCTTCGTATCATCAAGCTCTTCATCAGAGTTGCCAACTTCATCGGCGTGTGTGCCATGTTGGACCGTGACCTTCGGCTATCAGCAACGGCGGGGCAATCCAGCCAACATAGAAACCAGTCTCCCCCGTAATGCCTCCCCGTGCACAACGTTTCGCATCTGGCAACCAGAGTCTATGCTTACCATCCGTATTGTCCCTTTCTGCAGCAATGCAAAAGACAAAGAACGGGAACAAAAGTTGCGCCAATTTGTGTAGAGCAGAGCATACGACTGTCTTGTCAGCCCGTTGCATAACGAGCACCCGTTCTGCTCAAAGTTTGGTGCTTGATTGAAAGTCGTCAAACCCAGATCTCAAATTCTAGAGAGGGCGTCTATGCAACGTCCTCAACCGGCCACTGTTAGCAGGGCCTGGTGCTCGGGGTACAGACTCTATTACCAAATATTCAGCGAAAAGAAACAAGAAAGCCATGCTTTCTTGTCGCCATCTGCCGTTAGGCGTTCCGGGTCCCGGGACGCCCACTTTATGTCATCGCCGAGGATGGGCCAGAGGTTTACGCCCGATTCACATGCGTCCAGCTTTGCTTGGTTTTGCCACTTTTGTGAATTTTCGACGACGTGGCAGCTCCGCAATCACCGGGACGCATATGAAACACCACTTTCGATAATCGAGTAAAACCAAGTTCGGTAATTGTAGAGTATCCAAAAACCCACCGAAATTCGACCGCGTTCCAAAGCAGCGTAGTTGTGGAATCCAAACGCGGTCGACGGAGACCGCTTTGATTTGAAACATGAAAACTCGCCACTCTTGCCACTCTTGCCAATGTCGGCAGGGTTTAGAACCGCACATGAACCGGGCATTACCTGCGTCCCCGCAGCGGCAGTGGTGTGGCCGCACCGGGGGCTCGGGCCTGGGCCTGGGAGCACCAGCTTGGTCCACGTGGCAGCGCCCCCGTCGTCCATCAGGCCCTTGAGCGCCCACAAGTCGCCCAGAAAGCTGCCGGCGCCGCCGCTTCGGCCGCCGAACATGAGAAGCCTGGAGACGGGCGAGGGAAGCTATCCTTCTGGTGGTCCGCATTTGTCACGGTCTGCCTAACTTTAAAAAAATAAGATTCTCCATCTCGTAAGCAAAGGGGATGGACACCAGAGCGGAAGCAAATGTTTTCACGAGGAGTGGCTTGGTGTCCTAAGACGGGGACAGACAGTAATTGTGGTCGAAGATGCCCAACAAATTGACAGAAGACAAGACTCGTTTCCTTTTATGTTAAGCAGCAGGGGCAGTGCACCGTCCGACTTTCTTCCGCATCCACACCGTCCGACTTCTTCCGCATCCACAGAATATCTGGCTTTGGGTCCCGAGACAAGTCAATCACAATTCACGTGGCGAAGTGGTCCGCCGTGTTGGAGAAACATACCACAAGCCTGAGCAAGAACGCGTTTGCAGATGCCCAAGGTTCAATCTCATCTGGTGTAATTCACGTTTCCTGCTTTCTTGGGCCCAGCTTTTCACCGTGGGAACCAACATAGCATGCTATGTCAACGAACCTACATCAGGGGAGAACGCCCGCAAACCGGTACTTCTCACTTCTCGCTCAAAGACTAATTCCCAAACCGTCAGTCCTCACCAACCGACAAAATTATCGAATGTACCTCCCCTTACCTGGTCTCCACCATGGTAGCCGTGTGTCCACATCTAGGGGGCGGCGCCGAGCCCTGCGCAACCGGGAGTTGCGCCCACTCCAAAGTGGGGGTGTCTAGAACACGGGCGTCTGAGTGCCAGGCGGAACCGTCCCACCCCCCATGCACCACCAGCTTGCCGAGGGAGGGGAGCGCGGCGGCCGCGGCAAAGTCGCGGGCGGGGGGGCGGTCGCCGAAGCCGCCCAGCTGGGCCCACTGGACGAAAAGAGGGGGGTTTGAGGGTGGGCTGAGAGAGGGTTCAAGAGCGGGGTTGAGAGTGGGTCTGAGAGTAGTTTCGAGAGATGATTCGAGAGCGGGTTTGAGAGCGGCTTGCAGAGTGGGTTTGGGAGCGGGAGGACGCATAGGTGGTAGTGAATGGAGCCTAGAGAAACAAAGTCGCCCAGCAACTGAGATTGAGGTGTTGAAGTTGTGCTCTTTTCTTGCAGGTTGATGTATACCAATGCATCACACAATTAGTTGTAGTAAACAACAGCACATATACCAGCCGACTTCACTTTGGCATCTGGAAATCGTCGACAAAGATCTCAGGGTCGTGTCTCAGTCAGAAACCCTTGAGCAACCCCAGATTTGAGTACCGCAGTTAAGCATCTTCATTGAGTAGCTTTGTCACAACAAGCTAGCTTAACAAGAGCTTGAAAGATCTACACATCGACACAAAAGATCTACTCATGGAGTCAACCAGCTCACATTCCACGTGGTGGTGTCAAGCATCCAGAAATCGTCCAGGCGCCTCCGCCCCGAACGGCCTCCAAAGACAAAAAGGCGCGCATCGAGGGCGGCCGCGCAGTGAAAGGCCCGGGGGCCGGGGCCCACTGTCCCATCAGAGCTTTGGTCGCCGCTGCATTCTGGACGAAACCACACAGCGTGCTCTGCAGAGGAGGGGGTGGGAAGCATCTAACCAAGCTCGTTCTGTGGAGTCTCTATTGTTAGGCAGTGAGAGATGTTGTGAAGGTGTCAACGGGTTGGTGCGCTGTGAATTACATTAGGAAGTGGTTCGAAATTGATTGATGGAAGCGCCTCCTAAATTAATGATAAAGTGGGTGACACTGGCGAGGTTAGAGAGTCGAACCTACTTTTTGAAGCTGTTGGGGCTCACTTGGGATGCCGAAGGGCAATTGTCTAAAAGAAGAGGGGGAAGCAGAATCATTTCCAACTTGGGAAGTGAGCTTCCAACGGATAGGCTGAACATGCAGAACTCCGCAAAGCGTCCATTCTCATGTGTTAACAAATTCAAGCTCCACAAGGCGTGCAAAGAACCTCACCTGTGTCTAAGACGACAAGATCACCTGCAGCAAATGTATGGATGCTTCGTAATTGAAGTCCAATTTTGGAGAAAAGGTGCCCCTCCATGCACGGAGCTATACAAACAAAGACAAATTTCTCGATTGATTTACTGCATACTGCTAATGGAATGTCAGTGCTTTGAGCAAACATAGGGTCCTCAAAGCTGCGTCAAAGGCACTGCTACAATTCTGCAACACCAAGGCACTGTACACAGCCATTTCGGACGGACTCATAAGACTGTACCCACCAAGAAAAACTTTCTCAAAAAGCCCGCCATATACCACCACAAGTGACCCGTTGACCAGAGCTGCGGTGTGCCCACTGCAGATAACAAATGCTGCATTGATTCAATAACCAGTTGTGTTGACTTGTGATCACAGAATGGGGCGCTGGAGAAAAGCAAGCCTCTCAAGCCGAAGTTTTTCCAGCTGCTAAGATGGTTATTTTCAAGCAGCTGGAGAGTGGCACTAGCTAGGAAACTACGCAGATTGCTTCAAGCTGGGCACATTGGGGCATTTCGCCTCAAGTTGGGCACATTTCAATGAACCTGGAGAACCTGCTTAATTGCACACGGGTTTCATGGCACTTCTTCCACCCCACACGCACCTCCTTGGTGACGGAGGCTCTCCCGTGAGCTCAGTCTGGCAATTGCGCCACCGCATCATGGCGCCAGAAAGGATGCAGAGGAGTTTCCAGCTAGCAGAAGCTAGCAGCCCGCCTTGCTTAACGAATCTGTGACATGTGAAAGACACGCTCCTTGCGCTCCGCGCCAATGGCAGTAAGCCTTTCCTCCTCAACAAGCTGGCCAGCGTCCTTCAACTTTAAGCCAATGCCGTCTACGGGTCCAGGAAATAGGTAGGAAGATTGTCCAGGTGCCAGCTGAGAGATCTTCGCGTTATGTAAGGTCCAAGAAAATCTTAAGCGACTTTTGCGGAGCTTGCCGTGAGGCAGGACGGTCGCAAGATGGGCAACAGCTCAATACGGAATCGAAGGATTGAAGGTCCGAAAGACCTGAGTTTGAAACGACGTACGATGACAGCAAGCAGCCGTTCTCTGGAACGGGGAGCTTCAACCTCCCCATCAAATACAATCAAACGTACCCATGCTGGACGGATTGCCCTGTGGTTTGGAAGTGCCGAATAGTTGAACTTGAAGTGGGTGAAACTTGAAGCTTTTTCGACAGATCCACACGTTGTTTACCAGCATGATGGCGTCCCAGTGGGCGCTTGCAAGGGAGAAGCGATTGATGTCCAGAGCGCACCTAAGTGGGATCTGAGCGTTGAGTGCGCTTGCAATCTGGCCCCTGGACGGGCGGAAACTGTCACAAACGATGCTGCTTCGGAGCAACTCATCGGATTCTTTGGGCGGATCCTTAGCTGACAAGAGGCTTGAGACAGCAATTCCTGACTTTGAGAATTGGTTCTGAGCCAATTCAACGCCCTCCTGTGCTTTCAGAGCTGGCGCCATGGGGCACCCCCTCAAACCTACTTTTTGCCCCCAGCACTTTCCCTCCCGCCGCGTTACCATCCCCATTGCTGTCCTCGCATTCACATCTCTCCTGCTCTCCAGAATCATCCGAGTCGAGCCAGGATACACCCCGGCCGGCGACTTCCGCATCCGCTTTCTCTGGGCATTCTCCACCGCCCCCTCCGCCTCCCTTGAATTCACCCAATCGTGCTCGTCGGGCGGGCTCGACGACTTTTCTCGCGTTGAAGACAGCCCGCTTGCGACGGGGCTGCGGAAGGCGTTCAGAAAGCGGCCCCGGAAGCAGCTCCCGGAAGAGGTCGCTGAGCTGGAGTGCTCTCATTGGTGGCAAGCTTATGCTGACTACCACCGAAGGGTTTTGGATTATAATGGAGCGGGGGGGTGGCCTGCGCCCCGGCTAGCGGTGGTCAAGAAAGGGAGGGGCGTTTTGGGGGATGGGGGGGGGCTGGGAGACACGGTTTCGAGCCAGGTTTCGAGCCTCGTGTTTGCAATGCTGAGCGGGCGGGTGTTCCAGGTATACTGGACGAAAGCCCAATTTGTGTTTGAGAACCCGTACATAAACACGAGCTACACGGGCCCGGAAGAGTACCTAGACCTTACGCCGGATAAGGAGCAGGGAGGAACTGCGGAAAGCCGCGACGGGAAGGCGCAGTCGTCGTGCGTGCAGGTGCCATCAAGGAATGATGCAGGTGAGGCTGATGTCATTGATATCGTCACGACTCACCTGGGATCTAGTCAGCTGCATGATCTCAACCTCCTTGCAGATGAATGGCCTCCAAGGATGTTGATTGGATCTGCTGTTGAGGAGAGTGTCTCTTAGGCTGTTAAAATGTGAGTCGTACCTTGAGACAATGCGAAGCGGGTGCTGCTACCGACTCAGACCCTGAGCTGCCAATCTGGAGAAACAACCTGAGAATGAGTTCTTTGGCGGTCGTTTGTTCGCTGGCAGCTAACAGCGACTTAGCGAGCCCATTGAAAGTTTCACGGGCGTTTGGTGTCCTATCCGACTAGTAAGAGCTGCTAGGCTTACGCTCAAATATCTTGATTCTAATCCAAGCTGACTTGCTTCTGAAGTGTCTAGGAAGGCTGCGATGCCCTTGGTTAACTCTTATAGGCTCAGGGGGCTCATTAATCATTTGGAAGAGTTCTGCTCAGAGAAACAAACTCAACTCATTTGGCCCGCTTGCTATATGGAGCGTCTCTTTGACATTGCCTTGAAGACCCTTTGACCACTCACCGTAATGTCGAAGTCTCCCTTTGAGAGCACATTCGCGTTTTCGCCACATCACTGGGTTCCATATTGCTCGTTGTTTGATTACTTGGTTTCTGCAGGTGAATCAAACTCTAGAATCAATCTGTTCTGCTTCTCAGCTCGCGTTTGGCGGGTCGACAAGTTGAAGCGAACGGGAAATCCTTAATTGTGTTCTGCTTTTCAGCTCGCTTTCAATTGCACGAAAAAGTGAAGCGAACGAGAGATTTTGAATCTGCTGTGCTTCTCAGCTCGCTTTTGGCTGGACGACGAGGTGAAGCGATCGGGAGAGGGAACTTTTCTTTGACTTTCTTCAGCTCTCTTTTGATCAGACGAGAGGTGAAACGAAGTTGACTCTCTGAATCCCCCTGCTTTTTCAGCTCGCTTTTGGTTGGACGACGAGGTGAAACGGACGGGGGACTTCAACGCGGGGCCCCTGCGGCATCGCATTGAGTTGCTGGACACGAACAAGGGCGTGCTCAACCTGTGGTGGGACGAGCCGTTGGTCAGGGACCGCATGCTTGCTGCGGGTCTGGACCGGGAGAACCTTTATGGCTGCGCCCTCAACTTTTTGTTCAGGTAAGAGCTGGTTTTCTGTGCCGTTGAACGCTTGTCGAGCTTGAGCGAAATGCTGCCTCTATCCACTGCCTGAGGGTTCGGAAATTGAGGTTATGCTGCGGGATCGATCCTGCATCGAAGGTTCCTCTCCTTGGAGCATGTGGTGTCGGTGATGGAAGCAGAGGTGGACAGCTGTGCAGTGTCCAAATTCAAGCTGATTGTTCGGTGGATGGACGACTTGTAGACATCTTGGAGTCAGCGTAAGAAAGTAGGACGAAGTTAGCGAAAGAGTGCCAGCTCTCACTCCCCTATCCCATTCCGTCGTTCCTTTTGCCAGGCCGATTCCTGCGGTGGCGGCGGTCATGCTGCCGATCGCGAAAATGCTGCTGGACCCGGGTGTCTTCAGCATCGGGATCCATGTCCGGACTGATTATACGGACAGCGCCATGAAGGGCGGGGACGGCGCCAAGTCCGTAGCTGACTACTGGACGCCGTTCCAGTGCGCCAAGGTGAGCAAGAGCGCCCGTGAACGACTTTCTGTGCACAATTTGCAGCGCTAAGCGAGCTTGATTCCGGAAATGAGAGGGTGCCAGGGATGCTAGGTAGGCGGTACTGGGTAATCAAATGAAGCGACTGAAAGCTGCGAGCGTTTGCTATTCGACGTGCACCTAAACCTTCGTTCGTCAAGTCTTTGACCTCTTGTCGTACAATTACCGAAACGGGGTCTTGCATGACAATAGTTGAGGCATCAGCGCGCTCAGGGATTGTTCTCTCCGGCTTTCTGGACCACAAAGTATTTCCGAAATGCAGGTGCTTCACGTCCGCTGTTTTGATCTTTCAGACCCACATCAGCCGTGTCTTGGACGCGGTCGCGAGCGGGACCGTCGTTTTAGCTCCTGATAATGCTATGTTGTCGGATAGTTTGTGGAACTGTTCCGAGACCTGCTACTCCAACCCGCGTGACCATGCTGAATCCTTGTTGTGCAGGACATCGAGTTGCAGTACGCGGAGTTGATAGGCAAGCGGAAGATCATCTGGTATGTTGCATCGGACTCGGATTCCCTGCGGCAGAATGCTCAGGAGATGTTCGGGCGCGACCGGCAAATCTACCTCCTAGATGCGAAGCCGACAAACGCTTACATCCAACGAGCGACCGACACCTGTAGCTATGAGTGGGACTGTCTGAACCCGCTTCCAGTCAAAGCCCTAGAAACGACTTTCGTAGAATGGTGGTTATACTCGTTAAACGACTTCTTCGTCATCACGGATTCCGGTTTGTCGGTTTCCTCGGTAGGACGGTCTATGAAGAGGAACACCACGTACTACGTGGATTTGAGACAAGAACCCAAACCCGAGAAGGGGCAGCCCATATGCATGGGGGAGCCCACGCTGTGGAGGAATATAGAGAATCTTAGAGCAGGGATGTAAGCAATTCTGTAGTGTCAATTAATTGCTGATTGATCGATTTAAGGCATGCGACTGTGACCCGCCGGGCGCGGCCGGGCCAACCTTAATTCCACCCTTTGATGCCAAAGTGCAACGCTGATCCTTCATATCTAGTCAGCTATCTGATAGGGGAGCTCTGAACTGCAGCAAGGTCATCCCGGCGACTATATTGGGCCTCTACCCGCTCATGCTATGTCGCATTTCAATCTATGAGGGCGCGTCCTCACATGTGCAGGGCGGCTGCCTGCATGCGGCTCGATCCGAGCCTGCTAGAGCTAGCTGTCCCGACACATGCCGTATGGAGCATGCTCGAGCCTGTTCAATGATGGCAGCAGCCATTGTGTCACTACATACGTCCGCGCGGCGTATGCATCTCTACGCGCCCTGCAAATGTAAGCAATGCCATCCGACAGTGACTATTTCGTATTTACAAGCCGCCACTCTTGCGAACCATCCGGATGATTGATATTACACACATGCGTTGGGCAGCAAAAGGCCCTGTTCTTAGAGCCTCGACTCAGTGGCTAAGAGAGCAGAGTGAGCAGACGTTTGTAAGCCACGGACTGACCGTCTGCCATATTAACCAATCTTAATCGAACTGCTGTCTTAGAAGCATTTCGCCCTCGCTCTTCCAGGACGCATGCACCGACTGGCCCTTCATCCGTTTCTCCTTCTCCTTGTCCTTAACAAACCCCTTGCGCTTCCCTGTTTCTTGCCGAGGCGGCCCGGGCGCTCGGCCTTTGCATTGAGGACAGACCAGGCCCCCGAGAGCTGTCGAAAATGTCTTCGGGATGCCACACTTTTCGCAAGCACTGCCAAGCAACGAAGCAACCGGACATCAACTATCTTCATAGACACTTCATCAAGCTGCAGCATACATTTTACAAACGAAAGCGAAAACAAGAGTCGAAAGTGTAGGCCTCATAAGACACGCAAAAAGCCATCAACCTCCTGTTAAACCCCCGTCCCCAGTCTTGATCAAGGCCAAGACAAGGCATCGACTAAGCAACGACTAACATGCCAAATCAGATGACGTATCCAGGAGTTGGGAAAGTTGACGCCACAGAACGCTGGTCACAACGCGTTGACTCCTGGCGAACTGACTAACCATGGACAATAATTGTAACAGAGGGGAAAGCTCGTTCAGTCTCTCTTCATCGAGTTTGAAGCAATGCAATTGGTGATTAGATCAGGGATCCCTAAACCGTACCTGAGCAGCGCAGCTGCTTCTTCACGGTTAGGCATCGTGACGCCTGGGTTCCGAGCATCTTGAGCTCCCAGAGGTTCAGTAGACGGCCGCGGATGCTCCACCTCTTGATCTCTTATCAGTACTGGCGCCCCAGAAATGACCGCACCTGTACGAAAATTCAGACTCATGATTCTTCATCCTTCGAAATTGTTCAGTGGTCTTTCGTGCTCTTTGTGGTCCAAGATGACAGGCTGAGATTTACCATTCATTCTTTTGAGTCCTTCTCGATCTACACCGCAAGCTCTGTGTCACCAGATCCAGTATCAAAGTAAGAAACGGTTTACCGCAGTATCCACCAGCAACCCACACTTCATCTTGCGACGTTTATCGAATCATCTCAACACGCCAGCTTTTGGCACACCTGTTGGCGCTCCCCCCGATTTGGGCTTTCTATCCGCTCCTCCGTCCGCAGCCGGCACTGGCCCACCGGGAGCCTCATCATCGTCTTCCGCTTCAAAAGCGGGCCGATCTGCCCAGGCTCCAACAGCTTGCTCGTGAACAGGCTTGATGGCGTCTGGCCGCAGGAAGGCAGGAGGGCCCTTGATCTACAAGAGGGTGGGGTGTCACTTTGTACCCCATTGTTTCCTTGAGTACCTGCCTGTAAGCCTTTGCTGGTATTGTAGAAGCAGTTCTCAAGGGGTTGACGACCATTGGATTCTCCAGGAACTTGGGAGAAAGCATAAGTTTGGCCCCCGACCAATCTGCCCGGTGGAGAAAAAGCTGCTGAGGAGGTTGCAGCCACCTGGAATGGCTTCTGCACAAATCTTTGGAGCAGCACCACCAATTTGATCGGGCAACCTGACTAGGAATTTCTGAAACTCCTTGAAACCCACCTGTACAAGCAGACTTTAATGCGATTGGAATGCACTCCGTCTTACAGATAGTGATTCAATGCGGTGCTTAACACAGAAAGTGTGTCTTTGTCTGATCCAGAACAACTTACCATCAAGTTGGTGTCACCAACTTTGCTACAATTTATGCAGAAACTTCCTTTAAAGAGTGGTCCACAGCAAAGTGCAACAATACAGGGGCGCTTCATCTAAGAAGCCACAGCCAATGATTGAACGAACTCATGAACCACTTACTTCTGAAAATAAGCTGTCGGGTGGGGGCAGGGCTGATTGCAAGGCCCTTTGAGCTTCCACAGCCGCTCGTGCTCGAGCCCTTCTCTCCTGCGCATCTCTTTCTGCAGCTATGCGCTCTTGCTCCTCCCGCTCAGCCTCATCGGCGCTATCTTCAGAAAGGGCGCCGTTCTGCCCCGCATCCTCGTCATCTGAGGCGTAATCAGCAACCAGAGAAAGGCTCATCTTTGAGCTTACGGACAATTGACACAGACCCACTGATTTTATCCAGCAATATAGGAAGCTGTTGATCACCGCAACTCCACTGCCAGCATGAAGATTGAAGACAAAACTGAAAAAGGCTTGGCACCAAGTTGCATTGCCAGCTAGGTGCCAACAAATTTCAGCTACAGGTAGGTCCAGCTGAGAGCTCCTATCTGGTGTATCCTACATAAAGCTCGTATGCTCAGTGGCGGATCCGTATAACATTGAAGAAGGCCCGGGCGGACATATCTCCCGGGCGAGCCATGGATTGTTCATGGCGCCTAGTTGAGACTGGCTGGACTTAATACAGTATCTCGGTAGTCCCTTCCGCTTCGGCGTATGTCGCATATGTAAGCTCGTATTATGTTGGTTGTGCAGTGCTAATTTCTAAACAAGCAGCATCGACTTTTCATAAACTTTTGAGTTGAAAGCAGTCCATAGCACTGGGGTGTGCACGTGAGCAAACACAATTCTACCATTTCTGGCGAGGTCTTGGGCGCCAAAAGCACTTCTCTCCTGAAGCCTGATACACCAGATTGCGTTGCCAAAAGGCATCAATGAGAGTTTCTGACAGCACCCTATGCACCTTTTCCCATTCTTGTTGCTGATGCCAGGCAGATTGTAGGCAGGAAGTCTATGGGGCGCCGCCTTGCCACCACAGAGCGGAATTGCCTTGAGGAGGTGCTTGATGTGCAGCTAAAGGGAGTACACGCTTGAACAATCACGATGGCCCCCCAACCCGGCCGGCGGAATGTGTTCCTCAGGAAGAGGACATACCTGGTCTTCTTGCCGGTCATCGTGTTCACCTTGCTGGTGGCTCTGCCAACCAACATCCGGATGCAGCTCTATTCTCCGTCCAGCGCAGAACCAGAGAGAGTGAGCCTAGAAGACCTGGTCGAAGAGGCTTCTGTAGAACAGGAGGAGGTGACTCAGAGAGGCGGGTTAGGCAAGATGTTGGGTTCGATAGAGAACGGCGTGATGGAGCAGCTTGCGGGCAAGTTGGGGGGGCAGTCCGAGGGGGACGTGCTGAAAGCGGGGGCGCTCTTCCCCTCTGAGACTGAGGGGGAGGACTTGAAGGAGTTTTTTGAGGGGGGGCCGGTGGAGCAGGTGCCCCGGGGGAAGGTCTCGTTGCAGATGAGCAATCTGGCGCTGGACCCAGGGGACATTGTAACGGATCTCCCGGTTGCCACTGACAAGTGGACGCCGGCCCACGTGTTCGTGGTTAGCATAACTCGGGACATGAAGCAGCTGCGGGAGATTGACGCCAAGCTGCATTCTGTGGGCATGAAGTACACCCTGGTGTTAGCTCCTGACTCCACCAAGATCGACCTGGGGAAGTACCAGTCAATCCTACCGGAGGACAGGGTGAGCGTGAGCCGGGGGTCGGCGATGAAACCGAACGAGGTCGATGAGCTGCTGGCGCATCTGGAGCTGTGGGCCCATGTCGTCGCGCACCAGCTACGGTACACAATTGTGCTGGAAGAGGACGCGGTATTAAAGGACAGCTTCAAGGAGGACCTCGAGCGGTCCCTCAAGCAGCTGAACCTGCTGCGCGTCGAGCACACGGGCTACTTCTTCGACGTGTGCATGCTCGGGCGCGACCACTACACGCACACCGAGGCCAAGCTGACGGCCAACGTCATCGAGGCGCGCTCGTCGGCCGGCGCGCACGCGTACCTCCTCACCCTCGCGGGGGCGTTCCGGCTGCTGGAGAACGTGAGGCTGGACGACCCCCTGAACGAAGCGATGTGGCAAGTGCACCAGCTATACTGGCTGGCGCTCAACCCCACCGCCGTGGAAACGACCATGTACAAGTGCGACGACCCCCCCTGCCGGCGGATGCCGGAGCCGAGCGAGTCGCCGAGCCAGAGCACGCGCGGCTTGCAAGCTTACGCCGCGACGCTGCACCTGACGAAAGAGGGCGAGTGCGGGGGGACCGCGTGGGAGTGCCTCGAGGGGAAGATCCGGGGGTGGGTCAAGCAGCGGCGCCGGCAGCGGGCGCCGTGGCCCCCGGTGCCGATCGAGCTGGAAGAGTGGCCGGTGTATGTGATGAACATGGACCGGGAAACGAGGCGGATGGACGATCTGAAAAAACGGTTGGCGGAGCACGGGTTTGGGAAGGTGCAGCGCGCACGTGCGGTGGATATGGGGAGCACGGATTTGGCGACGTTCGATCATCTGATCGCCAAGGACAAGGTGTCGGTGACGCGCGCGGGCTGGAACGCGGCCGCCAAGTTTCTGTCCAAGGGGGACATCGGTTGCGCGCTGTCGCACTACATGTGAGGGGCACCTGCTGCTTCCTGATTGAGGTTCTTCTTTGGGTTTTGTCACCGAGATTTGGGATGCTGAATCCTGCTGCTCGAACATTCCTTCAGCTTGTTTGACTCTCTGCGTATGTGGTTGTGTATTGGGCAGACTTCTACGACTGGTTTTGGGGATCGTTTGGAAGGTGCCCAACAAAGCCCCTATGTTTCCCGGTGTTTTTCGGATCGAGTTTTGACCTCCGCAAGGCTCATATGAAAGCATCTTGGTCACCTGCCTTTCTTGTGCGATTGCCTGCTTCTGTAAGTCCTCAAGCTGGCAAGGTCCTTGGGACTGCTGCCTTCAATTTTGCCTCTAGTGGACAAGACGTTTCGACGTCTCCTTAGTCTTTTCCCCTTGCCTCTCAAGCAGCAGATACCTCCGAATTGGCCCTCTAGATGTTAACAGGCGGTGCTCGAAGTCATAGTTCTGTTCCTGGAAGATTTCACTTCCAAAAGCTCTCGTTCCTCAAGAGGTGTGAGTTTTTGAATCAGATCCAATATCGAGGGCAAGCTCAGTGTCCTGATTCTTTCGTCTCCTGGGCCAAATTGTTAACCTAGGAAACGTCAACCCTCAAATGCTCGTAGTCGATATAGTGGCCAATACTGCCGCTTCTCCCTCGCCGTGCCAGCATGCTGCCGCACGAAGCCTCTGACAATGCTTCGTAGACAGATCAGGCGGACACTGTGCCCCGCACAACTGTCTCCTTTCTTTTGTCCGCTTGCCTCGCCGAATCCGCTCGCATCCAATCCCCACTGTTTCTGTGCTTTGCACGATTACTGTTTCCAAGCAGGCCAGAGCCTCGCGTGCCTCTCCCTGATCTGTGGCCCACTCACTGCTTGCTCGCTACTTACTTTTCCCTCCCCCTCACTGAGTTCCCGCGCACTCCCTGCGGCTCAGGATCTGGAGCGACATCGTGGCGAAAGACGTCCTCATTGTGCCTCACAACCCGCCTCGCACTCGCCCTCTCCACCTCTGCTGCCCTCTTCTGCCCTTGCTCATACCGTCTCTCAATCCTCAGTGATAAATCTTGCCTCCCCATTTTGCTCACTGCGTGCCATCTCCCCGCCTCAGGATCTGGAGCGACGTGGTGAAGAACGTCATCGTTGTATTTCCCAAGTCACTTTGCGTTGGTCCTCGCCATTTTTGTCTGTGCCCTCGCTCCCTTTGTCTTCCCCGGAGATTTATCCTCATCGTATTCATTTACCCCTCACCACTCGCTCATGCTTCGCCGAACCCACTCCAGGATCTGGAGCGGCATCGTGGCAAAGAGCGTCCTGGTTGTGTTTCTTACCTCGCTTCGCATTCGCACTCTTGCGCCCCCGCTCGCATTGTCTCTCATTCCTCCCTAATTTCCTTATCCCCATCATTTCTCTCTTACTGCCACCCCCCTGCCCCAGGATCTGGAGCGACATCGTGGTGAAGAACGTCCTCGCTGTTTCTCATAAGTCAATCCGTATTTGCCCCCTCCAACATTCTCTTGTGCCCCCCGATCGTCTCTCATTCCTGACTAGACAGATGATTCTATCAGCTCACAGATTTTGCTCATCCCCCTCCCCAGGATCTGGAAGCGACACCATGATAAAGAACGTTCCCGTTGTGTCTCATAACTGTCTTCGCATTCGCCCACTCCACCACTCTCTTGTGCCCCGCTCATATCGTTTCTCATTTTTCCCCCACTCGTCAAGTACGCCTGCCGTTTATTCACTCCTAGCTATTCTCCGCCCCAGGATCTGGAGCGACATCGTGGTGAAGAACGTGCCGTACGCGCTCGTCCTTGAGGACGACATCGACTTCGTCCCGTCGTTCAGCGGCGACTACGAGCGCAACGTCAAGGAGCTGCGCGAGTTCGTCGCGTCCGGCCACGAGATGTCGCGCTTCGACGTCTGCTTCGTGGGCCGCGAGCCGATCGTGCAGCCGTGGTTCGAGCGGCCGCTCTACACGCCGCACGTCAAGTTCGCCGGCATGAGCTGGACGACGCACAGGTGGGTTTCAACTCTCCAAATTGCCGCAGGTGTGTGGTGATTGTCGGCCACTGGAGTTGCTCATGGTTTGCCCCGACAGAGTGGATCAACGCACATGTGATTCCAGAGCGGAATGGGTGCTCTTTACGCTGCTGGAGAAGTTATGTTCTGCCCGCCATGCTAGTCGCGCAGGGTTTGCCCCGACGTGATTAGGACGACGCTTAGGTGGGTCTCTTGCTCAGAACGGGTGCTCGCCATGCTGCTGAGGAAGTTTGTGTTAGTCGGCCATCCTAGTTGCTCAGCGTTTGCTGGTTTGAGCCGAACGGTGCACGTGGCTCAATACGTCGCACACTACTTACTTGAGGGGTTTTGGCCCTGAGCTTGGTAATACACTGGCACGGGGACGAATGCCCGACGTTTTCACGAATCTGCTTCACTGTCTGTTGCGAGTTGCATTTTCGCAGCTGACTCTATTTCTCAGGAGTGGCGTCGTTGTGTAATCCTTCTTGCAACCTGTCGAGGCGGTGCTTGTGTAAGGGCATCTTAAAAGCACTGCTCGCACTGGCAAGGTCGCTAATCAATCCAAGAGCTTGGCTTTTAGGCTCTTGTAGGAGGTATGCGGCGGCTTCAAGATGTGGCCTGTGTCCGTGTCAGAAGCAGTCTTTGGGGTTGTGCAATCCTGGCTGCATGTTGACCTACGGAATCCGTCTCACGCGACAAAGTACGACAGGTATTTTGATGTGCCTCGCCAGTCGCGCTCTGAAAGAACGTGCCGTGATCATCGCTCTGATTTATCAGAGCTCATTTTGAAACATTCTGAAAGGAAGGGACTTCAAACGCCTTCGCTTTATCGTCTGCAGTTACATCATATCGCTCCCCGGAGCTAGAAAACTTGTTAAAAAGTTCTTCGTTGATGATCCTATCGACGCCATCTGGTGGAGGATCCCCCGGATCAAGTTCCTCACTTTCGATCCGTTGCTTACGTTCCAAAGACGTGACGATTACGGGAGCACAGCGGGTGAAGGTGGGGATGTCCGAGGAGTTTTGGAACCGTGGAGGTGACCGCTCTTTGTTGAGTATAGGTGCAAGCGTAAGTCTAGTGGTCTTCGTCCTCTTCGAGTTATAAACGTGTACGAGATAAGACCAAGGTCAACTTAATCAGGACCCTACACGATATCGACATTGAAAACTTTATATGTCTAACCTAGGTTGTGGTGGTGGGCTTTTGACTCGCTTCGGTTCGTTTGTTGCATAGGCTACACTGGCATCCACTTTGTGCAACCGCGTCCTTATCTGGCTACTAGATAGCTCCTTATCTTCAAGCGCAGATGGAGTTTGCATGACCGTTGGCGGCTTCGTTGTACTCATGCAAGGGTCTGCAAGAACATATCCCACTGTGCAGCGTGAGTGGATCCGCATGTACAGCCGCCTGGGCCGGTGAACGTGACATAATTTGAATGTAGAAGAAGAATTGTTGGGTGTCCTCAGTGCCAGCACTTTTATCACTGTACGCGAGCAAGTGAAACATTACATCATGTCAAACATGGCTGCATTGGCATCCATGCCACTGGAATGGCGTACAGCACTTGCAAATACAATTCGAGTTAGGTTTATCTACAAAGGTTAGGCTAGCTAACACATTAGGGTTTGAAGCTAGCCATGGGCCAGGTCTCAGGGCCAGCTAAGATTATAGAGCTGCTCAGCTTGAGCCTTGAGTACATGAAGAATGAAATTGAAAAGGCCACCGATCTTCTCGAGGTGCCAAGAGAGCGAGTCTCTCTAAAGCAGAAAGGTGCTAAGGTCCTGAAGCGGGGCCGTCTTATTCGAAGTGTTGGGGGAATTGAAACCCCGAAAGAGAGTGCTGATCAGTATCAGGAGTCAATCCCCATTTGTGTGCTGAGGGCTTGAGGTACGCTCTCAAAATGTTGCAAATGCAGTGCCTATAAGTATCCGGCTCAAAGTGGTTCTTGAAGTAGCCGAATGGTGCTTTTGTGAACTCCAACATATGCTAGAAACGCAGTCAGCATACCCCATCAATGTGCAGCATTGCTTCTGATTTTGAATTTGGCGAACCTTGTCTTGTATGACTCTCATCATGAGCTCAAAGTGTGCATGTTTTTCTGCTTACCGACTGCTTCTTAAGACATAGAAACTGCTGGAGCATTCCCATGTTTGCTTCGCAAAAGTGAGGCTTCTGTCATCTGATCTTCCCACCACTACATACAAGAGAGACGCATAGCCTTTGGACACTTGCTTTACAATTGCCACTCATTTCGTGCAGCACGCCCCGGCATCATCGATGGCATCCCGGGAGCTCAACGCTCTCCTGCAGAGCGAGATGCCGCTCGCTTTTGAGGAGTACAAGGCAGGGCCAAGCCGGGTGGGCCTAGTCATTGTTGATGAAGTGAACGGGTTTGCAACTGTGGGGGCAGGAAACCTGGTAAGTTTGCACCACCATGTTAGCTGTTTCGTTTACATGTAACTTGGAGAAGATCTGTGGTTTGAGGGCCACCTGTTCGCTAGGCTCGAAGCCAAAATTCAACGTGGGGCTAAATGATACCCTCATGCGCAGTGGTCACCGCTCTGCAGCTGTGGTACTGCTTTGAACAAGGTTTGTGTCTGAGGTCGAGCTGCGTAACAGATGGATGTAAACCGGCTGCAATGAGTCAAATGATGTCAGGCTAATTCCCATAGCTCAGTACATCAGATGGACCTTGCATATTCAATCTTGAAGTGGAATGCCCATGGTCTTCTTCCTTCTGATTGCTGGTTACAATGAAAGACAGGTTAGGCTGAGGGATATAATGATGGCCTTTGACTCTCATACAGGCAACGTTCCAGACGGGCAGCTCCTGAGGGTGCCCTTTCAGCGTGTGCTTCAGTTCAGCTATCAGGCTTGACGTGTCTGTCTCGCATTATTGACATATATTTCCCCCAATTCTGAATTCTTGTGTATGTCTACACGTCCTGAAACCATGCCAATTCTGCGATGATCTTGATCAGCCCCACCCCTTGTCCTCATCACAAGTATTCTGTCCTCCGTTGTCTATAGAGGCCCTGTCACTTTTCTAGTTGCTCATACCCCTCTAAAACAATCTAGGCAATCTGGGCAAGCTCTTTTCAATTTCCGCCTCCTTAATCAATCCTACGAAGGCTCAACCTTCTCTTTCCCCAAACCATAGCTATCTTACCCAGTCCTGATGTGCCCCCCATTTGACCTGCAGGCCCCCCCACAGCAAGACGACCAGGTGGACCGAATGGTGGAGGAGACTAACAGATTGGCCAAGGCCTTCACGGAGCGCGGCTGGCCCGTCCTCGCGTTTCTCGACACGCACGAACCAGGAGTACCAGAACCGCCCTACCCGCCTCACTGCGAGCGGGGCACAGGAGAGGAGAACTTTGTGCCGGTAGGATATCTTGACACCTCTATCCTTTTTGGAGACGTTCACTGCTTTTTGGGGCTTATGTTGTTGAAAGTCTGCTGACAAGCGTTGAATTAGGAGAGAAAGATGGCAGGGGAGGAACGTCGCAGAGGGGGGTTCTCTCAACGTTGGCCACCGCAGAGGCTATTGTATCCAATTGTGTACAATTGATGTACAAAGGCACACAGAATGTCAAGGCTGACGAGTATTGGCAGTTCTTCCACTGACTGACTCTGCTTCCTAATGATATGGTTGTCGGCCTGACAAGAGCTGAGTGGATGTACGCTTTTGCTAAGAGCAGTCCTGGTTTGGAAGTTAGCCACTGAAAAGCCGTTGTTACATTGGGCCTGATCAAGTACCAAGCACACCTGTCTAGCGCCTACAAAGCTTCAATCAAGCTCAGGTTCAAAGAGAAGATACTCAATCTCATGCGACAAAGTTCACTGTCCTGCAGCCGGTCCTTCTATGCAGACCTGCCAAAGCGAAGTTCTCTACTGGTGAAGTCGATCTTTGAAGCTTGTGCCTTGAGCTGAAGGGGTTCACAGGGGGGGAGATCATCATGTCACGCTTTTGACTGCAGACAAGAGGAGGGAAAGCAACGGAGGGCGAGGAGATGCTTTGCCCAGGTTTTCAAGTTGCTTCCGCTCTTGTCTGTGCAGGCTCTAGAATGGCTGGAAAATAACAAAGCGTGCGTCAAGGTGCGCAAAGACTGCATAAACGGCTTCATTGGTGCAATAAGGCAAGACGGGTCCAACGCAGTGGTGGATTGGGTGCGGGATAACAAGGTGGAGCATGTGAGTGCCTTCTCATGTCTCACTCGGTCAAGCACGAAAATTGTTGCTGACCAGCAATGACTAGATCTTGTCATCCTCGCGTGATCACCTGTACCTCTCTGTCGTTGCTTCCTTTTCCCTGGCGAGACTCTCTCGCGGGCAATTCACCCCCTTTCCGTTTCTTTTCCTTCTTATGTCTGCACTCGTCCTTCCAATTTCATCCCGTTCTTCGACCTTCTTTTCAATTCCGGACTTAAAGTCACCACCCTGGTCTTTCTCCTCGTTTCACCCCCTTCTGCTCGTCTCGCTTCCGTATTCTCGGCTTCCGTTCTCAATTACTCGCTTGATTCGATGACCAATCGTTCCGGCGTCCGCCATGGAGAAGCGTGCTTAAATTCACTTTCTCTATCCCACGTCCGACTTCTAAAGCACAGGTTGCCCTCAAGAGCGAAGATCCCCTCATCTTCAGTTGCGTCGAGGTTATCGCCTGTGCGTATCTTCTTGGCCTGTCGGACCGCCCTTTGTCCTCCGCTTTCGTCCTCCGCTGCGAATGGAGAGCACATCAATAACAAGAGCTGGCGTGCCAGACCGGTGCTCTTCGTTCTGAGCTCATGTAAAAACCGCAACCTTACGTTGCTGTCTACCCTCACCACTACTGACCTTTGCCCACAGGTCTGATCGTAGGCACGTGTACTAGTCTTAAGCAATGCTACTAACGAAGCGTCTGTCTTAACCCACAGCTTAACCCCATTCCGCAGATGCTGGTCGTGGGCATCTGTACCGACATTTGTGTCATGGACTTCGTCCTCACCGTGCTCTCCGCGCGCAACCACGCGCTCCTCCCCCCCCTCGCCGAAGTGTTCGTCTACTCCCAGGGCTGCTCCACCTACGACCTGCCCAAGCAAGTCGCGGTCGCGCTCGGCAGAAGGGCCATTGACGCCCACCCGCAGGTGGGCTTTTTTGGCGGGCTTTTCTGATGGGACGAATGAAGACTTTTGCATACTTTATCTACGGACTGGAATCAGGTTTCACGGAGTGCTCTGCTCAGAGCAACTGTTTCTGGGGTTATTGAGATGGATATTTCCATTGATTGGTTTCAATGCTCTGGGCTGAGTTCGGGGGTGTCATTTGGACACGCGGTGCAAACGAGACACCGATCGGGACTGGGCACGTATGCGCTCTGATTCGGTGTGTCGAAGCCATGAGGGTCAGAGGAAGCCATTGACCGTGCACCATAGGAAGAGCACTTGAGGCGGAGAAAGGATATGAGAGAAGACGGGACATGGAATAGTCTACTTCTGCGAGAGGTGCGCTTCAAACAAATCCCCTGATTTCGAGTGCTCGCGCCTTGGATCGGCGAAGCGTGTTCTTTCTCAGGACCTTGTGCTACTTATCCAGCGTCGCTCTGATCTGCTGTGAAGAGGGTAAAAGCATCTACTCCAACGATCAAAGTATCTTGTTCGGCGTGCAGGAAACGACACACTATCTTGGGCAGTACTTCATGGCATCACGTGGTGCCAGGCTGGTTGATTCAGTGAGCCTGTAGCAGGGAGTTCCAGTTCCAGGCTTGTGTAAGATTGCGTCATGAATCAATGCATAACCGTCCGGACAAAGAGGGTAGACTCAACACCTACAAGTTAAGAAATCTTAGAAAGCTCGTAAATTTCGCGTACCTCGTAAGGACCGTCAGCATTACACCGAAAAAAGAGAGATCAAAAAGTTTTACGCTTTATTATACATAGGGACTGTATCAAGCTTGCCCATATAAACTCCTAATGACTCAAATGAGTAACCGTTTGCTTATTACTGAGGAAGAGCTAGAGAAAGGTCTAGACATTGAAGCAAACAGTCTTATTATTGTAATGACCGTCTCTTGAAGGAATAGGGCCCCTAGCGTTCTTATATTTAACGATAACATGCAGCCGGCGGCCGGGCCGGCAACCTCGGACACACATTATACACTCGCGTAAAGGTGTGGCATATGCTAGACAAGCTTAGGCGCATGCAACTTGAAACGGCACCAGTCTAGGTTAAGTTGGACCGTACGGCTGCAATTGCTTAAGCTGTGTACCGTACACTACTTGAATTTAGTGTACACTGCAGCGAGGTGGGTACGTCGTGATTATCCGACCATTGAATACTGTAGCATGTATGGAAGGCCGTTCATAAAGGCGGCCACGCGCGTCTTTAGAATGAGGCTAGTATAACACAGGCGCGCGGTTCCTAGCTCACTCCATGCGCAATGCTTTCGAACCGCGGATGATATTCCGCGACTGGATCGTACGTTGATGATCATCGGACATGATACAATCAGACGTCACATGTCGGATCCCGCGGGCAACCGGCCATATCGACATGTATCACTGATTGCAAGCGCAATTTTTTTACTCTATCCACTCGATCTGCCTGTGCAGATTTACGAAGTCCATGTTCGGTTGCTAAAGGGCCCGGACTCGGATGCCGGGAGCGTCGACGTGTTTCACTTAAGTTCCGTCGCGATTAGGACACATTAATGGTATTATTGCGGCATGCACTGTTCAACGATTATACTGGCCTTGATTACAATATTACAATATTAATCGAGTGCATGAATTCCTGAATCGATGAAACCTGTGGCCCTAAACTCCTACATGCGTTTTGATGAAACCTGTGGCCGGGCCCATCGTTTCGTAAAGTTTAAATGTGATTAGAAAAGGTTCTGAATCTAGGGGCGAGCTTAAAACTTTCATGTGTTTGCATAAGAATTGAAGTGGGTACAAACAGCTGGACGCCAGCTCGACGGTGGCTTGTGGAATCAGATCAACGGTCAAAACGACTCACTTTTCCATTGTCTTGTCTTTTTTCTCACGTACTTTTGTTTGAGTTTCATAATCTCAAACCTGGCACTCGTAGCAACTATCAACGTCCTCCAGTTGGTCGTGTATTGAATGCCTGCTTCCACCGCTTCGTTCCACCTGGGTATCACCCTTTTCTCTAAACTGTAACAAAGGCCGGTGGGAAACTCGGAAATCTCCTCCTTGCTCTGACCCATCACGTTTTCTACAAACGACAACTTCGCATACAGGGTTTCCTTCGTAAACCCCACCAAGCCCTGGGTTTTCAACAACATTTTGATTACCTGGTCAAGCGTAAACCCATACGCTACCAGGTCCCGGATCCTGGTCTGCAACTTCAAAAGTGAAAGCTTTGGTTTCCCTACGACAATACGTGCGGCGTCGAGCTGCGTCATCCCTAACGACTGCAGCCACTCGATCTTGGGCTCCAGATTGTCCTTGATACTGTGCCCAATGACCTCCGGATTGCGACTGGTTAACAGAATGATCTCGTCTCGGGTCATGCCCAGCTCCTCGAGATACATCAGGTTAGCGGCTAAACGGGACGGGTTAAACAACGCCAGGATCGCAGGCACCTTGCGAAGCATGGACGCAATCTTGTCGGGGGGCATGCCGAACGCTTGGAAGACTTGCACCCGGGGCACCATAACCCTGCAGGAGGAAAAGCGCTGGTTACGAATGGGCTAAGAGTTGGGGCCGACACGTCAGCACCCGATTAAAGGGTGACTTAAGAGGGTGATGGCCTAGAGAGATTTCGCTGTGATCAAAAGCGCCTCGAAGTGAACGAGGCTGAGATTCTGGCGAGCTTAGATCTAGGAGTGGGAGTTGGCTTGAATCGGGTCACCACTGATTGTTTCGATTTTGAGGTGGAATAGCATGTTGTGGATCGGAAGATGCTTCGTGAACTGCCTTCGAGACAGAAGCTTCCTGAATGTTGTCAGAGATTAAGAAGTCATCTTGACACGCTCCCCTCTCCTTCGCAAATGGGGTTCGATAGTCGTCCTTCTCGAAGTAATCATGAGATGCCCAACACGCACCGGACTCTCGGTGCCGAGAATCGAATGTCTCTCCGCAGATTGTTGTCAAGCACACCTCCTCATTCTTCGACAGAACCAGCTGTAGTGATGGCGATCGAGGTTCACAATCCGTTTGCACAACCTCAAGACACCAACGTCGCTAATCTGTTCAACCTTCCCGAACGGAGGCGGACTATGCTTACTTTTGGACGTCCTTGCAGATGATGATGGGGCACGCCAGCACCATCTTCCGAATGTCGTCATCCTCCAGCCCCAACGAACGCAGGTACGCCACCGTCGGTGCGACCTCCTCCATATTTAGGACCAGTAGCCTCGGAAACCGCAGAATGATGGTCGGAAGATCCTCGTCCGGAATGCCCAGACTTCGGACAAATGCGATGTTGGGGCCGTAGTTTTGAAAGCGGCGCAGACTGAGGATGCCCGGGTAGCGCATGATTGCGAGGACGATCTCGTAGTTGTCGAGACCGAGCGCGGAGAGCGCGTCTAGCCGCTCTTCCAGAGGGGCGATCGTAATCTGGGCCGGGATGCTGCTGTTCAGAATGTGACTCGCTTCCTCGTCCAAACCTGCACAGAGCGCCTAGGGAATGAAGAAAAGCGGTGCGCAAGACAGCATTGGAAGCGAGTAATCAGTGCAGACAGTGTATAGGCGATGTTGGAGGCTAAGAAGAAAGAACTTCGAAAAGAAACTTGCGAGAGAGCGTTGTTGTGGCCGATACGAACTTTACTCCGGCAATCAGAGTTGCGACTCAATCGAAGGCGTGATTTGGAGGATTGAAAACGACCAGCAAAATCCTCCGAAAGCGTCAGCCTGGTCTAGCCCCAAAGCAAAGTCAAACGTAAAAAGTGCCTGCGATCAGGACCGAGAGACTGATGTTGCCCTAAGAAACCTCAGCGAAGTTGGCTGATTACAATAGGCTTTGACTTGTTGCGCAACGGAACGGGCCCAGAGATTAGGCCAAAATTGAAGCATGATCATTGCCACGACCATTGGTTATCAAAATGTAGTCAACGATACCACGTTTACTGCTACCCTAAGTAAAGATCCCCGTTTAAAAGCCCTTAACAAAGGTGGACCCTACATGCACCCATGTCATGACAGCACCTCTCAGCTTAGCATAGTTCCGCTTGCACACACACCAGCGGCCTGAATAACATCAGTCAATAGTCGGATACAGAGGCTTTGCTGAGAAACAACACGAAGGCCTCCGCTCAAAAAGCCTCCGTTCGAGGCGGCTCCCCCACCTAGTTTCGCCATGATGTACGCACGCCGCCTCTCCCGCTCCTCATCCGACAGCTGTCTTCGTCGCGGCTTTCTCGGCTGCCGAATCGCCGCTCCCCCACCGCTGTCCTCTGTTTCCGAATCCTCCACACCCCCTGATTCCTCATCCTCAAAGTCCCCCTCGTGCTGATTCTGTCCCTTCCCCCGCTTCTGCAACGCCCCCAGGACTGCCTTCAGCGACCGCTTCGCCTGTGTGCCGTCCCTTCCCTCCGCGCTCGAGCGCCTCTTTCTGGCGCTGGACCCCTCCAGACTCCCAGCCTTTTTCGCATCTAGGAGCCGCTCTGCATCTCCACTGAGTTTGCTGAGACCAACCGGACTTCCCTTTGCAGGAGCCGGCTGCCCCTCCTTGGATGCCCTTTCCTGCGCGCTTGCCAGTCCCCGGGACAAAGAAACCTTTTCCTCAATGACCTGTGGGTTTGGGTCAGCAAATGCAGCTACTCTGCAGCAAAAGCACGCTGCTTTGCTTCCCGCAAGACGCCCCCGATGCCATAAACCCTGCAGGCTCAACCTGCCTGCCAAACCCGTGCCTGAGTGGAAGTGGGAAGTCCCAACGAAGCGCCTGTTTTGGGTGTACGAGTGTGCCCGCAGACCCCAGCATTGATGGGGCCGTCTCAATTGCGTCAATACTTCCATCTCCTGGCCGCCACCAGGCTTCTCCCTCGCAAGCCCTACAACCCTTTGGACATGCCTTGCCCGTTGAGAAATTCTGTCGGGAAACAGTTGCTGCTCCTCTACTCCGGCTGCGGTGGACAGCAACAGACTAAACTTGGTCAAAGAAGGAGACAAAAGTCCTCTTAAAAACCGAAGCGCGACTTGCCAAACTGGATGAAAGCAAGAGGGCACTGGAAAACTAGGAACGCGCAGCAGTCACAGGCCCCACTTGACCAACTGAGCAGCTAATCCAGTGTCCTACCTCTGGCAAACTTTGGAAACCAGCAAGTCGAGTTAGCAAGTTTAGGATAAATAGCAGAATATCATCCGACATTATCTGCCCATCTAACCATCCATTCCATATTTTTATGCTTACCCAACACATGGACACACGGGCAGCTTGGCTCAACAAGGAGCTCCCATCTAAAGAATCATGTTCTATATATTCAAGCCCTGCTGGAATAGGTGGATGCTACTGGTGATACCAGAAGCCCTCACCTTCCAACTGCTTTGCCTCGCCCTCAGCATGCTTGCTTCACAGTTCGCACCCTGATCGATGCCACCGTGACAGAGCTCCTGCTGTAGACCCTCACATAGCTTGGCCGCAGAGTCCTGCCCCCTCAGGCCAGGCTTCTCCTTGACTCTGCGTGGACCGCCTGTTGTATTGCCCGTTGAAAAGTGGCCAGAACTTGAAGCGCGCCGCGCCATGCAATGCTGCTGGACTGTGGGCCGTGGCACCAGCAACTCTTCTTCCTCACATATGAACTTCATTTCAAGGTTTGCGATAACTTAGAGCGAATATTCATTTATGCATATGGGAATGCAACCGTACGGAAAGCTTGCCGGATTGCACAGATGCTTTTTCATAAGGACTCGCAAAATATTCAAGGTAACAATCGGAGTCGGGCGATCTTAGAAAGAGAATGTAAATTAACATGATCCAAAACCTTCTTGAGGTTCTCTGTTTTACCGGATGTACGTACCCACAGAAAAGCCACCAGAAAATTGTGGGGGTCTCTTCAACTGAAAACAAAATTGAACCCTAACTTGCTTATCGGACGGTTTTTGTCAAAAGTTTATCAAATGGACGGCCAAGGATCACTGAAATTTTGGTCAACGGAGGCAAACAGTCAACTTCAACAGTTGACCCTGTGCCTGACCCGCCTTGCCAAAAATTAGGGTTCCAACTTTCCTAGACAAAACTAGGGTTCCAGTTGTGAGGACATGATGAGTCAGACTCAGCTGCTGTCTTGGAAGGACCAGAACTCGACGCCCTGGTTGGGAAAAAGCGTCCCGCGGGCCGCTGACATGGCTCTCGCACTTTTGAGTTCCTCTTTTGAGGGAGAAACCTAAGGAACATGTGGAAGGGTTGGCGGTAGGTTGCTAGCCCGTGCAGGGCTGCAAACGTTTGCTTTTGTGGTCAAGGAATCCAGAATGGTGGTCTGAAAATGTCGAGTGGTTGCCAGATGAGAAGGCGGGCCCATTCTGGTGCAAGGACGGGCTCCTTCTTTGGTGGCGCAGGGGCTGCAAGGCTTGCAAGTGGTTCAAAGCCGATTTTGAGAAGGAAGATTTGCAATGGATGTTGTTTGAGCCTAGTTTATGGCATACAAGGGAGGAAGGGATGGGAGGGGTATAAGCAGGCAAAGCAAGAAGTTTGGCCCGTGCTCCTTGACCTCCGTTCCTGCCTCAGCGCTTCCAATCCTGAATCCAATGTTCAGATGGGAGGCGTTCTTGATTAGATACCTGGACATTGATAACCAGCGGAAGACGAACTGATCAATCTGATCAGAATTTTTGGGCTCTTGAGAGTGTATGTGTGCACGCCGCAACCCAGAAGCCCTTTGACGCCTGAGGATGGCCAGTCTGGAAGGACTAGATAGAGCATCCGTCAGGATAGTACCAGACACACAAATGGCAGCAGCAGGTTCCGAGGAAGCTACGCAAGGGCCTGGCACAGAAAGCTCCCTGCCAACAAAAGTGTCTGAGAGCAGCAATATTCCGCGTATCAGAGGCTTTGAGGTTCCAACCGCAGGGATCTCCCCGCTCAATCCTGAACGGAAGGTTTCAGGTGGCGCCGCAATCCCAGCCGCAGATCCAGCATTTGGAAATGGGGAGCGAATAGAAAAAGCAGTTCCTCAAGCCAAAACGCCTCCTGCTTGTTTAGCCGGGTTGAGAGTCTTGGACCTGTCCTCCGGGAGTCCCCGTGCTGCCAATGGATCAGGCAGCGCGTCTAGTGGGAGGTTGACCCCTGCTTCCGAGTCTGGGGCGACTGGAGGAGCAATGAGCCCCTCGAAACTGCTGCGGAAGTTCGAATTGTTCTCCAATAATCCTCGTGGGTCGAGTCTTCCAGCAAGTCCCTCCCATGGCCCTCGGTCCACCTCTCGGGCCAAGCTGTCGCAAGATGACTTCCATGCGAAGTAAGTTTCTGGGGTGACAAGCTGCTTGCTGCATTTTGATATGAGCCATCTCATGCTGAATGGAAGGTAGACAAGAATATCCTTAGTCATCTGAAAGTCTGTTTTTGTTCCTATAATGCGAGTTCGTGATCACCACCAGCTCAATTGTTGCTCAAATTGCGTTGCATCTTGTCCGCCAATCTTGTGCCAATGTTTCTCACCTGCACATCTCGATCCAGGGTGGTCTCTTCACTGGAGGTCGGGGCTCACCACAGTCGGCACAATTCTGGATCAATCAAGGTGTCTTCTGCGTTGGATGACGTCGTTCCTGCTCTGGAGAGAATTCTTGACGAGGTGAGCAGATTTGCATAGAGTCCGGATAGTGCAGAAGCCTCATGTTATGGTACTTGGCACTCGTCTGATCTCCAGCCTTTCTTGGTCCAATGGATGCAGCTGCGAAATGAGGAACGATGCCCAATGCTTATGAGAAGCAGCATCACAGTTGCAAACATTCGAAGCAGAAACATCAAAGACAAAGCAGATAGTTGATGTCGAAGAGGCTCAAATAGTTGACTTTCGGGTTTGCTTGGATCTTATGCAGGCGACCCTCACACCGGATCAGAGAAACGACCTGCAGTATTCCCTGCAAGTGATTCTTTCACGGACTTTGTATGAGCCGACTGTCAAATCGCCATCCACGCCACCATCTCCACGGTCTAATCGGCGGTCTACTTTGAATCTGGTGTCTCCCAAGCTCGAATTGGATGAAGAGACGCAGAGATGGCTGGCGCACGAGTACCGGCTGGGTGAGGGGCTTCAGATGCAAATGTTTCTGGGAGACCTCCTCTTGTTTGGAGGATTGATGGAAAAGCGCTCTTGTGATGTTTGTGGCAGTAATTGCACTTCGTACGTGCTGTAAGCACAGTGAATTGAAGTTTTGAATACCTGCAAGGCTCTCTATTTTGGAACACTCACCCTGCTGCTGTTTTGTACAGAAGTAAGCCGTCCAGGTGCGTGCACGGCTAAGCTCCATTGAGCTCATTGAAGCTCCACCGACTTGCAGATCAATACACAGTTCCTGACAAGTACTCGCTCTCTATGAGCTTGCCTTCCGCGTTCAGCAACCAGCTGAATAAGACTGGGTCCGGCATCAGCCGCTCCTTCACCTTGTAAGACTTCTCTCCAACTCGTATCCGATAGCTATAAAACTTGCTTTTGAGCAAGCAAGGTTCCAAGCACAGTCGCAGCGCATCAGAAACAAGCGTGCAGCAATGCTTCCCAACTGGTTTTTCTAGTAGGACCTCTCGCTTCATCTTTCCTAGTGTGACAGTTCTTTCTCTCGCTTCGTCCTGCAGTGGCAGGAGTCCCGGTCTGAGTCCTCTTGCCCAGTCATCGCCCAGGGGCCGGAAGAAAGTAGAAGAGCCGACTTTCGAGGCAGGAAAGGGCGAGACGCCTCCTCCCGAACGTCCGGTGGAGAAAGAGGTTGAGAAGCAGGTTGAAGAAAAGGTCGAAAACCAGGTTGAGAAAGAGCTGGTGGCAACAGAGACGGCAAAGGTGCTGACGAAGATACACGACCTGGACTTCGACGTGTTTGAGTGAGTGCCCCTCCGTAGAAAATGCCCGTGGAATCGCCTTTGCAGGCGAAAGAAATATGTGCAGTACTCTTATTTATCTTGACTTGTTTGCGACTGCGCTTCAGATATCCAAGAGCCGGCGCTAGCTCATGCTGTTGCCTTGTTGTGGAGCAGAGAACGACACATTAGACGGCACTTGCGTGCTCGCGTGTCGGACCTGCTGACATCACTCTCCACTGACGTCAATGTTGCTTTCCTGGTGCCAGGCTGAACGCAGCCAACCAGGGGGAGGCGCTCAAGTGCCTGGCGACGGCCATCTTTACCGAGTTAGGCCTGTGCGAAAAGCTGGGCATCGACAAGGGGACCATGGACGCGTTCCTGACGGCCATCCAAGCAGGGTACCGGCAGGCAAGTCTCGCCGAAACCTGTCTGACTTGCCCTGATCAGATGTTCGGTTGATTTTGAGGGAGACACCAAAGCCGGAGGGTGGGACTACGATCGACGACCCGCTTCCGAGCTCGAATTGCGCCGTTAGCTGGCACTGGCGTGTCGCTTGCTTGGAAGGTTCGCCTCTGTTCGACCGAAGACGGCCTCACAACGTCTCAAATTGCTGCTGACCTTTGAAGGCTTACGGAGCCACCGCTCTTCTAAACGCTCAGGATCGCGAGCTGTTCCAAGTTCGGAGGACGCAGCTCAAAGTGGATAGCGACCTGCGGTGCATCTGTGCAGGTGCCCTACCACAACGGCTGTCACGCCGCGGACGTTCTGCACGCTGCGTACCTTCTCATCACCCGATGCTTCCTAGAGGTGAGCCCCTCAACAGCTTCGAAATAGCTTCTCGTATGGATACAACGCCTGTGTCAAGCTGAGTGTGTTGATGTACGTCTCTGCTGGGATTTGATTTCAGAGCGCTTGTGTGTGGATTCGGTACTACATGCTTTCCAACAGTGAGAGGGCTAAAATGGGATGCTGGTCAGTCTGGCCTTCTGAGCTGATGAGCTTCTCCTCGTTGCAGGAGTGGATGACGGACGAGGAAGTCTTCTCCCTCTTGGTCGCTGCAATAGTCCACGACTTCAGGGTAAGTCGATGGTTTGCAACATTACTGAGTGTCTGGTCGTCTGGGAACTGGACAAGGAGCTGAAGAGTCACGCAATGTCAGAAAAGTCTTCCGAAATTGCTCGCAATGGAAACGGCTTTGCTCGTTGAGTTTCCACTCGCTTGACCCTGACAGCTGTCAAAGAAGTGTTCCGAAGTCCGTTCTGAATATGACGCACACGGAAGTCCTTTGCTGCGGTAAAATTTAACACCAGCTTGTCTTTCTCCAGCATCCTGGCATCAGCAACGCCTTCCTAATCGCAAGCAAGGACCCGCTTGCCATTTTATACAACGACCGCGCAGTCTTGGTAAGAACAAAGCCTCGTGCTGCCTGGATTGCGGTGCGTCACTTGATGCACGTCCTCTTTCCTTCTAAGAAAGACTTTAGAGCGCCAAACATTTCGTCAGCGGACGGTCGTGCTGTGCCAATGCTTGGCAGAATATGCCGGTCAAGTTGGTGCATTTAATCGCCAGTGACGACCGTTACACGCTGGTTCTTCAGATACAGTCGCCGCACATCATTCGAATCCGCTGCCTTGTAGGTCGTGCCTCACAGGCTCGTCCGTTGTCCGAAGCTCCGCATATTTGCCCTGAGGGCCTCCGGTCGCTCCACCTCTCTTCACATCATTACTAGAAACGGAGAAGACCTTCTTTAAAAGCCGTTCTGCCCTTTCGCTGTACCCCTGGAAGGTTCGTGATGCGAACCTCCTCCGTTCCTTGCTCTCTTTTCTTCGGTCCTCCGGCACTGGTTGAATTCCTTGCTTTCCTCACTTGCAGGAAAACCACCACCTTGCTTCCGCCTTCATGGAGATGTACAAGTCTGGCCAGGTGAGCCGTTTCGGGCCTACTTCCCGTGTTTCGCTTTTGCACGCCCAATCAGCGATCCAGAAGAGTGCCGGTCGGAGCGCCTGCTAGTTTCTGTGTCTTTCTTCTCTTGCTCGTCTTCTGGTTGATTTCTACATACTTGTCAGATGCCCTTCTTGTACAACTGTGACGTGCCCCGTTTATGATGCATTAAGCGAGTTGCTGACGTCGCTGCTGCCTTGCAGAACATTCTGGGCCATTTTTCCGTCGAGCAGCAGAAGGCCATCCGGGCCCGGATCATACAGCTGGTACTGATCACGGACATGTCGGAGCACTTCGAGTTTGCGGGGAGGGTGAGCGCCGCGCCTGTCCTGAAGACTCTGCGCAAAGTCTGCGTGAAAAATTCGCCTTCTACTGAGTGTCAAATGTTGTGAAATCCCGTCGGCACACGAAGATTCTCCGGACGATCATGCTGCCCGTTGCGGAAGGCTGGACCGATTTGCCTCTCGGTGCCAAAGCTGGCCGCTTGGGCTGAGTGGTCTGTCCTGGCCCCTCAACAATCGATCCCGTTATTTTACAGCTTTTACTTTTTCCCTTGTTGGCTGCATCAGAGCTAGCTTCTCGAAGGCAGCGGTCTTAGCAAACGTCCCTCTCTTCTGCACGGTCAATACGCCATGTTTGTTGAAAGTCCGCGTGGCAACTGATTTCTGTTCCGTGTACTGGTCGTGTTCTGCAACTGACTATGTCATACTGGATCTGCAGTTTAAGACGCGAGTCCTGGGTCCTGGCTTTAACCTAGAAAAGGAGGAGAACCGGATATGCATTTTGCAGGTAAGGTTTCCTATCGTCTTCTGGTTGATTCTCCATCGTGCTATCCTTCTATTGCAAGCGCCAACTTTCCTCTTGCCTTGAGCGCTCCTGCATAGATTCCAATTACCTATCAATCGAACGCTGCACAGGGGCTAAGAAACGCAAGTAGCAGGATGGCCCAACGCGTCCGCTGTCTTTCTTCCACAGATGGTGTTGAAATGCGCGGACCTGAACAGCGCAGCAAAGCCACAGAAATTGGCTGTCGAGTGAGTTCCTCTTACCGCTCCTGTTGTTTCCAGTTCCGTAAGGCGTGTAGTATTCATTGCGCCGTGTCCTGTCGAGGCGTGGCCACGAGCATTACCAGGGTTGAAAAGTGAGAGAGGGGGGAAGGATGGAGACTGAGTTTCTGAGATAGAGAAGGAAAATTCCCGACAACAATGTTCGAAGCCAAGGGCTTGAGTGTGAAGAACCTTCAGCGCGCGCTATAGTCACCCCACATCCTCTACTGTTCGTCGATTCGAAGACCAAGGGCGGGCAAAGTGCTGTGGAACCAACGCGAGCAGCGCCTTCGGCCGCCGTGCGAATTTCCTAATCTTGAGAAGAAATACCACTACTAATGGGCTTTTGGGTCAGAGAAACTTGGTTCTAACGCTAGCTGGGCTGGTGGCTTAAAGAGACGGACGCTCTTTTTTGCAGCTGGGCGAGGCGGATCATGGACGAGTTCTTCAACCAGGGGGACAAGGAGAAGCAGCTGGGGCTGCCGGTGAGCGCCCCCCCGAAATCTGCAATCATGGCCGACTGCGGACCCACTCACAACCGTGCATTTACCAGTTATCCCCGCTTCTTTGACAACTTTTGCTCGTCTCGCTCGGCTGAGTCGGCTCACACGACTGGTCAACGTTTGATTTTTAGCAGGCTCCCTCCGCTGCCTGGGTGCGACGTCATCTTTTCAGGAGTTCGATGTGGCTGGAGTTGTGGTCGAGGATTTAGATGGCATAAGTGGAGTAGAATTGACTGCGCGTCTTGGCCCAGGTGTCCCCAATGTGCGACAAGGAGGCGGCCAACATCCCGAAGCAGCAGCTGCGGTTTATTGAGTTCATCGTGAGTAGACGCTACTCTTTTACTAAATGCCCATCCAAGACTTTTCCTTGCTTTGGGATAGTCTCGCTCTGCCAAACAGCTCTAGCAGAGCTGATCACGCTGTCACAAACCACCGGATACGATTGTCGGTTTTTAGCAAGCCCCTTCGACAACGCGTGGTTGCCGCAAGCCCCTCCTGTGCTCGCTTGCTTGCTTTCAGCAAAAAAGTTCGCTGCTTGATCAAGAAAGATGCCGTTAGGTTCATTATTGGTCCAATGTCGCAGGTACAACCGCTCTACGAAATGTTTGCGGAGCACTGTCCGGCTCTCGAAGAATGGCTTCAGGTAAAACACTCGTCTTCATCTGGCGCCCATTGATGCGCTTTGCCATTGCCTTCAATGCTGGCCGATGACGTCCTGCCCGGCAACTACAGTCTGAACGAGGCATTCGAAAGAGGCGTAGCGTTTGGACGATCCGTGCTTGCTTCTTTGCAGGAGAAGTGATGCGGTTCTGTATTTTCGTCTTCGCGATACGGTATGCACTGACTATGCGTCCTTATCACCTCGCAGGGGTTGGAGGCCAATAGAGGGTATTGGCAAAGTCAAATGAAGGACGAGCCGCAAAGCCAAAGTAACATAAGGCGAGCGACTGTCAACAAGATTCTCTAACGACAGGCTGCCGTCCTCCGGCTGGAGACATTGCCAGGGCAGCGATTATTAACCAGTCAAGAGCACCGTGTACTCCAATGTTATAGCGAGCGATCGGCGGATCTACCCGAATAAGACGGATTTGACTTCGAAAGCCGACAAAAACGGTTGCCCCAAATACTTTAGTGCTGTGCATCAAGCATGAGTCGGCAGGCTCTAGGTATAGTTCGAAGTCGTCTCAGCAAGTCCTCAAACGCAACAGCGAAGCGTTAACTTTTCTTGTATTGTAGTGGGCACGCGCTAGTGGAAGTGCACGGTTGGCAGTGGGAAGTGTAGATGATCACTAGCCATTGAAGTACGTGTACGGTAGAATCTGTCATAGGGCCGTGCACCAAGACGTGGACACGCTTGGGTATTAGCTCTAGCATCAGCGCTTATTGTTTTCACTTGGGTTGTCTTCCTTCAGAGTTGAGTTGATGAGTTGATCAACAAGCATGCGAGTTTATCACTTTGGGCGAGTCACTGACTTTGTTTGATCTTGAATCCGACCGGTTATTGTCCAGTAGCTGATAGGGACGCACGCGGTTGCAATCGCACATGCCGCCATGCATGGAGAGCGCTACAATTATCTGGCTGTAATCATGGCACTGAGTGTTCGCTAGCTTTTGCAAATACTGCATGTCACTGCATAGCCATGCATCAATGACAGGGCCGGTGCGCCTGGAGAAGAATGTCGGTCTATGTACTGATCGAATCCAGCAGTCTCCTGTGCATGAGCTCACGTACGTCGATCTAGTTGATATTGTGCGCATTACCGAAATTATAACTTAATTGTGAGTTTACGAGTGCCGCAAGATCGGACGACGTTAAGCCTAGCTACAACTCGCGATTTAGTACTTCAATACTGGCAGTGGTAACTTTTGTGCAATATAACACGTATGTGCTCTAAGATTAGGACCGAGACCCCGAACAATTGAACCAAACTACAAAGCTATAATTACCTAAAAAGTCATGTGCACGCTCCGCACCCCAACTCACCCTAAGAATTAACCAAGCCAACCCCACGTCCATACCCCGGGCGGCGGGCGCCTATCTGAAGGCGGTTAGTCTGGCCGCCGCGCACAATGATGCTTGAGTTACTATGGAGTGACACTTCAACATCATGACTCGCATGCATATGCAAACTTGATTGGCCGGCGGGCCCGGTTGCATGGAATTCTTCCGCAGCCCGAGCAGTCCAGGCGGCCCTAACGCCGCCACGGGGCATGCGGTGCTAAATGGGGGGCGCGCAGCTGCGGCGCAAGTCTTGGCGTCCGCAGTGCCTCAGTGCTAGCTCCGGTTATATATGCAGGCGCTCCAGCTGCTGATCCAGAACTTGCCGCAGGCCAACAAGGGCGCGGAGAAGAAAGGAAACTATTTTGGATAGAACTTGGCCTTTAATCAGAGATAATGATAAACCCTTTGCCTCGACTAGGATTGCTTAGTTGAAGTGACTTTTATACCTGCAGTAGTTACGCCATGATGAGGTAGCATGCGAGTCATGTCAGTCATGAATTGCTTTGTTGTTAGTAACCGCTTGGTAACTAGAATAGAAACATTTTTTGATGAAGCCCGAATTCTCCGAAATTGCTTGTTTCTGCGCCAAAGGCCCAGGTGTCTAAGCATGTATAAGAAGAAGCCTGGTGACCATTACACGTGGACCTGAATCATTGGATCCCGCGTCCTGGGGCACGTGTGCAATTAAAACATCGCGTGATCGAGCTCAAGGAGCTACATGTCGGACTTGGCGGCCAGCACTGATATACACTGATCATTCGCTTGTAGCAGAAAGTACAATCCAAGGCTACCGTCCTCGTTTCACAAATGATGCCAATCCTTTTGGGCACCGTCCTCATGCGTGTAATCCTCAAGACAGGCACGCCAGATGCATGTGTGCACGGGTTCGACCGGACGTCGACTTTCTGGGCTGCATCTTGCAAACGACCAAATTAGAAAATCGGCCTTGGCATTCTTGTTGAAAGGCTGGCGTGACTACTTCTTTGCAGCTCAATAACATTGTGAGATTGTCGTTACCAGTGCGGCGGCCTGTTGCAAGTTGTATCCGACAATCTCTCCCCTTTGCCACGTCTTCGTCAATTGCAAACCTACTTCCCAGCCTGCTCGCACCAAGCTTCCTATGCTCGCCGCAGAGCTTGAGGCACGAAGCTCGTTCGCATGCGGAAAGCGTTTGAGTGTGCGATCTCCAACACGGTCAAGCTCCTCGTATGCTACACAAATTCTTTGATGTCAACCCCGTTGACCTGCAAAGAAGATTCGGAGGGATCATAGATATGTCAAGGTCTGTTGTTCCTTGCATTAGGAAGCACTCGTGCGAAAAGCGAGAGGTGTGCTTCAGATTCAACCATCCATAACCTTTATCCTAAACCAGACCCAGCCCAGCTTTCACCATTTAACGCAAGTTGGATTTATGAGTCGCTCATGGTCCTGAGAGGATTCAGGACAATATCCGCACCAACTTTTTCGTTGACTCTTCCGCGGTGTCGCCTCCAAGACCCATCAAGGCAAGATTGTTCAACCAAAGCCAACACGTGACGCGCCCCATGCTTGTAAAAACAGAAATCCTACGTGTGATAACTCCCACCGTCGATGGCCACCCACCGTGGCAGTCTACAGCGTCTGGACTTCCTTGTCTTTTAAAATATCTCCACAGATTACGTTCCTCGTGTGCTCTGAACGGAATCAACATCAAGCCGGACAGTCAGGGTCGGACTCTTCATTCACGATCTGTGTTTTGATGCAGAATAAGATAGGTGCTCGTTTCTCACCTTGAGTACCGTCAACACTATGATGACACCCGAGTTCCATAGCGAGTGTATCAACATTGGGCATGCCAGATTCCGCGTCTGTGTGTACGTGATACCCAACACAACACCTGCATTAAATTTCTGCCGCTCTCAGAAAGGGTCTTGGATCCACAATCAATGAAGGGTCTTAGGTTTACGTGGACAAAGTCTCGCCGAAACAATACACGAGGACATTCGGAGTCTTCGTAAAAACCCCGCGCAAAGATTCGCCAGCTCCGATCGAAGAGACTAACACTTCGGCAACCGCTGGGTGAAAATGACCGTGCAACAGCACAATTCCACGAGATTCAAGCAAAGAAACAATTGGTAGAGTAGTCGTGAATCTCAACCGGCCATTGCAGGCAGGTTTCCTTAAATTGTCACCATAAAGATATTCGGGTTAAACCTCACCTAGGGCGGTTAATTGGGGCAGCTCCCCAGGGGTCACGTGCGCGGCAGCAAAACCGAAGGCGCTGATAAGAATCGCCGCCCATGTTGGTAACCTGGACTCACCACAAAAATCGGGCATGGCGTCAGCAACGCAAGCAGGAACTTTTGGCAGCGACAGGGATCTTATTGATTCCAATCTGGTGTGGATTGGACAAAGCTACCCTGTACGAAAGGGGACACTTGGCCCTTACTTGTGAAGCAAGATTCATGCACTGCGATGGGTCTGCACCAGCGATGCGGGACGTCTCAGTAGCACGATGCACGTCCTTCTGACATTTCGTTTCAGCATCACACTCCCGTTCGTGCTGCAACTTCGGCGCCAGAATACTCGCTTTACTTCAACATGTGTAGCCCGAGAGGAGACACTTTGAGAATCCTAGTGCAGAAATCCCGACTCGACAAATAGAAACGCACACGAGAGCGGATGCAGGACTCCCACAGCAATAAAACCCCTCGCCATTTCGTCCGGAGCGGCAGGAAAAAGCCTCGACAGATCCACAAACAAAAGTAGGCCAACGACAGCGGGGGGCAAAATCCGCACAGCAACATAAGCGCTCACCCGGGACGCAGGAAGAAGCCCCAGCAGACCAAGAATTAAGGGAAGGCAAACGAGAGCGGGAACGAATTCCAGAAACCCACCATTTCGTGAGAGACGGCAGGAAGAAGCCCCGGAAGACCGTCTCCTCGAGCAGCGGCGCGCAGACCCCCGTGACCACGATCAGTGACGCAGTGCCCAGCGGGGAAGCCCCAATGATTGGCAGCAGCTGCATTAAAGCGTCGCCAGCCTGCAGAGCGGCGGACAACGTCAGCAAAAACAGGGCCTCCTGCTACGGTGCCATCGAACTTTTCACGACAGCCAATACTCTTAGCTGTATCACGTAATCTTGCTTGACGGTCCGACTCTTCTGGTCGCCAGTGAGCCGTTCGTTGCGCTGGAAGAGCCAATGCGCAAATCTCGACACAAGATTCGGAGTCCAACTGGCAAGATCAAAACGAGAGCACGTCGGTGCAAACAAAGCCGTCTGGCCTGAAACTCAAAATAAAACGAGTCTAGAAAGGACATGCCACTTGCACTATGCTTCCGAGACGTCTGAATTCCTCTAATGGAGAAAAGGTTGCAGTATAGGCGTCCAACCACGTACGTCACGAGGAGCGTCCGGGTCTTGTCCGACCCCGGTGGCGCTGGCGGCCGCTTGCACTGCCCCGAACGCCAATAGGAATCCCCCGAGCGCGTAAAGCGCCCAGCCGTCTTTTCGGGCTAGCGGCCGTCGAAGATCTGAAAATGACACAAGGGAAACGTTCTTTGACGTCTTAAAGATGAAAAGTTTCTGGTTGTTGAACAGTGGAGACGCAAACACGATGCGGGTGCGGCGTTGTCATGTCCGTTGAAGCTCTGCAGTTGCAGAAACACGGACCTCAGTCTTAGTCAACAGTGGAGCTAAGAAACGAACAACAGGACGGGTTATTCTGGGCACTTCGAGGCTTGACTTCGTCCGAGAATTGGAACGAAGTCAAGCCGGTTTGGAACTTTTCTCGACAGGCGTGCCAATATGTGAAGCAGTCCTAGTGTAGGATTGCATGTTCCAAAGAACGATGACCGACCTGATTATTGCGCCAGTGAGAAACTCGGATGGGGACACGTTTTGGCGCGGAGTACTTTCATCAGCCAGGGGCTTTCTTCAGAATTGGGGAATGAAAGGGGATCGTAAACGTCATGTAACAACAAAACGAAAAAAATTCGAGTGCAGGAAGGGATCCTCCGCCCTGCAATCGAAATGTTGCGAGCTCCTAAGACAATTCAAAGAGACAGCTGATTGAAAGGCTTACCGAACTTAAATAGCTCGTCCCCCAAAGGTTGAAATGGTTTTGTGAAAGCCCAGATGATGGTCAGCCCAATGGCTGTCTGTGCCCTGCACGGAGGAAGCATTACATGTTCTTAAGTTGTTCGACTCCCTGATCGTGTTGCTATAGGATGCATTTTCGTTAAGCCAAGGAGAGCTTCGTTGACAATCTCTATGCCATTCTGCTAAGGGATCGTGGAGGCAAAAGGGTTCAGGATGCGTAATAGGTTGGATCCGTTGAATTCATCACGCTACTTGTTGAACAGCACCCAGTCTGTGTGTCATTCTTTAACACAGGGCCTGCTATCAAACATTTTAAAAGCGTCCGATTCAGCTTTCCGGCAGACAACCAACCATTTGTCCTCCCGGAAAAGCGAGCTTTCAAGCAAGAGTCCCTCACTTTGTTTGGAACGTGTTCCACAGAAATGCAGATCCTCGAAATCTCTACTTAAGGAGGACTGCTAATTTGAATAAAGCCTACCCATTGAAAAGCACATGTATATCCTTGACTTCTGCTTGAAACCCACCGCTGTTATGTTCACGAAGTTGACCGTCGCTGATGTCCCAGAATACAGATCGGATTTCTTATACTTCGATAACTGACGTGTCAGAAGTAAAGTCGCTCCCTGGACCTCAAAGGAGTGGACTTACAACTCGTATGCCAGGACGAAGAGGGCCTTTGAATCTGCATCATCTCCTGGAGCATACCCCAGCTTGACAGCACCCAGCGGTACCGCAATCCCAGTCAACACGAACCTGCACCCAATTTGGGGAAACTTCCAGGACGGTATACATCTCGCATCTCGTGGAGAAAAGCACCGATCGAGGGGCAAAATGGCAGAAGAGATGCATTTGAACTGGCAGAGCTTACAAAGTTAAGGGCGCACAAGACATTTGAAGAAAGACGTCCTTGAAACTAGACAGCAAATGCGGCTATCATGCATTGCAAACTGGTTATTCTGGTGCTGCGGTGTGGTGCTGCGCTGTCATGTACAGGCAACTATCTGATGTTCTACATAGCCTACACTGCCTGATTTGCAGACTCTTTTGATGCTGGTCCTCTCACCCAATGAGCCAGGCTGTCATGGTGAAGGCAGTCGTCTTTCCAGTCCATGGGATGTCCCATGGCTCGCTTAATCGCCAGAAGGTATCGTCATCCGGCTCAAGTGAATCCTTTCTGGCAGTCTCCTGGAACATAGACATCTGATTACAACAAGCACAGTAGGACTCAAAGGAAAGTACCGTAGTTGTGAGCATAATGATAATAGCATGAAAAGTACGTCAAATCAAAAGCGAAAACTTTTCAAAACAGCCAATGGTTTACTACATACCATGGGGAATGATTGAAAGATTGCATGAAGGACTGCATGTGTGAGGCAAAATAGATTGCAATCCTTAACAAATCACGTTGGTTGGGGCTTTTCGATTGTAGTGGTGAGAGTCTCATGGCGGACTTGAAGGAAGCCCGGTGCTGCCTGATCAAAATAGCAATGCATGCAGATCATCGCACAATCGACGTGTCCAAAAGTTTTTGCGATAATTCGTGCAACAGGCTGCAAGAGCCCAGTTCTTCAACCACTGCAACAACGCATCAGCCGATGTTGCTAAAACACCAAGACCTCACCATATGAAGACCAACCAGACGAAGCAAAGAACTGAATAAACAGACGCTGTGCATACCTCCTTCTCTTTCAAAGCGGAGGCTACCACCGACGTCCTCGGTGCCCCGGAAGCCCCCTTCACTGGCCTGGCTACATTTGTCAGATGTGCCAATTCCCTCCCTGCTTTGTGCTCCCCCCTCGTGTTCTGTGCTGTCACTATTTGCCGGCATGCTGTCCGCTCAGATTGAATGCAAGATACTTGTTTCAAACGCTGCCCGCAGAAGACCTGCCGGTGCAAAGCACGGCGTTCATTGAATGGTGTTTCAGCAGATGTTTGGCGCACTCGCTGCACAACGTGGCCACTGCGCGCGGTGGTGGAAGTAAAAGGCTGCACCAACGAAGTAGGCGCTCCGGCCCCCGAAAGGTTCCCTCGCTTTTGCGTGACGTTTTCTAAGTGCGCAGAGCAGGGGCAACTTGCGCCCCTGAATGCAGCGGTTGAGGCCATCTGAAACAGCCCCCTGCAAAGTGCACCTTGCCAAGGCCTCCCTCGAGGCAGCTCCAGGCTCTGCTAGGTGGGAGACAGATGCCACAGGTTCTTCCTGCATGCGTGCCCCAAGTTCCCAACTTGCACTGCAATCCCCAGCCTCAGGCCAGTAGTAGTACGTACTGCAGAACTGCCAATGAACAGAGACAGCGCTCAACGAAACCCTAGGAGCCCTCTCTCAAAACCCTAATTTACATTCATGCCTGAAGTATCCATGAGATGGGGGCGCCGCGGCACAAGGTGTTCTCAGGCTGCTACGCTCGAAAAGATGTTCCTTGTCGCATCTGCGCATGAGGATGTTTCTCTGTACTAGTACTAGTAGTGGTAGGGGCAGGATTGGCCCTGGGGAGAACAGAACGAGCTCAAGCATCCTGTTGCCAGAGTTGTCCCTTGAGAAGCGAACAGCTTTCGGAACTGCATTGATTATCGTTTTTGAAAGCAGTAATGCAGAGGTCTGTGGCGGGGGGTAAGGCGGACGGGAGCATCAGTGGGATTGCCACAGAGCGAGCTGGCATGATTGGTTCGAAGCTTGAAAGGCGCAATTCGAGCTCAAGCCTCTCCAAGGGCAAGACAGCCGTCATCATGCCTGACGCGGACAATGCTGCCAGCATCTCAGCAACCGCTGCTAGTGTGGGGCACAAAGCAGATTCGTTGAGAGAAGCAGCATTGTCCTTTGACGGAGCCATAGCTCCAGACCCAGAGCTCAACAAGATCGAAGAGGGGTCAATTCTCGACCGAGAACCCCCAAAGACTGCATCTCACATGGTCAAAAACACTGCTCTCTGTTCTTTCTGCTTTGGGATGGGCATGTCTGTCCTCTTCATTCATGTTGGGACCACGACGCTGGCTGCAAAGGAGTTCCAGTCCACTGCAGCGGCCACTCTGCCCTTTGGTGAGACTTTGACTTCTAACCGGGTGCACTGCGAAGCTTGAAGAATTGGTAATAAAGTGGAGTAGTCAAGCCCTCGAAATCTCTCATTGAAAGCAGTATTCAGACAAATCTAACCCAAGATCTGTGTTTCTTTGACAAGCCAAAATTCTCTTTAGTCGGACTTGTCAAGCGACTTTGTAAGTCTTCCTTTGCAGTGGGTGATTGTTTATTTTCCGCTTGTCTTTTCTGTAGAAACAGCGGTCCTAATGTCTGGTTGCGGCGCTCCACTCAAAACTTGTCAGAATGGTTGTGAATTGTGAAAAGTCTGCGTCACTGACCTGGTTCCACTACTCGATGCATTCCTCTAATCTTTGACCCATTGCCTGTACTTTTGCCCATAGACTGCAAGAATGCAACAAAGTATTCCCTGGAGGAGTAACCTTACCCTTAACTCTTTCCTGTTCAATGGCCTTCCCTGGCACACTCGACGCTGATAACATGCATCCATTCGTCTTCAGATCCTCAATGAAACTTACATGTGAACTCCCTCAGTAGTCCACACCTTGACCCACTTCTTAACCCCAACGTTCTACAATTACAGGCCTGATGCTCGTTGTCCAGACATTCTTGTCGCTGCCCGTTCAATATGCAAAGAGGCGCTTTGGACAGAAAGTACTGTACGTCCTAGGGGGACTCAGCGGTGTCCTCTCCGGCATTATCGACATCACCGCGAGCGTTGAGAGGTCGTTCATTCTGTTGTGCGTTGGGGCAATCTTTGCGGGTGCCGCAAACAGCCTTGTCAATTTTTTGCGCTTTGAGGTGAGAGACACTCAATCTTTGTCAAAATAGCCCACAGAATATGGTCTGCGGTGCGTGCCCTTTGCGATTCAAAATTCCAACCGGATTACAGACGACCTTGCTTATTAGGGCAGTTCAAGATAAGGGTCTGCCTTTGCCAAAGGTTGTCTGGACTCTGCCAGCGGTTCAGCAAAGTCGCCGCAATCGTCTATCACCAGACGGAACCTGAGGCAACGAAAGGGAATTCTAACAGGCAGCGGACAGCAAGTCATGACACGCTAACATTTGCAGACGTTTGTTGACTGCCGTGCACAATAACCTTCATGTTCACCTAAGGGTAAGGGCCAGTCAGTTTGATAAAACCGTTTGACTCGTATAAGAGAGATCAAACATGTCAGTTGTCTCTAAAAGACTGATAAATTTGAAAGGCCCTTCTTCCAATCACCTCCTGTAACTTAATATCCGCTGTTAACCTTTTTTGGCTCAAACAAGCGGCCAAGGCGACTATTCACCCGTGCTCTGAAGGTCACCCTTCAAAACACATCGTTCGTTTCTTCAGGTGACGCAGTTCGTCCATCGGAAGTACATTTCGTTTGCCGTGTCGGCCGTGCTGGGGGGAGGGGTCATTGCAGGCTTTACTGGCCCGCTAGTCAGCAGGTAAACCCTTTCGTCACTTTGTTTTCGAAACCAGGTTGTATCATCTGCCGAGCCTTGTCCATTTCAACATGGAGTAGGGCAGCTCTGGATGAACAGTCTCGGAGGTTGTGTGGCTTGCGAAATGATGGGAGACCGCCTATGTGCCCATCCCTAGGAAACCATGAATCTTTCCCACACGAAAAGTTTGGGACAAAAGGAGGGCGGCAGAAGGTCGAATGCTTTCAGGATGGCGCGGTTCTGTGACTTCGAATGGTGCATAAAAGGAGCGCTTTTTATCGTCCGCAGATTCACGAGGCACACGTTCTCCGTCGAGTTTTCGTGCACGTACATGCTCATGACCGTCATGTGGCTGCTTGAAGTGGCAGCGCTGTGTTGCATCGACTTCCAGTCCGTGAGCCTCGCCCGAGCGCATGCGGCGGTGAGCTGCTCTGTCCGTGGCTCCGATTGTAAACGGAAGCGCATTCGCGTCTTCGAACATCAGACGAAAGGTCGAAGAGTTCAGTAATCTTTGTTGCTGTCGGCGCTTGAAATTTTATGACGGACCATCGCTTGACGTAGCACATTCTGTAAGTAGATCTGATGCAGTGCTACATCTCAAGGAGCTTGCAGGTTTATCGTTCCCTGTATCCGACGCTTAGATTTACCCTGACTCTTGATTTTAGTGACTCGCACCGTTTCAAAAGCCTGATCGAGGTCGAGTCACGTGCAAAACTCGATCCCAAGCTAAATGCCGCGACGCATCATAATCGCAGCCGCACTTCTTCCCGTGCAGCTCCACAAGGAGGACGTCCGTCCCCTCGTCAAGATCGTCCGACAGCCGCCATTCCTAGTTGCGCTTTTGGCTGGCGCCATCTCTTTCGGGATCATGGCGGGTATGATGGTCGTTGTCCCCGTGGCCATGCGGGCAGTCCAACCGGGTAAATTTACCGAGTCGTTTTGAAAGCAAACCTTCCGCTTTCTTTGTGTCCAAAGAACGCTCCAGAAGTGAGCCGGCAATGAGAAAATGGTCACTGTTGGACCCCTTTATACAATCGCGAAATGGATCATATAAAACGTCTTCGAGGAGACTTGGCAGGTCAGAGCGGTGCAGTCTCCGTTTGCCTTGCTTGCCAGGATCGTTCGAACGCTCGGTTGAAAGGCGGATAGCGCATCTAATCTGAGTTCATAGGGCGTTTCGATCTATCAGTCACTTAGAACCCGTCTCGTTTGGCAGGATCAAGACGCGTTGATACGAAGGGGCCGGCAGACCTGGTCTACGACTTCAGCGACACGTCGCTGATTTCCATCTTTCATTACGAGGTGAGCGGCATCTCTTCTGCCCCCCCCGCTCCAACAGATTACAAAAGCCAGACTTATCGCACAATTTTGTCGGCAAACTGAGAACACGGTGGTCGATCTAATGAGAAACAACGTTCGTTCCCCCCGTCTTCCTCGACCGATGTATAGCCCCTCCTTTCGCTTTCAAATCAGCGTGTCTCTCAGGCACTTTCAACAAGTCACTGCGGACGATTCTAACGTCAGCAGAGATCCTCGGCGCATCAATGTTTACGGGCCAACAAAGCAGGATCTTACCTTTAGAGAACAATCTTACGGCCTCATGTACTCGTGATTCGTCCCCTCATGTATTGCGCCCCGAGGGTGAAAAGGCCAAGGGTCTTCTGACGACGTGCCGTATCTTCTGCAAACAATCCATGTGAGGACGTTCGCAGTGTCATCCTTCATCCCCCGTTTTTGCGCAGGCCATGTTCCTGCCCTCCTTCTTCACGGGGTACATCATAAAGCGCATGACGGCCGAGGGCACAATGGTGGCCGGGTTTGCATTTCTTCTAGCAGGGCCGGCCATCTTCTACGCCAACACTTCGTACATCGTCTTTGTTTTTGGCTTCGTCTCGCTGGGGATTGCATGGAATCTAGGTGAGCACCAGTCTTGGTCCGTTGCCTTGCCCGTGAGCTTGGATCGTAAGAAAGTGTTTGCGATAAAAATTATTGTATCTTGCTGACCGAAAGAAAGTAATTGTTGGCAGACTTAATTATTCGTTGCAGTGGACTAGCACGGGCAAAATGGTATTCTGAGTTCTTTTGAAGCCGAAGAGGGGGAAATCTCGTCGACCCGCACAGTGAGAGGCGGTCTCGTGTGAATTTGAAACGTAGGAGCCAATTCCGTTGTTCCAACGACTCAACGGTCCTTCGTTTTCAGAAACCCTTTTCAATCACTTCAATCTGCTTTTGTATTGGATTCCCTGTTGCGGAGCCGGAAGAACGATGGGAACAGATCCTGACATTAACGCATCTGTGTGCCTCGTCAAGCGATGATGCACCAGCTTGCCCTCGGACTCGTTTCTTTATCATGGTTGTACTCCTTTGCTCCAGCGTACGTTGGCGCAACGACCCTGGTCGCAAGCTTCTCTCGAGCCGGGGAAAAGGAGATAGTCAATGGGTTTAACGACATGATCGTCTTTGGGACGACTGCTCTCTTGTCGTCCAGTGCGTCGTTTATTCTACGCGCGATGAACGATTGGCACATGTTTTCCACGCTGTACATTGTCATTGCAGTTCCTGCTGCGCTAGTTGTTATTGTGTTCGCTGTGCTCAGACTTTCGGGGAGACTCGGATGCACAGGTTGACGTAGCCTCACTCTAAGGTGATAATGCCGTCTTTGAAGGTATTGTTAACTGTATTTATTATAGCAGTTATTGTTCTGTATATGGCACAATCTGCATTTGCACGCGGCAGTTTTCGTGACCTAGCTTGCTTGGTCTGTTTGACTCATAGCCTAGGTGCTTAGTTAGTCGCGTTGACTTGGACAGATTTGAAGGTGGGCTGGGCAAATCGAGGAAGCGATGCTTCTTGAAAATTAGCTCTACATTATCGTTAGCCTATGATAATCAGATAGATAGCGGTCATAATCATAAGGCTTTTGTTTAATATCTGAAGGAGCGGAGCCATTGAGAGTTCTTCAGCAAACCGAAACGCTTAAAGTAGCAAACGACCTGAACATTTTTCCATTGACTGCCATCATGCTCGGCTGTCACATAATGCTCAGCAAGATGGTCGATCGTTGATTCGATTCCCTTGATCCATGATTATGCCGGCCTGCGGACGGTTCACGCTTGAAAGCAGACTGAGACTATACACGGTTGCTTTCGATCGCGTAGAAATTAAGTCCTGGCAGGCTCGTTTAGATTGTGACCCATGCCCCTAGTGCCAGCTAGTCCACTTTAACAATGCCAGCTAGTCAAGCTTTAACATCGCACGTGTGCCATGCACTATATAGCTGCGCTGGTCTAGTTTAGCTCTAACGTTTGCATATACGAACGGATTATTGCATTAAAGCCTGTATATGCATACAAAAACAGTATATGCATAAACCCCGCGGACAATGTGCAACAACATGAGAGATTGCCTGCGATTCTGGCTGGCGTCGACCCTCTTGGAGACTTCAAGACTCCATCCGCTGCATGTCGCAATGTCCCCCAAGGCGAATCCCGTCCATGTAGCCTTTGAATACAGCTGGGCAGATCCCCCGCAGATCCCAGGCAGCATTCAATGGCATCGGTTTACTGAGGTTTGCGCTCGTCTCCACAATGAGGAATATGCTTGAGTTCTTGGGCCTTGCTGAAGTCGGCAACTAGGACGATAGGACGGCACTGGTGTGCCATGATTCGACGGCGAGGCCGCGGCCTCACCGGCTCTTCATTGGCGCGCAGGCTGGCAAGCCTGAGGCCCCCAGGGGGGCGGCAAGGCTCTTGCAACGGTAGTACCGAATCTACTTAGAAGTTACGCGCGCGCGACTGAATCTGCAGGACCTACTTCCGTGCTGCCAAGTGGCACCAGGAGACTCGTGAAGCTTGATTCGGATCGGCCATGTGAGAGACACCTGGCACTGTCATTGGCTGCATGCCACGTATGCTCCTCCCATGCTGGCCTAGCAATTGAGGGGCGGAGAGATGCACCTTCAACGGCTGCTTTCAAGACCATGTGGGCTGCTGGACGAGCATCGGTTTTCTCATTTCCAAGACTTTTCTACAGCACAACTCACTTCAGCACCTGCGCCCTCCGAGTCGTACCCATTCCCTCCTTCAGCCTCCCTCAGCTTCAGGTAAGTTGAGCTCCGTGGTTTGCTTGAGATTCTCGCCGGTTCTGCGCTCAGGACTCTGTGGTTGCCAATTTGGCGCGGAGGGATTGAGTTGAGACTTTAAATACTGAATGCAATCGGCGCATGTACTGGATGAGCAGGTGGACTCTACCATATGCAATGCGAGTTTGAGTGAAAAAGAGATGGGGGGATGGAAGCTAGCTTTTGGAGACTCCGCTAGTTGTTGCTCCTTTGGCACAATTGACCAGGTCTTGGGTTCTTGGTTTGATCTGGGGGGTTTCTGCTTTTTTCAAGTTTTTACCGCATATTTATTTTGTTTCGATAATCTCAGGCAAGTTGGTGGCAGTCAAGCTTGCCTCTTGGCATTATGGTCTGCAACAGGATGGGCAATTTGATCCACGGGGACAGTCTACTTTCCTTTATATTGGTCATCGAAATTGGAAGCAGGGTACATCCAGCTGCAGCCAAGAACTCTCGGCACAGTTCAAGGTGTCCTTTGATCGGGTCTGTTGGAGGTCACATTGTAATTCTAAGTTAGGTAGTAGTCTACTGATCTCATTGTACCTATGGGTGCAGCTCCTTTCGTAGCAGTCATGGTCTACTCCAGGGGAACCGACAAAGCTATTGCACTCCCGAACAGGATCAGATTGAACACAAATTCAAGTGTTGGCAACAGCATTGCAGAGGCTTTTGTCAATGTTGGTCTAGGTGAGTCAAGAAAACTTGGAGCTGAGGGGTTCCGCTCATTCTTCCTATTGCAGATTCACCCCTAGCAATCATGGTGTACTCCAGGGGCACAGATAAAGCGGTCGCGCTGCCTACTCGTATCAGACTGAACACGGACAATTCAACTGCGAACTCGGTGTTGGAAGCTTTTATCAATGTCGGCCTAGGTAAGCTAGTGCCATGTGCTTGAGTCAGTACTTCTTGTGAAAGTCCTCTTCATTACCTTAACTTCCTGTCCACGCAGACAGATCAAGCGATTGTAAATGGAAACAGGCTTGCAGGCTGCGATTGTAGTAAGAACGACATTGTGGAAGAACCTTGACTCTAGAAAGTTAGAACATTGTTGGGCTGACCTTTCCTTTCTTGTTCTGCAGTGGGCGCCTCTCAGGCTCTGGCACACGAGGCCTATGATGCTACCAGACGGGAGGGAGTGACCAAGCACCACCTTGAGAACGCGGTAAGTGTCTAGGCTACTGCACTGCGCTAGCTTTGTTACCATGCTTGGTTCTGACCGACACTCATTGTCTTATGCCTAACTCAAGATAGAGAAACTGCTCGTCGTGCACTCAGCGTCAGCTTCTGGTCAATGTGGATGTCAGCTTTCTATAGGCGTGCAAGAGACAACCAAGATCCTAAACTTCCCGAATGAGCAGTGCAGTGGAGTTTGTGGCAATCAGTGCCAGCTTCTGGTCAGTGCGAAGATCATTGTTGATAGGCTTGCAAGGGATAGCCACCATCTGCAAATGCCTGAAATGCAGATTACCACAACCTGACATACTATGGTTGGGCTGCAGGGTAAGAGGGCTTTCAGCGATGCTCTCGAGTGGGGCGCTGTGGCTGGAGTGTACGAGGGTATGCAGATTGCCATCGAGCGCGTCCGTGAGCGGAGGGACTGGGTAAGCCCGTCTGCACACATCCGTAGAGCAGCCTAGGGGTTATCAAGAATGAAAGGATAACCCGAGTACCGTTGATTGAAATTGCTTCAGCAATCTGTTGAGAATGATCGAATCCTCTTGGATGTAGTGATGTACGGGCCTGATTTGGATGGGTTGAGCTGTTAGGGAAGAGCGCTGGGGAAATAGCTTTTCACGGCTTTCGCTTTTCAACTGATGTAATTGTGACATACGAAGATTTGTGCTTGGGACTTTCCTTTGTTAGCAGTTGCATATTGCTATGGCCGCCCTTCCACTTCCACTCCTAGCACGCATTACTTGCACATCGAATTGCTACTTTGTTCGTAACTTGACCGATCTGGAATCTCAAGTACGTTCCATTTCGTGTCCTCAGGTGAACGCTGCTGTTGCTGGCGGTGCCACCGGAGCCATCTTCTCTCTGCGCCGCGAGACTGGTGCCCGCACCAACAACCACATTGTCACTGCCGCCATCACCGGTGCTGCCGTGTCCACCGCCGCCGAGTTCCTCCGCCAATTGTAGACACCTTGTAAATAGATAGTTAGTTCTGTGTTGCAAGTTTTGAAAAAGGCAAGGGTCTAAGAAATCTTGAGGGCATGAGAAAACATTGCAAGCTGTAAGTTGCAAAGCTGGCATTGTTTTTGAAACAAAAGGTACACGTTATGTCATTGTGCAACCTTGTTTATGATTTAAATACTGTACTTCGTGGTGTAAACTTCTGTTATTCAAATCCTCTGAGAGGCTCGTGTCCTACATTTAGTTGGCATTTGCAAATTTTGACCCCATGCACGTATATGTGGTAATGCCTGACCATGATATACCGGTAAGCATCCTGATTGCCGCGCAGCACAGCCTCGTGTACACATTATGGATCTTGGATGACCCGGCCAGTGGGCAAATTTACTTCAGTAATAACATTATACGATTGTCCCGATGCTGGTATCTTCTTCAAGGTGCGCCATAGCCACCCGCAGCTGAGGCCAGTGGAAGCCTTCCATCGCATCCACCCGTATATAAGGCTTGCATTTTGTTGCATGGGACCGACGGTCATTGCCTAAGCAAGCGACATACGTGAGTAACGTGACCCTACCGGCCCAATATAGCTAGCCCAGTGAATTTACTATGTCGGATGATAATCTGTGGAGTTATATTACAAAATCTGCACATCATACTTCAAAAACATGAGTCCGACACAAGCGTGTGCATATACAGCTCTAGTCCTATAATAATAGGTTGCACGGGACAGTTACGGTGCTTTTTAGCCCGGCGGAAATTTGCCGCAGACCGATTTATTTCGGGCGCGCGCCGTAGCATATTCGGTCGATATCGTGATTTTCGGCCGGCGGAACTCCGGGGCGATGTGGGGACTCGGTGGGTACTTCGGAGGATATTCCCACGGAAAAAATGTCATTTGGCCCCAAATATTGCCATCTTATAGCATTTTTAGGGGGCTCATCGTAGAGAGCGTTTGGAGCTCTGCGCGATCTCATTGGTCGATTGGCACAGATTGCAAGTCCAGACCCACTTCAGAAGCAAAACTTTGGGCGGTGTCAAAACTGGCCCCGGATTGACACTGGCGCTGAAACCTGAACCCGGGATACTAGTGAACGCCGTTTGCAGTGTCGATTGGCACAGATTGCAAGTCCAGACCCACTTCGAAAGTAAAACTTTGGGCGGTGTCAAAATTGACCCCGGATTGACACTGGCGCTGAAACCTGGACCCGGGATACTATTGATAGTCACCGGATTGTATGTGGCCGGGCCATGGATGGTACAATCTTATACAATCAGCGCTGCTCTTATAAATGATACTTGATTGTATGCCTGATTGTAGGCTGAACCAATATTCACCAAAAATATTGGAATTTGAAGAAAAACCCAACTAAAGCTTGGGTTTTGGGCTCGTTTGTACCTTCGGATGACTATCTAAGAATTCTGAGTCGTCCGATGAAGTAAAATTGGTGGATAAAGAAGAGAATAAGCACTCCGCCTCTGACTGATAACCTCTGCACAAACAATTGCAGTACAATCAGAATTTTGCTCTGCTATGGATGGTGTACAATTGGTACCATCGACCGGTCCGCCATGGATTGTACAATACACAATCCGGTGACTATGGTACTCGACCACTGTGTACACATCGAACGATTAACTCGGTTTTGAATTCGCGCTGTTCGCGATTCTGCGTACGGATTCTGTGCCAAGATATGGCTGCGACCTGGGGTGAGACATTGGCGATCGGACGGCTCAGAGTCACGCAACCATTTTAAGACCGTCCGATTTTGATTCGTCCACCCAAAGGTCCACCCGACCCGATCTTGTGTCAGGATTCTGCCGCTAGATTCGGGTGCCGCCCTGGGGTGCTACATTGTAAATCGGACGGCACAGACTCGGGCAAGGTCGCTTCGAAGGCCGTCCGATCGTGAGTCGTCCACCCAAAAGATCACCCAAATCAGCAGGGGAATCTTCGACCGAATCCGTACGAGTATCCAGAGTCATCTGAGCCGTCGACTTGAGGCCTCTTGCACCCACAGGCGCACCCATGTCGCACTGCATCGAATCGTAAATATCTGGCTGTATCATTGCGACACTGGGGTGCGCGGCTCCTCATCCGACGGCCCGCACAGCATTCCGTAGCACCCACGAGGCCAACAGGGCCTATCCACAGCCGTCCATTTGGGTGTCACTCTCATCCCAATGCTTAAATCGAATATACTAAAGTGCGTGCCCACGGGCTATAGGAAATGAAGGACAACGGCGTGCACATCGAGCCCCTAGTCATCTTTGATCGTCGTATAAACGCAAGCATCCACGATGAACGATGTTCTAAGACGATCTTCAAACGCGTGCTGCGCGCATCAATTGCCTCGCTCGAATTACAATGGCCCGAATGTTATCATGAAATGCAAGCAAGTCCGCTGAGTTTCAAGCGTCACAATGGCAGCTATTGATCCGCCTGTGCTCTGACAACTTCGCCTGCAACACATCCGGACCGAAGAACACCACCAACTGCACCTTCTTAGGGAGTATGGTAATCGGCCGCCTCCTCGAACCTAGATCCCTAACTGTCTCCATGCAGTCAAAGCACACGTCAAAATCCCAGAGCGCCGGGTCCTCGGGCCCGCCCTCAAACTCCGGCGGCTCGGGGTCCGAGATGTCCAAGTTGAACACCGACTTCATGTGCTGGATGTCGAAGCCGCAGATGTTGCAGAGGTACGTGCGCGAGAAGTTGACAAAATCGTCGCATGTGTCGATGGGCAACCGCGCTCGCTCCAGCGCCGCGACGAGCGGCTCGACGATCTCCTGCAGCCGACAACAACACGATGCTCGGAATTTAGCTGTGTAAGCGCAAAAGCGGTTTTGCACAATAGCTGAGTAGTGCAAAATCTTGCAACCCTCAAGCTCCAGATGAAGGTCCGAGTGGCAAGTTCCATTTAAAACGATTCAGGCCGGCTCGTGACGACATGCGATTAAAAACCACAAGCATCGACAATCGCAGACGTGGCTCGCCGCCTCAGACGCTTATCACAGTGCTCATTGTTGCCACCTTCTGAATGCCAAGGGACTCTAGTCAAAGGTTGTCGAAACTTAGGCTAATGAGCAAGATTGACTCGGTCCAGTTCAGCTGCAGCCTCACATAGAAATCGGGGTCCTTTGCAGCGAGCTCCAGCGTGCGGCGGCCGTCGTCGATGTAGATCTGCACCAGCCGCTCGAAGGCCTCGAACTCCTCCCGAGCCTTCCAGACATGCTTGCGGTCCATCGCGTTGAGCAGCGCCTTCAACAGGATGAAGAACGTTTTGTTCTCCATGTGGAACTTTGGCAGCAGCTTGTCGACCGGGGTCTGGGCTGTAAGTGTTCTTGAAGGCCTGCATATGACGAATTTGAAGGGTCAAGTGCTGCACGACAAAGCTCTTGCAACCCACTTGTTTCACCTCCCACAGTGACGCAGCGCTGGGGACTTTCTTAAGCCTTTCAGAAGACTTGTGATCAGGACTCATAACTTTGGCCAGCAAGTCGAGTGCAGCCTAAGATCGATCCGAGGCGACAAAGCGAGATTAGGCTGCGGGCAGAAAGCAAATCGCTTCAAGGGAGCACATTATGGCCGCAACGCAATCGCAGCACTTGCTCAGGACTTCGAGCCGTACCTCCTGCCGCTGACTGCGGATCGTGTAGCGGTGCTTCAGCCCGAAGATCTCGATGTGCTGCGGGGTCGCGTGGTTGCAGCTGACACGCAGGCCCCCCAGAATAAAGACAGCGTGCGGGACGTTGGTGTCGATGATCTCCATCACCCTCTGGACCACGACGCGGAGCGGGACGTCGCCAAGCACAGAGCGCCTCGACGCGGCCGCCTGCTTGCTCCTGCCCTTCCGAGTTGGGCGCGGTGCCTGCTCGGGTGCAACCTTCTCAATGGCAGCGTCGACCTCGGAACTTCTGCAATGGGCAAAAGCGGGCCGCGATGTTTCAGTGTGTCTCTGCGCTCGAGATCAGGATCGGCGTGCTGCTTTGAACGAACCTCAGTCCACAGACCGCAGGCTTGGAAGCATGAGAAATCCTTTGCAGAGCTCTGAGACCTTGTCTAGTGCTGAGCAACAACATTGATAGGCACCGTGCGCTTACCTTCAGCATGCGGTCCTTGTCGTGGCAGAACGCCTCGAGAGACGACCGTTCCTTGGACATGCCCATGATGGGAGCCGCATCCCGCGCGATGCGCGCCAGCACCTCGGTGTCGGTGGTCTCCAGAAAGGTCCACACGGAGACGTCCTCCTCGGCTCGCTTCAGCATCGGCCCCAGAACGTCGCACAGGCTCGGGTTGTACGCCTTGAACATCCACTCCTCGCAATGGAAGATGGCGATGCTGAGGAAGCCCGGCAAGTACAGCAGGATCTGCAGCCGACGCAGGACAAGACGACAAGATTCAGCTCGGGGTCCTGATTGCACAATTTGCGCTTGTACGACAAAGCAGCGCAGTCGGGCAGACAGAGCAAAGCTTGCTCGAGCCTCGCCACTGGAAGCACAAATAGCAGAGCTGCTTCGAGACAAAGAGTCTAACATGTGCACGCCGCCGGTCGAGGCGAGTCGCAAGCAGGGCTCGAGTCGAAGTGGCTGTCCATTTGAATGATCCGTCCAGGCACACAGAGCTCTCAGTAACTCACCCGGTCGCCTGCAACCCCCAGGAGCGGGGGGTGGAAGCGCAACAGGTCGTCGTCCCCCGCAATCATGCGGTAGATTACGACCAGCGCGTCCATGATCTCCGGCGGCAGGAACAAGGCCGCATCCACGTCCTTGAAGTAGGGGCCGAGCGGCTGGCCGTACTCCTTGGAAGCACCCACACGGGCCACGTTCTGCACGTCGACAACGAACTTGGCCCCCTCCCGCGGCCCCTTGGGGCCCCACCAGAGCCCGTTCAGAAGATCGCCAGCCGAGTGCGTGACACTGGCGCCCATGTGCTGCTCCGCGAAGTGCTCGATGAACTTCTCGCCGCCGCCGTCCACAGAGGGCCTCTCCTTGACGGAGACGACGTGTTTGCCGACCGGCTTGCCTTTCATGCAGAGCAGAATGTCGTTGGACAGGTCCGCAAGATGGTCGCCCCTGACGCTGCACAGAAAACGGCGGCCTTCTGTCAGCGGGCCGTACGCAGGCACATGCTGGACCTAGGATCACGATATCAATTGAATGGCAGGATCAGCATCCACTTGGCCCCTCAGCTGCATTGCCTGGAACGTGCCACAAGGCAGCGCAGTCGGACACTACATTGACCATCCCGTTGTCAAAAAGCGCACTTTAACTAGGTACATTTCGGGGTCCCGAACTTTCCGCTGGCTGGGGCTGGCACCGTCCGATGAGTGCCACGTATAG